CGAGGCAGACACACGCAGTGCCTACATGAGCCAACTGAGCAGATGCATCAGAGAGCAGCGACTGGATGGCATATTCGAGCAGGTGCCTCCGGCTCAGCTCCAGTGGATGGAGCTGCGGGAGCTGCGGGACAGACCCAAGACAGAGCAGACTAAGCCAAGACTGCAGGCATCTACCAAACAGTCGTTGGGCGGACGTCAACATTCCATGGGGGATGCCAAGGATCAGGGTATTCAGACTGGGAAAGGATTTCAGCATTTGCACGAGCTGCCGCCCCACAAGATGGAACGATCCATAGGCGATCAGCACACCCTGGAGGAGGCCATATCTTCGCATTCAGCAGCAGGATCATGCGAGGATCATTTCCCTAGGGATATTATGGATGGCAGGCGTGAAGGCATTACATTCTTCGACCCAAAGCTATCTCCGCCATCTCAAAGTGGGCAATCCATGTGCAGCAGGGTGCCCGCAGAGGCAGTTCCTCAGCAATGCATCGATGCATCGCAGAAGGTTATTCAACAAAGTTTACTTGGATGTCAGTTAATTTTGGGATCGACAAAAGCTGCACATTGTCGGGGATCGTACAAGCCGAAGCCATCTCCAGTGGAGCAATCTGGGCAATCTGGGCAATCTGGGCAATCGATGGGCTACCCGCAGGAGCTGTTGGCTGTGGCAGCAAAAGCCAGAGAGAATAAGACAAAACTGACACTTCAGAATTCGGCATGTCCGGGCAAAGGCGACAAGGAAACGCATGGATGGGATGCCGTAGGATGCGCTATGGGCAAGTCCAACTCCAAGCCCAATTCGATGGATGAACGTGAAAAGTGCCACAAAAAGACAAAAACTTCTAAGAAACACAAAAATCCGGCATCAGGCGAAACGGGGCAGAAGTCTTTGCCTCAGACGAAGACCTCGGCTGCTGCTCAGCAGGGAGACAGCTGCAGCAAGAATGATGCACATAAATACGAATGTCCGGGACCAAGCGATACCGGACACTATCTGTTCGATGGCATGGGACGCGCCATTGGCAAGTGCCAGTGCCAGTGTCAGAGTGGCTCTCAGAAAAAGAGTGCCGGCAAAAAGGAGGACTCTGTGGCGAAGGACATTGGTGAAAGTCAATCCACATGTAGTGAAGAATCCAGCTATTACACTCCACGTTCCAGCGTTGGGGAAACCGCTGAGGTCCCACCACCACGACTGCGAGCGAAAAGCCAAAAGAGGCACCCAAATTGATTGATTGGGGACCAGATGCACACTTTGACGATCGTCCAATGCGGGTTGTGGGGGAGAGAGAGAGAGTTGTTGGAGAGCTGCTCTCTCTCTTTTTTGTGCAGTGCAGAANATCTTCGCATTCAGCAGCAGGATCATGCGAGGATCATTTCCCTAGGGATATTATGGATGGCAGGCGTGAAGGCATTACATTCTTCGACCCAAAGCTATCTCCGCCATCTCAAAGTGGGCAATCCATGTGCAGCAGGGTGCCCGCAGAGGCAGTTCCTCAGCAATGCATCGATGCATCGCAGAAGGTTATTCAACAAAGTTTACTTGGATGTCAGTTAATTTTGGGATCGACAAAAGCTGCACATTGTCGGGGATCGTACAAGCCGAAGCCATCTCCAGTGGAGCAATCTGGGCAATCTGGGCAATCTGGGCAATCGATGGGCTACCCGCAGGAGCTGTTGGCTGTGGCAGCAAAAGCCAGAGAGAATAAGACAAAACTGACACTTCAGAATTCGGCATGTCCGGGCAAAGGCGACAAGGAAACGCATGGATGGGATGCCGTAGGATGCGCTATGGGCAAGTCCAACTCCAAGCCCAATTCGATGGATGAACGTGAAAAGTGCCACAAAAAGACAAAAACTTCTAAGAAACACAAAAATCCGGCATCAGGCGAAACGGGGCAGAAGTCTTTGCCTCAGACGAAGACCTCGGCTGCTGCTCAGCAGGGAGACAGCTGCAGCAAGAATGATGCACATAAATACGAATGTCCGGGACCAAGCGATACCGGACACTATCTGTTCGATGGCATGGGACGCGCCATTGGCAAGTGCCAGTGCCAGTGTCAGAGTGGCTCTCAGAAAAAGAGTGCCGGCAAAAAGGAGGACTCTGTGGCGAAGGACATTGGTGAAAGTCAATCCACATGTAGTGAAGAATCCAGCTATTACACTCCACGTTCCAGCGTTGGGGAAACCGCTGAGGTCCCACCACCACGACTGCGAGCGAAAAGCCAAAAGAGGCACCCAAATTGATTGATTGGGGACCAGATGCACACTTTGACGATCGTCCAATGCGGGTTGTGGGGGAGAGAGAGAGAGTTGTTGGAGAGCTGCTCTCTCTTTTTTGTGCAGTGCAGAATGAATTAGTTTTCGTTGTTAAAATTGTTGATTGTACATTACAGATGTAATAAAAAAAGTTCTATGTGATATTCTGTGGAGGGAACTCTTGAGTATGTGAACAGAGCATGCGTATGCACAGTACGAGTGACTGCAGAGGTGCAGACCAGAACAGGCAGGCAGGCGAGAGAGCGAGGCTGCGAGTATAGCGTGCAAGAGCGATTGAGAGACAAATTAACCGTTGCATTGGTTGCTGCCGTGCGGGTGCTTATGCAAGCATAAATGCATTTGTTTGCAGGTAGCTGACAATTAGGTACAGTGGGCAGTGCAACTCAAAGTCAAGTCAAATATTTGGCAGCGTAACAAAATAAATATATACGACAGTTTTCGTTGTTAAAATTGTTGATTGTACATTACAGATGTAATAAAAACAGTTCTATGTGATATTCTGTGGAGCGAACTCTTGGGGGGGAGATACAGAAAAGACATCCAAAGAAGTATTACTTTTACGCTTACTGTACAATTTATTGTTGGACGAAGACGTAAGCAGGTAGCTGCAAAAGCAATGTAAAGCCCGAAAGCTCTCGGCCCTAATGCAAGCGAGAGAGAGAGAGCGCGCGACAGATCGAGGAAGCGAAAGAAGAATGAGAGCAAGAAGCGTGATAAGTATGTGAACAGAGCATGCGTATGTACAGTACGAGTGACTGCAGAGGTGCAGACCAGAACAGGCAGGCAGGCGAGAGAGCGAGGCTGCGAGTATAGCGTGCAAGAGCGATTGAGAGACAAATTAACCGTTGCATTGGTTGCTGCCGTGCGGGTGCTTATGCATGCATAAATGCATTTGTTTGCAGGTAGCTGACAATTAGGTACAGTGGGCAGTGCAACTCAAAGTCAAGTCAAATATTTGGCAGCGTAACAAAATAAATATATACGACAGTTTTCGTTGTTAAAATTGTTGATTGTACATTACAGATGTAATAGAAACAGTTCTATGTGATATTCTGTGGAGGGAATTCTTGGGGGGGAGATACAGAAAAGACATCCAAAGTATTACTTTTACGCTTACTGTACAATTTATTGTTGGACGAAAACGTAAGCAGGTAGCTGCAAAAGCAATGTAAAGCCCGAAAGCTCTCGGCCCTAATGCAAGTGAGAGAGAGAGAGAGAGAGAGCGCGACAGATCGAGGGAGCGAAAGAAGAATGAGAGCAAGAAGCGTGATAAGTATGTGAACAGAGCATGCGTATGCACAGTACGAGTGACTGCAGAGGTGCAGACCATGGTAGAATTACTAATAGGTAACGTTATCAGCTGAGTGGAGGATCACCAGCTTATTCACCACGCTCTCTCAGCTCTCAGAGAGGCAAGCGCTAGAGAGAAATAGGAAACGTTTTACGTTTTGCACTCTTCGCTTTTATTGTTTCTGCTGACAGCAAAGACAATATGTTCGATAATAAATAAAACGAACAAGAGGAGCATGGAATAGCTGACAGCATGGTTTATGTTCTTCTCTACGCACATACCCACGACACACATATCTACGACATATGTATGTATGTGCTCTCTGTCTACCGCTTTTAGTTCTGGTTGCAAAATACCAAACATTTCTTTTAATATAAGTACTAAATTTGGAGTCTTAGTTTTTAAAAGTTACGCTGAAACGTGCCTTCGATGGAATGCCGGGAATGGTAGGCCAACGACATCACACTCCATCTAAGCCTGCAGTTTGTCTTGGGTTTGGGTTGAAGAATTATCATAAGAGTTGAAAATGTTAGGTTTGATGGTTTATTTGTTTTTCAGTTGAATGTTTTTACAATATACAATACGGGCATAAAAACTAAAAACGTACACGTACACGTACACGTACACGTATGTACACATCTCGCATAGACAGACTGGTGTGTATGCCATAGAGAGAGTACAGTATAGATGGGTGAGCGCGTATACACCTTTGGATCATTTGATGGGGGGTATGCACGCACACCCACAGACACTTCTCGCATTACATTATTACAATATATAGATAGGCCTAGACATACTCGGTACCAAAGCTTAAACTTTAACACATAAATCAGTCGAAAACAGATCGTTTCATGAATTGTTGCTTGTTGCCGAATGCTCGTACATAATCGTACATACTCGTACTCGTACTCGTACTCGTATATAATAAATAAAACACCTGCTGCATTATCATAATCGTTACAGTAGTCGGTTATAATATTTTTTGCTTCCCATGTTGTGTGCTTGGATTTCCCCATCTGTTTTGCGGTTGAATGAACAAATATTTAAATATAATCTAAAACGAATTTGCAAACACATCAAGCCCATCATGCCACATCTCCTACTTCTGCTACATTCTACTTTCTGTCTATATACAAGGCTCTTCTTCTCTACTATACAATACAAATCAACTGAAGTTCTCCAATTTTGATTGGGCGTCTATTGAGCTAGTTGGTTCATGGTTGGGGCTAATAAGTTATGCACTTTGCTGTTGGGTTGCTGCTGTGATTAGATTTCGATACAACACGAGGATGAGGGGCAGAAAGGTATGCGTATGAGTCTGGTCTGGTTAAGGAACATGTTAAATGGACTACAAATATTTACAGAGGGTACAGAGTCTCTCCTAGGGACTGCTTCTTTTTTGTTTTGTTTTTAGTTTTTTCTTATTTTCTGGGTGTATACATTCTTCGTACAAATCGAAATTGCTCTTGACTCCTTCCTATATGGAATACATACTATAATCATGTATATAATAGGTATATGCTTGTATATATCTGTGTATATAGTTGTATAATGTAAACATTTAACATTGAAAGGGGCGTGGCATATAGTAGTAGTAGACTGAACGATAGATAGCTGGATATACGGATACATATCTCAATGGACAAACATTATTGCTTTCAACTATTGCGCAAAGGAATTTCTATATATGCACAAGACTCGGATATAGGACGATATATATGTATATATATCTTTTGATTTCGATTCTAAACAAGGATAGTAATGCAAACAAAAAGGAAAGAGAATACAAAACGAAGGAGAGTACAATAAATTAGAGCTAGGGTCGTTGAAGATGAAGAAGATTTTCGCTGAGGCCTAACACTTATACGTATAAGACTTTTGAACACTTTCGTTTGCTTTGCCCGTCTCCGTCTGTCTGTCTCAATCACATGTCCACGGCGCCTTATCCATCCATCGGTTACCATTTCTGCTGCTTTTTGCTGTTGCTGGAGCCACTGGAGCTCCTGGCCATGCATCCCCATTCCCAACCGCATTCGTATCCGTATCCGTATCCGTATCCGCATCCGCATACAAGCTGGCATACGAACCGCTCGCCGAGTATGCCCTGCGACCCGCTCCTCTCATTCCGCCCACCGCTGTGGCGGTGTTCATGTGGCCTCGAGGTGCAGGCATCGACATTGGTGCCTGGTCCCCCGTTGATGCATCGAGAACGGAGGCATCGGAGGCATCACCAGCGCCGCCGGAATCGTCATCGAAGCCATACCAGCATCACATGACCATAATTTGCAGCGCCACTCATTGATCTATGGTGCGATAGATGCGTCTCTGCGGCTCGGGGGTGTAGTGGATGCGGGTGCGGAAGTGCTGCGGTGATCCTGGGACGCTCTCAGAGCCGCGTCGCGGTGGCGGCAACGGCGGCGAAGCCGACACATATCTAAAAGGCAAGGGAATAGAATTAACACGGCTTAGAGCAGGCCAACAATAGACAGGAAAATACGCACCGTCTGTGGAGCAGGGGGGAGCCCGGCGGCTGTCCGCTCAGCTCGAGCAGATTCTTGCGCAACAGCAACGGTGACTGGCCGCGATTGTAGCGTGGCGGCGGATCCGGACTCCGATGTCTGCGATCTAGACCGGCCAGAATGTGCGGACTGGGCGGTGTGCTTATGCTGCCACCGCCACCGCCACCGCCACCAGGACCACCTGCACCACTGCTGCCATAGCGCCGCAGAAAGCCAGCGCTGCTGCCCAGCGGCTCTGTGGTGGGAGATGTGCTCTGGCTGGTGTTACTGCTGCTGCTGGCCGCTGAGAGGGTGCGATAATAGTAGGCCTTGCCGCCACCGCCGCCATTGTTTACGACACTCCTGTAGGCTGGCGGCTGTACCTGCGACTGCATCTGCATCTGCATCTGCATCTGGATCTGTGGCTGCACTGGACTCGACATGGACTCCATAGGTTGTTGCTGCTGTTGCTGGTACTGGTACTGGTACTGATTCTGGTTGTGGTGGTGTTGCTGTAACTGTGGCTGTGGCTGTGGCTGTGGCTCACCCATGCTGGCCACCGGTGACGTGGCTGTGGAATTCAATTGAGTTTTAACATAGGTGGCAAACTGTCGCTTCATGGCGCCGGCGAGTGTGTTGAACCAGCCTGATGTAACGATGATTAATGGTTGTTTGATTGATTGATGGATTGATTGATTTGTGGGAGGCAGTGCAATGATTATGGCGTGCGTTTTGTGTGCGGTGTTGTGGTGCATGGAGGTGCAGTGCGCGTGTGGAGAAAAAATAAACAAAGAGAGAAAGGACGAAACGAAAATGTAAATGCAATCGAAAAGATTTTCCCCCAAAGCTCAAGCTCAAAGCAAACCCTAAAGCGGCAGCCAAAATATGAAGATATGAGGCGGTGGCGCATCACTCACCCGCATCGTGGTGCTCCTTCCCGTCCAGGCTGCTGCTGCTCGCCCCACTGCTCGAGCTCTGGCCCAAAAGTTGTCGGCGAGCATAAAGCTTACTCAACTTGCTGGCCACCATCGATCCTCCACCGCCTACGCCGCCTCCTCCTCCTCCTCCTCCACCGACATACTCCATCTGTGGAGGCGGCTGCTGCTGCTGCTGTTGCTGGTGCAGGGGCTGATCTTGCGACCTGGGACTGGTGGCCGCCTCCGCCGTCGTTAGGGGCAGCGGCTGGTATTGCAGCTGCTCCGCAGTGCCCACCCCAAAGTGCCCGGCCGCCGACACAGCCGCAGTCGTCGCTCCGGGTGGCGATTGACTGGCGAGGGAAGCTGCAATCTGCGAGCACGTTGACTGCGTGGACGACTGACTAGATGTGGAGTGCGTCGAGGGCGGTGGCGGCACGTAGTTGCTGTGGAATGGGTTCGTGCTGGTACCGCCGACTGACTGCTGCTGCCGCTGCTGCTGGTACCGCTCGGCGGCCTCCTTCTCCCGAAGCTGGTTCTGCTGATGGTAGAAACGTTGCAGCACTAAAACGACAAAGGGAGAGCTAGTGATATAGCCACAGATTCGATTCAAAATTCTCTTATCAAATATTACCTATGGGGCTTTGATTCCCAGACTGCAGACGTGGTGGTTGTTGCTGCTGCTGTAGTTGGCAGTTGAGCTGCAAAGTTCCCGCCGATCCTGTTGGGGCTGCCGCTGCCGCTGGAACTGCCACTGCCGCCTGTGTTTGTAGCTCTGTGGGAAATGGCCTGCGCTGCAGCGATGGGGAGGGTGAAGACAGGCCCAGGGTCAGGGTATTTGCATTCAAATTCACATTCACATTACTACTACTATCACAGCTGTCATAGGCTAAGGGATTATCCGCTGGCAGCCGCCAATGTGGCGTGCTGGGTGCTGTCGCTGGCGCTGCTGTTGCTGTTACTGTTGCTGCTACCGTTTGATCCATGGTTGTTGTTGTTTTGGTGGTTGTTTGGTTGTTGTGCGGCAGTGGTGTTGTTCCTGTTGATTTTGTTGCTGCTGCTGTTGGTGTTGCAGTTGGTGTCGTCGATGCGGACGCTGAAGCTGACGCTGGCGATGTTCCATGATGTTTCTTTTGGCTAAAGGGCGATGTCGTCAGGTTGCGTAGAATCGATTGGCCTGCAAGTACGAAACGCAAGAGAATGAGCAACAGATAAGATAAGGAACGAGTCTCCCTGCGACCAAGAGTTGGTGCTAGCCACACTGGCAGAGAGAGAGCCAAACGGGGAGAGACTATTCGTTGAAGTTCTTTGGCAAAGCCCAGACTAATTCGCTTACAGCTTATACAGAAAAATGGTTTCCAAGAGACTCAGAACCTATACCCACCAATGCTGCTGAACATCGACTCCTTCTTGGGGCTCTCATCGTTGTATTTGTAGTGCTGCTGCTGCTGATAATGATGAGGGTTTCCGTTGCTCAGCTTCCGCTGCATAAAGGGCGACTTGCGATAGAGTTTGCTGATGTCGCTGATACCACCAGGCGGCGACAGTGGGCTGGCACTGATACCACCACCACCGCTGGGCGGCGACAATGGGCTGGCACTTATCCCACTGGCCGGCGACATTGGGCTGGCACTGCTGCTGCCGCTCCTGCTCCCACCACTGTGGCCGAAGCAATTTGTGCCTGTGCCTGTGCCTGTGGCTGTTCCTGCTCCTGTTGTTGCTCCTATCGTTGTTGTTGTTGTTTGAGGTAGTTGTGTGGCTGATTGTATGAAATACTGCGACTTCTGTTGCTGCTGCGCCTGTGGTTGCTGGTAGCTCGGTATCTGCGTGGGTTTTATTGTCTTCTGTGGATTCGTGGTGCTCGCCGACGCTTGGTAGGTTATTGCCGCTCTGCCGTATTTGGTTGAGGCTGCCGATCCTGATGCGGCAGCTGCTACTCCCGATCCAGGCCCTCCTGCTGCACCGCCTCCAGGTGTTGCCGCTGTTGCTGCTGGTGTTTTTGTTGTTGTTGTTGTTGTTGTTGGTCTGCAATTATCATGGAATTCATATTAATCGTTGAAGTCATCGGTAACACAATATCCATGTCGATTTGGGAAATCGATCAATAAATGAGAGGAAAACACTCAGTTGGAGGAATGGGAGGAGTTGGAGTGGAGTGGAGTGGAGTGGATGGTAAGGATGGGACGCATATCCTTATATGTACATAAATATGTAAATACATACATACATACATATGTACATACATATATGTATTCACAGCAACACATAAAACATACATTTAGATATACATATAGAAATGATTCTTGGTGTGTGTGTGTGGGTGTTTAGGTGTTTGTATATACAGTTTCTGTGTATGTGTGTGTGTGTGTATGCTTGTGTGGAACAGAGATCAAGCGAGAGAATGATGGAGCCAGCGAGAGAGAGAGAGAAATAGCTACAGCGAGTGAGCAATAGCGGGATGCCAGACTGGGATAGGCATAGAGATGCCAACTCGTTAAAGCATCGGCAGGATAACTGCTTGCTGCTTGACTTTACATACGTTCAATACTTTTTGCATATTCACATGATCGAAATTGAGGGGGAAAGCGGATATGGTAACCCCAGAGTGGTGCAGCAGAACCCAAATATTGTACAACCCAAAATTAAGCACTATTCAACATATCGAAATTACCTTCTTTGATGTGCATGTAGCATGAGCTTTGTGGAAACTTTTGATAAATTAAAACAAAAATAGAAAACAATTCAAATCAAATCCGAAACCGAAACCGAAACCGAAACTGAAAAGTTAATGAAAGCCAGGCAAGAGTCATGCGAGCGACATGCAAATAAACAAGTCCATAAAAATCAACAAAAATCCAATCAAATAATAGAATGGAGGGCAAACATCGGTCCAGCCGAAGCTTCAGAAGCGTTCCTACGATTGTTCAACAAAATTATATGCAGGTTTAATAATTAGATCTTTTATAAACCAATTATGATAAGGTGTCGGTTAGGATTCCTACGGCAAATGGAATTATGTGCTGCACCTGATCAACTTTATTGCTTAGACGCCTGAGATCAAGCTTGTAGCTGCAAGGGTATGCGTTGGTTAATGAAATGTTAGTCAAGCCTATGATATAATGATACAGAGTGGAATGGATGGATACATACAGGATATGCACAGCAAATGAAAACTATAATTAGACGGCTAATAATGGTAATAATAAACTCATCGTACTTACTGAATTTTACTTTTGATTGGGGAGGAGTTTTTTGTATGGTCTTGAGTAGTTATGTTCTTGGTATTATCATAATATATAGTAAATATATATATAAGTATAGGTTTATATCTGCATATAGATTGGTATCGGTATTGATTGGTTGCTTGCCAGTTCTTTAAACATATATATATATATTGTATTTTATATATAGTATGGATGCTGTTTTGCTTTTTGGGTGGTTTATGTGGTTTGGGTTTTTAGAGTTTGGCTTTCTTTATGGGTTGCTTGGTTGTCTTCTGCATTTTCGATTATATTTCTTTTATAATTTGTCGTTATAGTTATCGCATTATTTTCTCATTTTCAATTGTTTTCTTTTTATATTTGTATTGGTATTGGTTTTTTTTTTTGTTTTTTTGTTTGTTTAATTTTGTATTTTAGAAATGGTATTAGGAATTAGGTAACCTACAAAAAATGGTAATAAAAAGATGGTAAAAAAAGGAAAATAAAAACACTGCGCACACACACACGTTCAAATGAGATTCTTCAACAATTAAACGTAAAAAAGTATCACAAAAATTGGAAGAAACAAATAAAAGTTTATAAATATTTCGTAACAGGGTTCTAAGGTTATTTTTTTGTCTGAATCTACTGGGCAGAGTATTACTTATATTGTATGCATGTACATGGGTAGATCAAGTACCAGTTGGAGCATAGACGGATAGATATGGGATATGCAAAGGACAGTCTTTACAGTGAAGTAGTGGTTCACAGGTTTACACCACCATTTCGATATCGGACACCCGTTCTACAGTGCTTTTCAAGATTTTTTTTCAAATTATTTGAAACTAAAAATAATTATCCGATTTAGAAGATTTTTAATAACATCGGAATAGATTTAAAAACTTTGTTTTATTGTACTTTATTGTACTTCAACACCCATAGTAGATCATAAAACGTATTCATAGATTTTAGTTGCAGTTTGGAAAAAAACATTCTTGCTATGCCTCTAGGCTCTAGGATTCGAGAAGAACAAATTCTATATTGCCATAATTGCTATTTTGTGTAGGGTGTGAGAAACGAAGAGAGGTGTCTCAAAGAAAACATGCCAAAATCATAAACAACAAAGAATATAGCGATAAGTAGGAGGAGCGAAAAGAGGAAAGTTCCTTTGCCGGGAGATGAACTAAAAACGAGACTTTGTGGTCCTTGTGGTGTGGTTTAATTGATTAAAACGAAAAGTAAAGGAAACAAGCAATTGGAATTTAGTTGCTAGCATTAGAAATTAGAATTTAGAAATTAAATATTTAGTTTTTTTGTGTTAGGCAGTAGTCTGTCCTGCGATTAGGTACTGTTGATCCTTTCTCCTACCTTCTAGCAGGATCGAATGCTTCCCAGATACGGACTGAAGAAGCGCAGAAAACAGAAAACGGAAAAGGAAAAGATACGCGCAGAATACGCTCAACAGAGACACAGAAAGAGACAGAGACAGAGACAGAGAGAGGTCTATACAGAACAACCTCATCGTCCGCGGATTGTACATATTTTTGTGGTTGTATTTTTTGGGGGAACTGTGGTGTTTGTTTTTTTGTGTGTTTCAAGAGGGGGCTACCCGGTCTCCTCACCTCTTCAGCGTGGGATCACCATTGACGCGCAGCCGCTTGCCGGCCGACTCCATGACCATCTGAAACCAATTTGGAACATCTACTTTGGCTATTTCATAGTTCCTTATGAATGGCTGCACCAGGAGCTCCGGATACTTGGGTCGATCCTGATGGTTCTTTGTGAGGCTGCAACGAAACTCTTGTTTTACATTTTGTTGCTTAAAAAAGAGAACCAAGGGCACGCACCACTTGATGACAAAATCGTGAAACTCATGACTAAAATTGAAGCCCTCGCCGCTCGGCAGGCAGGGTGGCTCCGAATCCAGCACCTTGGTGAGCACCTCAAAGTCCGTGTTGCAGCCTTCGTAGGGGGATCGCGCAGTGGCCAGCTCGACGAGCGTTATGCCCAGCGACCAGACATCGGCGCGTATGTCATACTTTGGTTTCTTTGGATCAATGCGCTCCGGCTAAAAGGAAGCAATAAAGGAATATCAATAAGTACGCACAGTGCTCGGACCGGCCCGGTCCAGCCAGTATACCCACCGCCATGTACGCCGCACAGCCAGCCGAGCGCGTGTTGGCCTTGGAGTCCACCAGACGACCGCTGATCCCAAAGTCGCAGAGCTTGATGTTGCCACGCTCGTCGATCAGTATGTTAGAGGGCTTCACGTCCCGATGGATAACCCCATGCTTGTCCTTCAGATACGACAGGGCGTTGACCGTCTGTGGGGTGATCGGAATCGGGTGATCAATCAGAGGAAAATCAGCAAAAACGGAGAGCCAGCCGCCTACTTACCGCCACTGTGACCTTGCCGAGAATGCATTCCGGCACCGGCTTCTTGGAGAGTTTGAGTAGCTTGTCGAAGCACATCGACATCAGTTCCATGCAGATCCACACGTCCGGGTCGCGCACGAAGCAACCGAGGCACTTTACAATGTATTTGCAGTCGTGGGACTTGAGCACCACATCCAGATCCATCAGGATGCGCTTGTTCTCCTCCGCATTGCCCGTGCGCCGCATCTGCTTCACGGCAATGATTGTATCGCTGGAGACATGCAGCATCTTCACCACATTGCCGCTGGTCCCATTCCCCAGATCGCCCAGGTGCTGCAGATCGTGGATGTCTGTCGGGTACTGCCGCCCGTTTATGTTCAGCTTGCCCGTCTGGGCCATAATGATCTTTAGCTTCTTGTCCGTCTCCGTTTCCGAAGGATGCAATTGTGTTGGCAGCGACAGGATCATAGGTCGCCGATACAAGCCAGCATCGGCTGCAAAAAATAAAAGAGGTGTAAAAGATGAATATTAACGAGAAGGGACGTGTGAGACGCTTCTTACGCGTCACAACTTTTATACCCGGCACTCAGGACTACATCTAGATGTAGAAGACATCGCCAACCACTAGATATCGTTCACATTACAGAACACGAAGTGAAAAGCCTACTAAATAAAAGGCATCAAAAATATTGGATCAGTTAATCGTATTTTCCAATTTATGAGATATTTAAAACAGCTAGGTTTCACAGCAGATTTTTCGAAAGTAGCGCCATCTATGAAAATTTCTTATACGCAACTTTGATGGTCACTCTTTTTCTAATACAGAGCGTTAAAAACCTAGTCTTGGTTTTAACTTTTAAAAATTAGCTTTTGGCCACTGTTTCCGCAACTCCTCGCAACCAGTTCAGAATCAAAATCTCGAAATAAAAAGCCAAGTGCTGCTGTTCGGCCGAGTCAGAATTCAAATCAATTTAATCTCTTCTTCGTTTCAATTTCGATATTCACCTATTAAATGCATTTTCTTCCTCTTTCTCTATCGTATTCACATATCACATGTATGTTCTATAGCAACAAGCTTCTGTCAGTAGCTTAATGCTACAAAGTCATCTACATCTACAACACTTCTCACACCAACACGCTCGCCGCCCTCCCTAGACCGACATACTGCTGACTAGCGGTAGAGGCAGAGGCAGCGCCCTCACACAAAAAAAAAAAACAAATATAAGCTGCGGGACGGGGTGGGTTAAAAGTCGGAAGAGTCAGCGCCAGGGGGAGGGCAGAGGCAGGGGCCGAGTGAAGCAGAAGCAGAGTGTGAATGAGAGAATGCTTGTATCTTCAAAACTGTAGATTTTGGGGGGTTTTCGCCCTTTTGCGGGGGCGGAATGGGGCGTGGCTCATTTTTGAAACACACTGGTTTCAGTGTGAGCAGACAGCAGTCCGGAACCAAAATTTGGTGGCTCTAGCTCTTATAGTCTCTGAGAACGAGCCGACAAACAAGACGGACAGACGGACAGACAGACATGGCTCTATCGACTCGGCTATTGATGCTGATCAAGAATATATATACTTTATGGGGTCGGAAACGCTTCCTTCTGTGCGTTACATACAACCGTTATTCGCACAAATACAATATACCCTATTTACTCTTTGAGTACCGGGTATAAAAATAGTTTATGGGGTACAAATAATTGGAAGATCTCCTGTCCGCAGATATATGTACATGAATGTGTCTCGCTTATGTGAACAAATTAACGCACAAATACAAAGTAAATGTGTCCACAAAGCACATCCGACTATGGGAAATCCTTCATACGACAGCGTTTCTTATCGGCAACAAAGCTCTCCATTCGAATGTTCGATTGGGAGACGACGATAATAATGTTCTTCCCAATGTCAATAACAACAATGGCAAAAAATAACAACAGTTCCCTCAAACTGTAAACACAAATAATCCCTAAATAAATATACACAAACACACACTCACACGCACACAATCAAATACTAACACAGTTCTTAAGAAACTGTTTTAAAGTCAAGAGAATTACTATTTCGCACTGTGGGTGTAATTTCTCATTCGCCACATAAGTATTTTGGAATTGTTGATTATGAAATACTACAATAATTAGTTTACAAGCTCATAAATTATAAAAACACTATCAAGACGTTGAGCAACTAGTGTTGGAAGTTGTTGCTTCGAACGTAAAGAAAATATTCTTTAATTTCTCGTACATAAGACATATTACATTCACGGGAGAACAACTTTCCATGACGACGAAATTTAGGTACTCCAAATTCCAGTTTACATCGAAATTGTTCCACTGTGCGACTTTAACGATCTCCCATTTACGAGTTTCGTGGTACTGATCTGCGAGAGGGTGGGTGGAAGAGAGAACAGGGGTCGCCAGCCACGCTTACAAAGCGAGAGACAGCGCGAGGAGCCACACTTGGCTTTGTGTGAGGTGTGAGCGAGATCGGAAGAGTTCTAGTAGTTTTTTCCCCCCCACTTACTCCCTTACCCAATGACAAAAATAATTCAAAGTGAAAAAACAATTAGCAATAACAAGAAGCAACAAAAGCAAGACATAAACAAATACCGTTATGTGTAAACCTGCGAAAGAGGCGACACACATGAAATCCATAACAATCGACTGTGGTCGACTATTGTGAAGAAAGGGAGAGGAGTAGAGAGGGAAAAAATAAACGCGAGAGCAGAGCGGCTCGGCGTATCACGAAATTTACTCCGGAAATGCCAAAAAAATAACCAATAACATACCTATTCACACAAAGAGAAAGAGTGAACGAAGGAGAGAGCACATATGTACACACACACAGAAAGCATGGGCTGATGAAAATCCAATACGAATGCGGTGAGGGAGGATAACGCATGGATGGGGGGTGGTGGGTGTCACTGAGGGATGGGATGGCTGTAGCTGGACGGACAAACAGCAAGTGTTTTTTTTTTTGTTTTGCTATATATGGAATAAGATACCGAACATATGAACATTGGTACATACATATACATATGCAGTCTTGCGTGTGTTTGTGTGTATGTGTGTGTGTTTGCCGAAAACAAGTTTTGCTTTGCTTTTGGTTTTCGCACTTGGGGCCAGGCCAGCCGAGCGACCGTCCGCCCCAGACACCTCTTATCTATGCAATCGTCAAACGCCATGAAAGAGCAGGAGGAGGAGATAGACAGAAGGGTGAGGATACAGTCCCGTTATGCAGTCCCGGAATCGATAGCATATTCCCCCCTTTGTCAACAGGGCAAATCAACTGCTTATAAGAAGAAACAAGCAATATTTCTTATCAGAACACAAATATGCACACACACGAAGGCACACAGCTTATTGGGACTCGTACCCTTACCCCCTCTGAACCAAAGAAACTTACACAGCGGCAGGTTCGGTGTGGGACGCGGACTCCTGTTGGTGGGCGGGATAAAGGTGCCGCCATAGACGCCCGCTGGCTGAGGAACTGGTGGCGCGGGTCGAGAGGCTATGCTGATATGCGGCCCAACTGTGGTGGAGGTGACGGCAGTGGTGGCCGGAGAGGGGGCTGCTGCCGGTGCTGGTTGGACACGCGCCAGCGATGAGGAGCCTCCGCTGACGCCGCTGCTGCCACCGCGCGGCCTCGATAAGACAATTTGTTCATGGGATTCGTTCTGAGCCTGCAGCGCAGCCTCCAGCGACTGCAGTCGGCTGCCAATCGTCTCAAATTCGATGGAGGACATTGTTACGGTTCTTTTCGGGATGCTCTTCTCTTGGACCAGCACGAGAGCGGTGGCAGCGGATGAACGGAGCAGGTCCTGGGTTCTTCGATTTTTCGTACTGGAGCGGCAGCGGTGGCGGCGGCGGTCTGCAGAACACACACACACGCACACACTCAGCGCGCGCGCGAGTGTGAGTGTCTCTTGGGCTTTTCCTGTATTCTGCCTTTTCCTCTCTTTCACTATATTTTTTGTCGAGGTGTGGGGCGGTGCACACGCGCTTTTGCACAAATAATTAACTGTTGTTGCCGAAACAAAAACAATATCCACAAAAAGAAAACAGCGACAGCGGCGAGAAAGAGAGCGAGTGAGGCACGCACTCACTCACACAGCACTACACAACAACAACAGCAACAACAGGAGCTCGCGATTTTTTTCTTTTTTTTCGATTGGCACACGACGGCGACGACGTTTAAGGGTTTTTGTCGCGAGGAATCACTACGGTGCGTTATTTACCGATTATGATTTGCCGCGGGCAGCGGTCACATTCGCACTATTATTACACCTTATTTGCTTGATTTATTGCTTGGAATCGTATCTAAAATCTATAAAACGAAGACCTGGCTGAGCAGCAACAACGATAACAGAGTGGCCAGAAATGGGCTGAAGCGTAATGCGACAATACGCTAGTGCGTTTCTGCAGTGAAATACTGAAATACTAACTATCGATAAGTGGATTTGAAAATCGTTATTCAAATAAGCAACCATGTTGACAACCCTAAGCACACTCTCCTCTCTTTCGTGATAAAAAAAAGTAACGAAACAACATACCCGGTTTTAATACGCTTACTGAGATACCTGAATCTAAATGTCCCACACATGGTAGTTATTCTATGCGTTTGGTATAGGTAAGAAAACAGGAAATAAATTTGACTAAATTGGTCAACAATTAGAGAAGACACCTTGCTATCACATTAAGTAGGGTATGATTGTATTTTGACGAATTCTTTTGCCGCATATCGCATTAGAATAGCGATATTTTGTTGTATATCGATAAGCTGGAAGTTGAAGCCAAAGAATAACTCGAATCGACAAAAAAATAGTGTCGAATTGCCCAGAACACAGAGATATTTTTGCGTTGATAATACATTCGACAATTTTGCGCATATTTTCTGGCACCTGCATATAAATAAGCACCATCAACAAAAACAATTTATCGATATATTGGGTACCAATATATATCTAACATCGCTAATTGTTTTTGACGAGGACGAGGAATACGCGAGGAAAAGCAAGAAAATCGCAAAGAAGCGCGAGAAAAACAGGAAAAGTGCAAAACGGAAAAGCGCGACCACAAAGTCAAACCAAAGCGCGGCATTTTCACAGCGTTTGCATTCCATTCAGACGCGCAGCGAACGTGCCTTTCCACGAACACGGATCAGGTTATTTTGACCAAATGTGGTAAAAATAGCAGACAGCAGAAGCAGAGAAGCAGCAGCCACTGCCGTCGCCGCCGCGCCGTCGTCGTCGACGCCGACTCCCAATCTCCAAAAAAGCCCACACATTCGCATCCAAATCCAAATCCCCCTCCCTCCTTCCCCACAAACGCACGCACACAGCCACACGGTCACACGCACACTGATATCCGTGCAATAGCAAGAGGGAAAATCTTTGCGGAAAAGTGCAACAACAACAACAACACACACACACACACACACACACACACACACACGCGTAGAATCGAAGAGAGACCGAAGCCGCAATGTCACGACCACGTCCGCGCCCCCAACCCATCAGTATCCACCGCGAGCCGGAACAAGCTCTGTAAGTGCACGAAGCAGTAGCCCGTAACCCCGCACACCTGGCACAATCCATGAAATTCACTTCTGTCTTTTGCCTTTTGCAGTGTCCCGCCACGGAACTTGGACTCACGCGCCACCATCCAGATCGGCGACCAGACCTTCGACATAGATGCCGACAGCCTGGAGCGAATCTGTGATCTGGGACGGGGCGCCTATGGCATTGTGGAGAAGATGCGCCATCGCCAGACGGACACAGTGTTGGCGGTGAAGCGTATACCGATGACCGTCAACATACGGGAGCAGCATCGTCTGGTCATGGACCTGGACATATCGATGCGCTCCAGCGACTGCCCCTACACGGTGCACTTCTATGGGGCGATGTACCGCGAGGGCGATGTCTGGATTTGCATGGAGGTGATGAGCACCAGCCTGGACAAATTCTATCCGAAGGTCTTCAAGCATGAACTGCGCATGGAGGAGAGTGTGCTGGGAAAGGTAAGTGGAGCGGTGCAGTGCTGTGCGTTCTTTTCTCACAGCGCCACCCCGTTCTTTTCTTTACTCGCAACAGATTGCAATGAGCGTGGTCAGTGCTCTTCATTATCTGCACGCCCAACTGAAGGTCATCCACAGGGATGTGAAGCCATCGAACATACTGATCAATCGCGCCGGCCAGGTGAAGATCTGTGACTTTGGCATCTCTGGTAAGCAGACAACTAGCTCTCTGGCATTATGTTTTTTTCTATTTGAATCTCACCCGATATCAGGCTATCTGGTGGATTCCATTGCGAAGACCATTGATGCCGGCTGCAAGCCGTACATGGCACCCGAACGCATCGATCCACAAGGTAATCCTGCACAGTACGACATACGCTCCGATGTGTGGTCGCTGGGCATAAGCATGATTGAAATGGCCACCGGCCGCTATCCGTACGACAATTGGCGGACGCCATTCGAGCAATTGCGACAGGTAAATCCCTGCCCGCTGTAATCTGTAATTGATAATAGGTAATTGGGGTTTTGCAGGTGGTTGAGGATGATCCACCCAGGCTGCCGGCGGGCACATTCTCGCCCGAATTCGAAGACTTTATTGCCACCAGCCTGCAGAAGGAGTATATGGCGAGGCCCAACTACGAGCAGCTGCTGAAGCACAGCTTTATTGTCGAGCATCTGCAGCGCAATACGGACATTTCGGACTTTGTTGCCAGGATACTGGATTTGCCCGACGAGCAGCAGCAGCAGCAACTGAAGCCCCAGAAGTAGAAGCCCCCACATACCCGCAGTAGAGTCTCTTCCCGTGTAAATTGCCGCCGTCTTCTTTCTAGCATGCATTTCGTACATGTGTGTGTATGCGTGTGTGTTTGTGTGTTTGTGTGTGTGTGTGTGTGTGTGTGTTGTGTGTGCGTGTTGTGTCTTTGAACCCACAAAGAAACAAAAAATCAAAACAAAAAAATGAATAGCAGAAAAGCAAAAACCAGCAGCCCACATGGAAAACATTATATAATTCTAGTTTGTAAGTGAAAACCAAAAGCAAAAGCAAACGAGCAGAAGCCGAAGCCGAAGCCGAAACGACGACGATATACTTTACGGGTCGTCCTAGCCGACCGCCCGCCCACCCACATACCGCCCGCTCTACGCTCCAACAATGCCTATTTAGCACTACGCTCAAAACCAAACCGTGCCTCCCGTCAGCTGTCACCTGTCAGCTATCAGCCGCTGTTAGTTAGTTAGTTGCTGTTGCTGCTAAATCTATATCTTATATATGTATACACCACACTATATATTAATCAATTTGTACTACTACTAAGAGTAATCCAAAAGAAAGTGAAAGCAAGAGAAAGAGAGAGAGAGAGCCATGGACAACTTTCAGGGAGTAAAGTGGGAGTGGGACTGGAACTGGGAGGATTGCGAGTGCAGACGTAATAATGGTAATTGTCTAACATATAAGCCATACGCGGATTATAGCTAATTAATGTTTAAACATCTCCTGTAATTACTTGTTGATTTTTTTAATAATGTATAACGATACCGATCTAAATGTACAAGAGAGTGAGAGTGTGTGAGAGAAGAGAGCGCGCGCAGAGCGGCAAGAATTCAATTAATACGAGATGTGCGATGTACGATATACACTGTATGCCCTGCCCCATGCCCCAGCAATCAATCAATCAAGCAATTAATTAACATTTACATTTACATTTACCTTAACAACGAATGCGCTGGCTCTAAAACAATCAATTGTATTACTGGCTCTGAATGGTTCCTCCCTTGGAGTTAACCTAAAAATAAAATTGTGCTTGGAAGCCAGCTTCGGCATGCCGAAGCCGATGTCTCTATAAACCCTTTTTCATTTTGCAACAAGATCGAGAGATCCCTGCAATCGGAATGCGGTGCCTTTGCCTTCCCCCAGTCTTCCGATATCTTTTTTAACTTTATGGCTGCTATACTTGCTGTAGAAATATTTCCCTAGGAAGAAATATCTGGCATGGTAACTAGGGTATATTGTGTGCTTCAAGACCGATTTGCTTGTCTTCCCCCGATAGCCCATATGGAACATATGGAAGCATCTCTTGTTTGTAGCAGGGCCTTCCGTTTTCTACCTTAATTGCATCTTAATTAATCATAGTTTTATCTCCGATATATTTAAGACATTTTTCGTGTATTCGTGTATACATTTTGATGCAAAATGAAATATAACTGTACAATGTTTTTGGGTGTGTGTGTGTGTGAGAGCTTTCTCTCTCTTATTTCCGTTGAATAACTGCAATCGATCGCATGCTCCTATCGATATACAGCTAGGGATGCACTTTTCTATTGTATTTCTTTGTATTGTGTTCATCGCTTTTGACCCAGCTGCAAAGCAGAAAACACTTCGATTTACTGTTATCCGCTTTTGGGGGTCATAAAACTTTGCTAATCTGTGGGCAGCGATAAGATTGGGGCCGGCAGTACCACAACGCAACCGAAAGCCAATATGAGCGCACGAAATTTGCTGCTACTCTCCTCGTCGCGAGTGCACGGCCACGGATATCTGGAGCATGCACGCGCCCAGCTGGAGGATCTCTTCAAGGCGTAAACAATGGCACAGATCAGACAACAACAAGAAAAAACCTCTCGCTCTCTTTCAGCTGCCATGTGAAGACGGTGCTCTTTGTGCCGTATGCCCTGAGGGATCACGACAAGTACACGGCGCTCGTGCGGGATGCGATTGCACCGTGGGGCTACGCTGTCGAGGGACTGCACACCAAGGATGACCGCGGACAGGCTGTGCGCGATGCCCAGACCATATTTGTGGGCGGCGGCAATACCTTTGTGCTGCTGCGCACCCTCTACCAGCTGCAGCTGCTGGAGCCCATACGTGAGCAGGTGCTGCAGCGTGGCGTACCCTATGTGGGCAGCAGTGCGGGCACCAATGTGGCCACCCGATCCATTCACACCACCAATGACATGCCCGTGGCCCATCCGCCCAGCTTCGAGGCCCTGGCCCTTGTGCCATTCAACATCAATCCGCACTATCTGGAAACGGACCCCAATAGCGAGCACAAGGGCGAGACGCGGGACGAGCGTATCGCGGAGTTTGTTGCCTACCACTCGCGTCCAGTACTGGGCCTCAGGGAGGGCACCAGTGTGCGTGTCGAGGGCAGCAAGGCCACTCTTCTGGGTGCACGCAGTGCCAAGCTGTTCCAATCGTAAGTAGAATGCCACAAAAAACCCTCAGCCGTAATCGCTCTCCTTCTCATTCATGGCAGCGATGGAGGATCCAGGGAGCTGCAGCCCCTGGCCGATCTCAGTTTTCTGCTGAGCCAGGAATAAAAGCAAACAAAAGATTATTTTTTTACAATTATACATTGTATTATTCTGCAAAATACCAACAATTCCTACATACAACTAGTATCATAATCTACATATGACTAATAACTATACAAGATGGTGGCTCGTCCCGTAGTCAACGTTTTGCAATAAATTAAATGTTTCTCACAACAACATTAAAAAAAAACACACACATAAGAATTGTGGACTGGCAGCAGACTTCTTATTCGATGATCAAAGCGATGGCCGGGCAGGGAAGGTAAGGGAAGGAGGTGGCAAATGCGAGGCCAAAATACATATATATATATGAATATAAGAATGGAACAGTGCTACATACATTCCCATAAGCGAATAGACACGTTACTTAATGAGAGAGCGAGAGAGAGCGTGAGCTAGGGCAAGTCGGGGGGCAGACACTTCATTTTCAGTTTCACTTAAACCACTATTATACAGACACGTATAACACTTACAATTTCTAGCTAATAGTCAATGGATTCGTCCAGGAATTCTTCACGTTCACGTTAATATACAGATAAATATATGCTAAATATTTACATGCGAAAATCGAATGTTGTTGGCTCTCTCTTTTGGAACATGTGGCAATTGTTTTGGCAGCTCTTAATGTGTGTGTGTGCACACACAACCCATTTATCCCATGTATAAGGATGTCTATCGTATATTACATATAACAAATTGTGTGCCATTTTGAGCATTTAAAGTTGCACTTTGAAAGCGAGCAACAACAGGAATTGCCTAAGGTCTAAGCACTATAGTGGATTGAGATAGGTCTGTGCTACAGGGCTTATACACGAGTACGGGTAGGGAGTGGGAGTGGGAGGATTGCTTGCCAGTTCAGCCTTGGAGGGAGGCAAAAAATGCGAGTATAAGAGTTTGTATAAGTCCTGTATCTAGATCTACTTGAAATTCATTCACACATTCAAACATCCACCCATGCATTTGGTCATGCAATCGATCAATCAATCAATCATTCATTCACTCGTTCATTCAAGGAAATATTTTAAAAAGGAACTGATGATATAACAGGCAGGAGCTGGCACTGGCACTGGCACTGGCACTGTGGACCATGCTATTTGTGGAGAATACTTTTGTCCTCGTAGCGTATGATGGCATCACCGATCTGCTTGCGCGACGCCAAATGGATGCACTGCTCCCGCCCGCAAAGCTCGGGAAGCTGCTCCGGTAGCATGCCGCCGCGCCCCAAATGGTTGCGCACATCCAGGCCGAAGCGCAGATTTGGCTCGACGCCGCGCAATATGTGCACCGAGTGTTGGGCGGCCACGAACATGTCCAGTATGCTCTCGACGCCCTCGGGCCGGGACTGGGACTGGGACGCCGGCTCCAGCAGCTGATCGATGTCCAGGTCACTGCGTATGATGGGCAGCCCTTGTGGATGCAGCAGCTTGCGCGCTAAAAGGGAGAGGAGAGCAGAGCATCAAGTATTGCGTTCCCGTGTGGGTGTGGAGCCTGCCTTGCACTCACCTTGCACATAGTCGCGACTGTAGAAGGCGATCACATCGTGATTGTGGCGATCGAAGTAGCCGCTGCTCTGGGCCACGTCACACGCTTCGCACTCCTTGCAGAACTGCGCCCAGCGGCAGGGATACATCTGGAAGCCGATGGGCGCGTACACCTGGAAGCCCTGGATGGTGTTCATGCGCACGCGATTGAGAAAGTCCGCCTTGAAGGACATGCCCGGCGTGGCCAGCAGCACCAGGGACTCGAGACCGAGCTTGGGCAGGGCCAGGTCCGCCACCACGAGGCTGAGCAGCTGCCTCGGTCCGTACATGGAGCCGTGGAGCATCCAGTCCTCGGGACTGACGGGCTCACTCAGCTGCTCGGGCAGCCGTATGGACACCCAGGCAATGCGGGAGCCATCTGTCTTGTACTTGGAGGAGAGGTCCAGGGCCAGCGTTTTTAAGCCCTTGAAGGGATCCTCTTCGCCCTTGCTGGGCGAGTCCAGGCGGTACAGGAAGATCTGTGGGAGAGCGATTAGCATCGTGTTGGCATACTGGCCTGCTACTACTCGTGCAGGGCATCAGGACTCACCAGGAGCAGGAATGTGTTGTCCTGGTTTTGCATGCAGAGGCGCTCATACTGTGCCACAAATTCCAGGGCGTCCGGCACCTGGTGCTCGAATGCCGGCACCAGAATGGCGATCCGTGTGCTCTCCGTCACATAGGGCGAGGGCACCACCTCGACACGGCCCAGCGGCTTGACCACCTCGAAACTCTTGAGCAAGAGTCGCCGACGTCGGCCCGATCCTTCCTGCAGATTGAGGTGCAGCTGGTAGTCCATGCCCCGCGTCGCATCGAACTTGCGGTAGGCAGTGTGCAGGCTGTGGTAACTGAGGCCGGGATGCTTAAGGGCCGCATACTGCTGGGCGATCTCCAGCACCTTGGCAAAGTCGAGGGCCTCGATGCGTGTGAGTGGCGCCACGGCATGCTCCACGTTGCCGTTGGGCAGATAGCTGTGCGTCGCGTTAAGCATCTGCCAGATGAGGATGTCGTGGCGTGTTTCTGGCGCACTGGGCGGCGGCACGCCCAGCGGCCAGCGGATTTCGAGTATCTTGTTGGAGATGCTGCCGTTGGCAATGCGATAGGACTTTTGCTCTAGGGCATAGCCCCGCTCCTGCACCATCTCCAAGTGGTGCTGCCGCAACAAAAAAAAACAGATTTCGATTAGTAAGGCATTTTCCGTGGCAAAGCACTGACTTACCTTGGAGTAGTAGGCGTGCAGGCGGTAAAAGTCCTCTGGCGTCTGCACGGGATACACGGTGCTGGCATTCCGGAACGCTTGCTCCTTGGCCAGGTCACTGAAGTCTCGGCGCTGGCGGCCCGGAGTATTCAGGGCGTAGCTATACTGCCGCATGCCCTGCAAAGGGAGGAAGGGGTTGGAGAGTTAGTGAGAGGAAGGCAAATTGAAAATTGTCTGGCGGCGGCGTTGGCTCCAACACACTCAAAGCGAGAGAGAGAGAGAGAGAGAGAGAAAGGAAAAGAGAGTGGAGAGTGGACGGAAAGGCAATAGCTACTTCCTTCTCGTTACGCCTTTACGAACCATAAAAGCTGCAGACTGCTCACAGCATAATTAAATTAACATTGCCATACTAATGGAACGGCAGCGATGGAAAGAAGATCTGTCACTGGATCGGGATCGGGATCTGCCTTTGGCATTCTTTGCGCCTCCGGTCCAAGGTGTATTTCTATGTGGTGCATCATTTGCATGCAAGGTGCCTCTCAGTGCGAAAGCACTTTCGTTTAGTTTTGTGTGTCGTCTCATGCCAAAAGAGAGTAAAAAAAGGCGAGCGAACACGTACCCTCCAAAAAAACTCCTTGCACCGGCTCTTCACACTCCTTTGCGAATTTCCCCTTTCTTGCTCGCACTTAAAACGGTTAACTTGAAAGCGCCTACGCAAGGGAATGGCAGTGGAGAGAGTAGAGGAGCATTGAGCAAACAAAGCCTTGCATGGTGATGAGTGTGACAATCGGAGTTGGGAGAGTGGCAACTATCAATGGTTAGAGTTAAGAGTGAGGAGAGTCAAGGAGAGATGAAAGATGGTAAGGAGAAGAGAAAAAAACAAACAAACGAGGACAGGAGGGGAAAGATAGAGGATGATGAGATCGGAGCGGGACAAATCCATTGCAGCGAACCGTTTGAAGCTGCCGTTAAATAAACATCTTAGGCAAGTTAATTAAGCGAAAGAAGGGTGCAAATATACATACATATAAACAAACAAACATCAACGCATTTTCATGGAAATGCTGGGAGCAGCAGAAGCTAAACATAAATCATGCCATGCTGCCGTTACCATGCGCTTTGATACCCTTTCGGGTGGTATGATTCCTTCCAACAGATGTTGGCAATGGGGAGAAGAAAGCACATTCGAGCGTGGAAATTAAATATGAAAATACATATCATGTGTACATACATACAGATATACATATCTACATACTAAATGATTGGATGCATATTATATATCTGCGCTTGTATCTGCAAGGGTATTAAATGCTTCAGCCATCTCTGTTGCCTGGTCTGCCACATAAATAACCCAAACAAAATTTAAACAAACCAATCGTACAGAACCCCAAAGAGCATGAGAAACTCGACAACACGATATTTGGGCGCCCTGTTTATGCTAAAAAAGCAATTGCTTATTCGCAGAAAATAGCAAGGTAATCAGAAATCAGAAGTGTTAATGACTAAGGCACACAAAAAGCCCACCGCCCAATAGATCCAGAGTGTGTGCGTACACTTGGCCTCCACATTTAAGTGCACAAACAATTATTTAACACATGAATTGTGACACTTTGGACACTCTAGTTAGGATGACTTTTTGCAAACATTTCTGGTGGATAGATAATGTCTGTGCATATGTGTATTGCAGTTATTTAAATGACTGTAAATGTGTCTATAAATTCAGATTTCTTAGATCCACCATTACCAATTGCTCTCAAACTGCCCAGCTGCATTTCAGTTGTACGCTCTCCCACTCTCTCACTGCAGACTTCCTATCCAGCCGTCCGTCAATGTCCGTTCGTCTAATGACAGTCTTTCTCGCATTTCATTTACCCACTTACGAATATTGGACTGCTTGGAAATTCTTTTGTTGCTGCTTGGAAATTAAATAAACTGTTGTCCATCAACTGTGTTTCTCTTGCTCTTGCCTGCCCCTGCCCCTAGCCTTTGGGGCACTGATCGTGTTGGTCTCGCCTTTTGGGGCACTGATCGCTGTTGTTGCTGTTGCTGTCGCTTCTGCTGCTGTCTTCCACGCCGCATAAGCATCAGGCAGATCAGGCATAAACAGCAACCGGCACAGGCACAGCAGCAGCATCAAGAACATGGATCTCTGCTTTATGTTTCTTCTTTAATTTGTGATACCCTTTGCAGATGGAGAGTGTTTTTATTTTCGGTTGAGCTTTGAAAAGCAGAAAATATATTTAATATTAAGATTAAACCTCTGCCTAATTTTGAACAAAAGTCGAGTTAAGTGATATTATCTATTTCACATGGCAATTTTCGGCAAAAGGGTATGAAAAGCTTCGACATGGAATTCTGTGGACTTTGCTGCTTCTTCTTAATTTCATCTTCTCTTTACGCATCTTCACATCTCACACACGAATGGGGAGGGGATCTCTCTTTCTCTCTGCCTCTGTGTGCTTTGCTCTTTTTTATATTCTTTGCCTTTTCAGGGTCACACTGTTCTGCATGCGTGTGCGTGTGTGTGTGTTATATCAATGAACTGATTTTTTTTCTCAAGCACAAATCGAGATCCAAATGTCTGTCTGGCTGTCTCTCCGTGTCGTGCCAGTGTGCCTGTGTGTGTGAGTGCCTTTTAGTCAACGGCAAATTGTTTAAATAAATAGAATAAAAACGGCATGTAGGGAAGCAGCGTGTAAAGACACGACACACGAAATTAACAAGAAGCTGAATTCGAGCCCTCTCCTCTCTCACGCTCTCTCGCTCAAGCTACGTGAGACAAATGAAACAGCTGTGCGAGCAATGACTTCCAAACGGTGAAATTGCGAAATTATTCAGATTTGTGTCTCTTCGGCTGCCATAGATTGGATATTTGCAAACGAAATTTGGAAAGACCTGCTCACCTGAAAGCTCTCCTGGCAGCCTGGCACATGACTGGCATACTTCACGCACCTCCCGATATTGACGCTGTGATCGCCGGTGATTCCAATGCGGACGCAGCGATCAAGGTTGTTCCGCATCTTGCGTATGACACTGCTGCTGAGCAGAATGCCGGCCTCCAGTGAACAGTAGTTGCGATCGCTGGCACCGGAGCTGCCATCCACAGAAGTGGCGGCGGCGCCGGCCTCATCCTCGCCCCCCTCGTTGGAGGGACGACCCTCGTTGGACGGCGGATCGACGCCGATACGTGTGCCGCCCATATACAGGTCAAAGGTGATGCTCATGTGATAGAGCAGGGCATTCAGCTTGCGGGCATCCACATAGACATTGTCCGGCACGAGCAGAAAGTAATCGTACTCCTCCAGATAGTTGTCCGCAATGTACTTGATCACGTGAAAGGGCCGCCGGTTCTCGTGCGTGTCCGCGAAGCCCACGATATTCTTCAGCTTGTAGTTGGTCTTCACGCTGTCCGCATAGATGAAGAACTTGATCTTGTTCACCAGATGGGCGGTGGTGCGATTGAAGGCGGTGGCGAAGCTATTGATGTGCTCCTGGGAGGTCATCACACCGATGAAGAGCTTCTCGCGGATCCCCAGCTCCGAGGAGTAGTAACGCGGACGTATCACATTTTTAACCTACCCAAAAACAAAAAAAACACAAAAATAAACTCAATATTAATTATAATGGAAAGAGAAAAAGGTAACAGAATCAATCTTTGCATCAATATCGAATGGGGGAATCGAAGTTCCCCGATTAATGCCAATTCTTGTGCTGCTAAATAACTTTATATTTCGACTATTAGAAATGCTTCCCCCCGTGGTGCGTACAGCTCTTGGATAACTTTATAATTAGATGATGGATGCATGAAAGAAGAGTGCTTCAAATTGATCTTAAGTGGGGAGTTATGTGACTCTTGGATCTCGAAATACAAATACTTTGTACGTGACTCTGTCTACGGGCAACATTTACCGGAACATTTGCCTTCTCTTCACATTGCCAGAACCCATGCGGCGGGATAGCCCTCGTCTAATTCGTTTATTTATATCTACAGACAGCAGACACTCACCCACGTGTGCCTTAAGGGTATGTCTCATATCTCTCGTCCAATTAAGATCTTTCGGGGCGCACGCGTATGTACTTAGGGAGCGAATATTATGTACTTCAGCGAGTGAGTATTTTTGTGTAAGTTAAGCCCCTCCTGTCCGTCGATCAAGTGCTTCCTCTGTCTGTCCTATCCCTTGCCCACTCGAAGTGGTTTTAATATATTTTTTATACATTTTTTACGACTACCGATGACTGTTCAAAAGTGGAGGAGGAATTCCCCCGGGGAACCATTTATCCATTATCTTTTGCCACAACTCGTACAAATAAAAGTGTTTCCGTTTCCAAGAAATACTAAATGTCAGGGCCTACCGGGCGAGACCGATGTCATGGTATTCGATACCCATCCTCCATTGTTTGTAATTGATTTATTAAAATAACAAACAAAGCTCGCAAAAGTGAAAGGATGCACGGGGCTTTATCTGGTTTCATTATCATAAGCTGCACTCATTTATAAATTGTATTATTTTAAGATTGTGTGCAAAAAAGACTCCTGAGAAATGCCCCGATAAGAACAATTGTCAACAAAAGCCTCGCAGAATGCGTATCGTACCTAATATCCAGACACATCATGGGTTTATTTGTTATTAGAAGAACATGTCGCATACCTTTAGGTATCGTTTCGCTTATGGCTTTTTTGTTGGGCGTCTAACATATCATTTTTTGAGGCACTTTGCATAAGTAACCCATAATTTCCAAATGCAAGTCTTGGCCACTCATTAACCCAAAGAGCTGCACGCAAGGTTGCGAACTCTCTAGGTGCTCCCGGCCCCCCTTTGGCTTCGTGTGTCTCTGCCTCTGGCTCAGCCACCGCATCGGAGGTCGGGGGCCACTGCCTCGTTAGGCAAACAACAGTTGTGCAAGCACTTTGGACCACAGGCAGGCAGGCAAAATGTTTGACCAGGGTATCGGTTGGAGCATCGGGACGTAGAGGCGGGCTGCTAATGAGAGAGGGTGTTGCCGTTGCCGTTGACGTTGCCGTTTAGTTTACAGGAATATTATGGCTAATTAAAAATCATTCTCAATAGATTTTTAATAAATGGCCGCAGAGCCAGCAGCAGAGCAGCTCGAGTGCTCAGGTTTATGGCATCGTAAAGCAGCGGCCGACCAAACACAACAGACCCGCCGGCCCAGGGTCACCAGTCGATTAATACCTGTTACAGTGGCCACTCGTAAGAAGCGAACTTCACAGCTAGAACAGAGGAGAGCATAGAAAATGGGAAAGCAAGGAACTGATCCTTGAACCTTTCAATATCCGATTACTATCAATATTTCTTTCTTTTTTTTGGATCCTGATCTGTGTAAACTGTAAACTTTTGTTAGCTTGGATGATGGATACAGCTGAATGTTCACTGCATTTTGCACGTTTCAAGCGGCAAATAAATTCAAACTCTTTCCAAGTTTCAATCGAAAATTCATAACAAGCTTTTGGCACGCGTCAGTGGCCACTTTTAGGGCTCTCTCTCTCTCTCTCTCTCTCCGGTTCTGATGTAAAGTGTCGTCGCCGTAGCAAAGTTGCACTCGAACTCGCACTCGTTAGTGGCAGCAATTAGCTATCAGTTGGAAATCTATTCTCCAATCCAGCAGTAAGTCACATTAATGGGGGGTCAGTCTCCAGCCAGTCTTAATTGCCGTCAGCCAGATCCAGCCAGAGATGGACTCTGGAGGGGTGAAGGTGTGGTTGCTGTGGTGTGGATCGACCTTGTGCTCATATTCGAAGAGAGCCAAAGAAAGCCAGCGAGAGAGAGTGAGTAAGGGGGAAGTGGGGGGTGGTGGGGTGGCAATGAATTCACGCACATTTGCCAATCATCAAATTCTAGTGTGTAAATAATCGGTAAATATTCGGGAAAAGTAAACCACGGGTAAAAATAACACCAACAGACCGCAGAAATGCCGCAAAAAGTAATATTTCTGCTGTGGCTGCCGAGATTTTCTGTGCTTTGTGGATTGGATTTGTGTTTTTTTGTTGGGTAAATAAAAATGCTTTTCTAAATATGAATGATGCATGGGAATTCGACGAACCGAACCGAACCGAACCGAACCAAACCAATCCATTCCCCCGACCATTTATTTACTTTTGGGCTTTTAACAATTTCCATTTGCATAACAAGGCCAAAACACACGCCAAAATCTGATTCACTAAAAGGTTTGTTCACCTGAACGGAGCCGCCCAATTTCCATCCATAGTTCTGCATGTTTTTGGCTTTAGTTTATGTTCCCCATAAAATATGAATCGTTCTCCTACTGGAGGGAATATCCCCTTAATATCAAGGGAACACACAATTCCCCACTTGGCATGGATTTCCCCAACTGCAAGGAATATCCCTTGCAGGCTGATTCAAAATTCACCTTGTTCAAGGAAATTTTACGCACAAAATATTCCTAGAAATCCGTAAAATTCCCCTTTGCGAAGGAAGAACATTTTGTTCGCAAAGATTTCCCAAGAATTCGCACAAAGTATTTCTTCAGGAGAATATTTTTGGCATTTTTGGGTGGGAAATTTTGGAAGCCGCTGCCCGCTGGGGCACGTGGGCAATTTTGCTAATGATAAAACCCACAAACAGCCTTGTGACGTAACCAAACAACGGAAGTGGTGTGGATAGAGACAACAACAACTGCAACAATAAAGAGTTAAAACAAACAAAAAATGTATTGAAGCAACTGAAACCGATACTACGGCAAAGGTAAAGGTAAAGGCACAGGCAAAGGCAAAGGCAGAGGAGCAGAGCCTTATCGATGGATGGGAAAAGCAACGGTTCTTATCAGTAGAAGCAGCGGCACAAGCAGCGGCAGCTGGTGACAACGTCATCCATAAACCATGAAATAAAAAATAAAACAAGAACAAAATCGGTGGCAGTGGGGAGGGGGAAACCAACAGAACAGCAATTTCAATTTCAATTTCCATTTTCACAAATTTAATTAAACAATGATATGGTTTATATTTTTGTTTACTTAGGCATCGGATCGGTGTGGGGGCGGGGTGGCCTTTGATAATCAACTGACAATCTGTGTGTGTTGGTGGCGCCTTTTACAAGGAAATCAATTGGAATGCCAAGCAACCACTGGGGAGATTCTGGGGAAGATCAGAGTAAGAAATGAAGTAGTTGAAGAATAAACAGAGACTGCCATCGGGTGTGCAGTTATGGTTCCTTCTCCACTGGGGAAATTTCACAATTCCCCTTGGGACGTCTTCACCACGGCGCAAGGTCTCTCTGAGCGTGGTGAATAAGACAGCGTCACCTTGTTGGTAAACTCACCTTGGGCTGAATCGGCGGCAATTAAAGCATGGAGACTGACCCCCCCCCCCAGGCCACAGCTAACTGACTTAATGTGACTTGCGGATTGGATTGGAGAATTGATTTCCAGTACCTTGTAATAATAACTGCTAATTGGTGCCACTAACGAGTGCAACTCTGCTGCTGGGGCGACACTTTGCATCAGAAATGGGCAAAGAGAAACCCAAAAGTTGAACACTTTCCATCTGGCTTATGGCTGAAAATATGTATAGAGGCAGAGGGACGCTTCCGCGGAGTGCAATAAATCGCAATGGAAACTCTTTTGGGACAAATGGGCAAATCTGAAGTGAATTTCAATGGCATTCAGCCAATGAATAATTCACTACAATTTATTATTCGATTATCCGGCAGTTAATGAATCAATTTAGTCCAGAGTCAATGCCATTGCGCACATTTCAGCAGCAGAATTCAACTCCAAGAGATGCAAAGGGGCCTTTGCCAGACCTTTTCCCAGACCTCCCCCTGCCATTCAGCATTGGCTCTCCAAGGCAAACACACACAACACAAACACAGTGACATAACTCAAGTAGTTGCCATACGTACGTACAAGTTAGAAAACCACAAACAAAAAAAGAAAAGGTTATCTCAATATTTATTGCACCCAATGCCGACATATATACGGGGCCTTTCAAACGGGAGGAAGGCTCTACATTTATCGCGTCCTAAGTTCAAGTTTAGCCCATGACTCAAACGAGTTAAGAGCGGAGATAAGTAGGCACACATTAATGACGTGCAAATTTCGCATAAGTGAATGGATCTTCATTGACTGTGGCTCACGCTCTCCCTCCCGCTGCAAAAATCGATCAACAATAAGGCAATTTTCGCATTTGCAATGATTTCTTGATCTGCTTGGATCTTTGCGGATTTCAATAGATCTTAAATAGATGTACATGTGTCTAGCTCCTCAGAAGCGTGTGTGTCTAGTCGCAGCTGTGTCTCAATCTCAGCTTTCAGCTCTCAGCGGTGTCTCAGACGAGCTGCAGATGGAATGAAAATTGTATTGGATTGGACAAAAATCTTAATTGGGACAAGTGCGCCAACCAGACGACCACGACGGACACGACGACTCTCAGCGACAGCGTCTAACGCCCGGCAATGGGAGAGGGCAGGCCAGGCGAGGCTTTGTCTAGCGCTTATGACAACAATTTATTGGGGACACACAGCCCAGCCCAGACCAGACCAGACCAGACCAGCCCGACCCGAGACTCCATCAATGTGGATGTGGATACGGCCTTAAGCCGGAAATGCGACGCGCTTTTCAATTGAGCCGTAGACCCAATAGTTCCACAAACGACTCTCATTCGCTCGCTCAACTGGCGGGGGATTCTGTGTGAGATTTCTGTATCAAAAATACGAACAAAAGACAACTCCGGGGGAGTCGCATCTTCATCTCAAAGATGTCAGTTGATTTCGTGGGGGATCTAGAGATCCACATTTACATTCCCCATGCAAATCACTTTCAGCTTTTGCTGCGGCTGATCAATGATCTGGCAGCCTAATCGATCTCTGATTAATGATCTTTCCATCTCAGTCTTTTTGCCATCATTTGCGGCTCTTGGCTCCTGGCTGATGAAGCTTCGTTTTACGTCATGCCGCAGGACTCCTCTGTCGTCTGTCGCATGTGCCTGTGCAGTGATTAAATTGATCCATTGATGCAATCTTCAGGATTGCTTCTTAAGTACTTTTAGTGGCTTCAATCGCCAATAGATCTGCTTGTTCATGCTCCAACAATAGCTACAGACCCTGCCTCGTATCACCCTTAAACGATCATCGGTTGATTCACTATTCCACGAGGAGTATTTGTTTCATTTCCTACGTCATGGCATTGAAGAAATGCGAATTCAAATCTCACACTCTCTCTCTCTCTCTCTGGGGGGAACGGGTTCGAGGTTTTTCAATTACAAAAAACCCAAAAAAAAAAAAAGAATCTTCAGTGTTGCCAATCAGACGGGTGCTGCGGTGCGGTGCTGTGCGTATTGTTGTACCTACACTTGATAAGCGGGTTTATTTATAGACTTAATACTGCTGCTTCTGGCTGCTGGCTGCTGCTGCTGGCTGATAAGTCGCAAAAATCTTTATTACCATAAAGCCAGAAAAGAAATGTTTGGAAATGCGAAAGCGGCTGGGCTGCTCTCGAGGGTTCAGTGTCCTTTGGGATCCACGCTGGGAGGATGCATGCCCGCGGCGGTGATGTACTTGTCGAACAGATACTCCCCCAGTTCGGACTGTGCCCGCTCCAGTTGGCGTATGTAGTCGGCGAGCACCTTTTGGCCATCGACCTGCTCCTGCAGGAAGTTGGCCTCAATGAAGTCGCACAGATTCGGATCGTTCTGCTGCCCCGCCAGCGCATGCACATCGAGCAGATGCTGATTGACCTCCAGCTCCATTTCCAGGGCATACTTCAGGGCGGCCAGTGTGTCCTCGAAGCAGGGCATGGGCTCGGGCACGGCACTCAGCCGTATGAGGCCGCCCCGCTTGTTCATGTACTTCATGATCTTCTCCGCATGCTCACGCTCCTCCGTGCTGGCCTGCAGAAAGAACTTGTGCACGCCCGGAGAGCTGACATCGGCACGATCGCAATGGTAGGCCTATCGGTTGATAGGAATATCTTTAATATATTATCTATGATCTCTCTCTCTCTCTCTCTTACCATTGCCAAATACTGATGGCAGGCTTTGAGCTCCATGTTGATCTGATCGTTAAGCTTCTTCTCGCAGCATTTGGCGAAATTTTGACGCATTATCATGGCCATGTGGCGCCGCCCGCAGTATCGGAAACCAAATGCCATGCTCTAACTTGAATTTAAAATTGAACGAAACTCCAAAAAATGTTGCTTTGAAATGAAAAGAAAAGCTCAAACAGAATCTGTCAAGGCTAATGTGGGTCAGACAGGATAGACAGGTGCCAAGATCTCTCCCGCTCTCTCTCTCTCTCTTTCTCTCTCTGATCTGCTGATCCATTGATCTTGCACATCGATCAGACACTCTGGGGCAGCTTCTTCGTTTTTACTTTGGAGTTCAAAGTGCTGTGGCCTCTCCCCCCTGCGTTCGTCTCTGATTTCACTTAAATGTCTGCCTGTCTGTCTGTCTGTCTGTCTGTCTGTCTGTCGCTGCTTAGCCACTTAGCCCCCGTCTGTCTGTCTGTCTGTCTGTTTGTGTGTGTGTGTACCCCACTCGACTCTCTTACACATTTGTGGCACCATTGTATGGATAGTTGTACATATATCTAGATATGTATAAAGTACACTCGCACTACGGGTAATACTTAACTCTCAGATCTCTCTATTTGCGGCGGGTAAACGCAGTTATTGTCTCTTTTATTAAGTGAATGGAAAAAAGCGAAAAGCGAAAACGAAAACGACTTTTGTCCGACTATAATCTTGTTATACGCTTCAAAGGAAAGGGTATTGCGGCTTTAGTTGGATGTTTTGTGTGTTGTATCTACAGAAATATTTCACATTTACAGCATCATTTGAATGCTTTACTTTTCTTGAACAATTATCTGCATAAATATCTATGAAAATCATGCACAAACATGCATATTGTTCTCGGATTTTCAATGATTTATTTGCTAGCCATTTCTGTATAATTAAACAGTTAAATCTTTTATCTTTTTATCTTCTTTCATCTGGAAATAAATATTGAATTGAATTATTCAGATTTCAACTGAAGAACTTCTTTGGAACCATATTCACGTGCTCTTTTGCCATTACAGGGTATATATATATCTGCTCCTCCCACTCGATCCCCAAGGCAGAGTTTTAATTATTGAAACATTATCTATCTCAGGCTGCTCTCTGTCTGTCCAACCCTCCAATCAGCTGGCCATCAAACCATCCCAACCTTCCGTCTCAATCGGCACACACACACACACACACACACACACACACACACACACACACACACACACACACAGAAATAATTACACAGACACATTACGCACATAACAAAAAATTTAAACAAAAAATATGTACATAAAAAAAAGTGACTCTTGAAACCTCCATGTGCGACTCGTAAAATGGTCATTATAATCGTACAGAAACACAAGTAAGCGTTTTCCATGCCACAACCCCCCAGCCCCCTCTCCAACGCTGTCGCAAGAAAGAACTAAAATAAATAAAAGACTTGAAAAAAAACGATCCGCAACGCGGGTTATGCAAATCATGATTCGAGTCCAAGCAGCGATTTTTTGGTAGGTGCGGAAGGAGGGAGGATACAGTGCGTTTCGCAGCTGTAAGACGATATTTAAGGGCGCAACTGTTGATGGGGGAAGTATTCAAGCAAAAACTGTTGCAATCGGAAGAACTTGCATTCAGTTTAAAGCTTCAAATAAATTTGAAGCATCAACTTTTCCCAGAAGGACACTGGCAAAGAGGGAATGAATGATCTTCAGCTTTATTCGAATTTCAGGGAAATCTAACAACAAAATCAACAGACAGGCAAACAGACAATTTATGTATTCCACACGCAACAAGCTTTGAAAAATGTTTGACATCCTCAGCGACACATTAATGTCACTTTTATGTGCCCCAAACCCCCCCTTAAATGGCAGCATGAAAGCAGTTCCAGTTTTCTTTTGTCGCACACATAACAAAAAAAAAAAAGAAATACAACGTGCAATAAATTATTAAACTTCTTCGCACAACACCTTTTGATTGCACGTTGAACAAAACGCAAACGTTGGCACATCCACAAAAGGAACAACCGAAACAATGTTCTCGTAATATGCTGAACATGAGGTGGAAAATATTTAATCGATTTCGAGTTCTTCGTGGGAGATGCCCTGGCGTGGACAGGGTATATAAGTACCCAATAAGTGCTATACAAATACTTGGGAAGACATTGCCAAAAAGTTCATTCCAGGGTATTGACAGCTGCGGCACACACCTGAATGTGGAACCTTCTTGTTCTCGCATTTTCGCGTCATTTCACTTCATTTAATTCAATAAATCTTCCGCTACTTTCGATTTTTGCACACACACACACACACACGGGCGATCGTACGATGGATCGAGTTAACATTTATTTACCTAAAGGCATAATATTAAATGAGTTTATTTATGTAAATGAAATTTATGAGACCGCGCGATCTTCTGGAATCCATTTGGTGGTTCGGTTTCAGTGCATGCCAAACTGTAAACAGCGTTGGCCTGGAGCTCGCTCTCTCTGTAATTCACACCAATATCTGATATGCAGCCAAAGTGTGCTTGGGAGCAGGTGAAGCCTTCTGTGCCAGCACTCTGTCTCTCTCTCTCTCTCTCTCTCTCTGGCCACTCACGTGTGCATTGCGTGCAGACAAGGACCGAGAGCGCCCAAATCGACTGGGCCGCAATGCCCTACCCTGACACATGCACACCCTGCATCTTATTCAATGAGGTGCAAAGTGTATGCGTGTGTGTGAGTGTGTGCGATGTCTTCGGTATCGATAAGGGAATAGTTTTAAGCCAAAAAATAAAAAAGTGACGTCTACGTGAGCCGCTGCTGACGTTGACGCTGACACACGCTCGCTCTCACCAAATAACGGCAGTCATGCCAGAAGGGAAGGGGGAACACTGTGCAACAGGATTAAGATTCCACAAGGCTCTTCTAATTTCAATGATTCTATGCTCTCAAATGACTTCAAATAAAAAGAGCATTTGTCTCAAGTTTCAAGAGAGTGACATGTGGATATGTCCTAGCGAGTATAGTTTACGCTTCTTGCTCTGAGTTATACCGCTCAAGGGGTTGACAACTTGATTGACAACTATTTCTCTTGCTCTTTGCCAAAAACATGGTCGATGTTGCGCGGTGTAGCGAACGCGCGATAAGCAAGAAGGTCAATAAATTGCTATCAGTGGACTCCCTGATACATGAGACATGTGCACACGACGGCAATGCCGACGACAAAGACGACGACGAGTCATGGGCTGAGCGCGAATACTTGCATTTTTTTGCAGCGGAATAACCGCATTCCAAATTCAAAGTTGGAGGACTCGGAACTTACCGGCTTTTTGGCCGCCAGCGGCTTGTTGATCAGATTCAGATGCGGCTCAAAGTCCTGGCCAAAGCGTTCGATCAGCAGATTCTCGGCGGCCTCCTGGGGGCACTCCTCCTGCTGGACCAACTCCCAAATGTCCTGCGGTATGTAGCAGCTCAACACGAGCCCCAGCAGCAGCCCAATGACGAAGTAATGATTGCGGCTCAACGCGGCGACTGGTCTACGCATGTTTCAAAGACTCTGCACTTGAACTTGAATGTGGATGTGGGGGTCTGGCAATAATGATGATGGTGATGATGATCGGGGATGATGGAAAGCGACAGGGAGGAGAAACTGGTGTTCAGGAACCAATGGAATGGTCATATGCACATTTTCTCTCTAGCACTCTCTCTCTCTCTCTCACTCGTTGCACAGTATTTGGGGGCCCACTTGTTGCTTCTTTGCGGTTTCTACGAGCCGAACTCCAACAAGTGCTACCTCTTTTTTTTGGCACTCTCCACTCGCTTGCTTATGTTATTACCGCTGCTGCTGCTGCTGGCACGCACTTCTTTTGCACTGTTTATTATGGCCGCCCTTTACATTTTGCATTTTGCCGCTAATCTCGGCATTTTCGATACACCGCGAGAGCGCGTAAATTTACATCAATTTGCGGCAAAAATTTCGAAAAAAAATATATTAAAAAAAATCAAAGCGCCGGCTCCGCTACACGGTTAAAAACAAATACGCGCGCGGATGACGGTGGAAAACAGAGAGCCAGAGAACGAAATTGGGAAACAACAAAAACAAAAACCACTCCCATTGTGAATTGTTTGTCGGTCTATTGTGAATTGGCAATTTTTGGTAAAATTGTAAGATATTTTCCCCAGTGAGAAACTTCCTAAATTTGCCAAAAATACCGAATGTAGCTCGAATGTAGCCCGCAATTATGAGTACGTTGGTCCAAAAAATACCTGCTGACCCTCAGAAATATACCTACTCATTATCAAAATATACCGTAAATATACATATAAAAGCCACATATTTTGAATATTTTGAAGTTCGCTCTACAATTTAAAGCACTGAACATTAAGTTTATACGTTTGTTGAGTCAATTTTTTACAAAACTGGTTAAATTTAAGGACTTATTTTGAAAAGATTATTAAACAAAATATCTCAAAGCATGGAAATTGTAAACAATTTTATTTATTATTGAATAAAGTTAACGTTTCCTAACGTTCTTTAGGTCTAATTTTGTATAATATATGTATAAGAAAGGAAACAAATTATTTCAAATAAAAAAAAATTATTTCGAATAAAAAATAAATTTCTGAGAGATCATTTAAGATATCGATATTTTTGATGACAGTTGAGAACTTCCCCGAACAGCATTTTTTTTTTTCTCCGTCTGTTTAAACAATAAGTAAATTGTATAATTATTAATAAATTAACTGAAATAGCAGTTTTCGAGTTTTTTGGATTTATCTATCGGGGAGATCGAGAATGTGGTACCTTGATTGGTAACGCTGAGTATCTCAATATTTGAGTTGCTAGCAGTCCCCCAGAGCCGTATAGCGTAGGTCCAAATAGGCTTCAGTATGCATTTGTAGAGGCGAAAACGTTATTTGGACGGATTTCAGGGAGTTGATTCTAATTTTGCATCGAAGGAACCAGTCTTCAATTCCGTTTCTATTTTGTTTGGCTTTAGGATCATAACGATCTCTGCACATTTCCATGGACTTGGAAAGTGGTCTAGTCTGAGAATCGCGTTAAATACAAGAGTGAGCAACCGAATGCACTTTGGTGGTAAACTTTTTGGGGTGATGCTTCAGGGCCTGGTGCTTTTTTTTATTGTTCAAGCATTTGATTTTTGTCACAGCTTCTTCATATTTGATGCGTTTAAAAGGAACGCTGAAACACAGAGAAATGCTTCCGCTTGTTCATTGTTAGACCTACACCAAGTTCCGTTGCTTTTGCGAATATTTATTTATGTGTCTTTTAGCTGGTTTCTTTGGGTATTTGGTCGCCCTCCAAAGGGGTCCATAGGGTCCAAGTTTCTAGAGCTGGATTCGTGTTTCTGTAGCTCGCATTATGAATTGTACTCGTGACGATCAACGATCAACTTTGTGCCCAGTCCTTGGAAAAAGCTTTTAAAATCGAGTTCTTTTATTGTGAATCTTGGTGGGAGATAAATCGCTGTTATTGATACATCTGCGTGCATACATTTTATCTGAATTGTGGGCAAATGTTGCTGGGATGGTTAAGAGAGCATTTCACACATCTGTGAGTGTGAGTGTGAGTGAATGCCCTCTCATGTTTAAGTTGGTACTGTGTGTGAAACTTGACAAAATCTTTAGTAAGAGTTTTAACAAGTTTCCTGTACTCTCACATGACCATCGCGTTGTACTTTACAAAAGAAAAGCTCTTATTTAATTGTAGTCTCGAGGTAAACTAACATCCGAACAATATATGAACACCAAAATTCAAATGCAAGTTTGTAAAATATAGGGTCATAATGTATACGATCCAATCAAAATTAGTATTTATAATAAGCCAAATAGATTCTTCAACCGGATTAAATGATTGTTTCAGTGTTAAAAGGCTTTCCAAGCTAGTAATTTCAATTAGAACATCAAAATCGTGGAATATGATTTAAGACTACGGTATATTTTTAAAATGAGAAGTTATATCTTGGTATTTTTTTGAGGGGCAGACGGTATGTTTGATCGAAAATGCCGCGGTCACACTGATCTCTAGATTCCATTAAAATACACTAAAAAAGTATTGTTTTCGCTTAAAAACGGGTACACGGCGTACAATCTACGTAATCTACGTAGCAAAAAGCCCATAATACGGGGGTGAGTAGAGAGTAGGCGGTCAATCGAAGCAACATGTACGGTTGACACTTGCGGTCATTCGAGAAAATGTCGTGCGGCGTCATTTGTTAACAGTTCATTCTTCCACTCACACTCGTGCAGTTATACAACACACACACAAACAGACCCGCACACACAAACACACATCAATAGACTTTGGCCCACAGATAGGCGCCCAGCGACGGATATGAGCAGCCAGGGACACCACAAGATGCATAGATCGTCCTCCTCCACCGGCAAGAGTAACAAACCCGAGCAGGAGTACACCGATGAAATCGATCTGTGCGACCGCTTCTCGGCGGACATGGCACGCCTCTGCATGAACGAACACTACTCGGACGTGGAGTTTTCGGTCGAGGAGCAGCTACTGCCGGCCCATCGCGTCATCCTGGCAGCGCGCAGCGAGTACTTCCGCGCCCTGCTCTACGGCGGCATGTCCGAGACGACACAGCGACGCATTACGCTGGAGGTGTCGCTGGATCCGTTCAAAACGCTGCTGCGGTACATTTACTCGGGGACGCTGCTGCTGTCCACCCTGGACGAGGATGCCGTGATCGATGTGCTCGGCATGGCCAATCAGTATGGCTTCCAGGATCTGGAGATGGCCATATCCAAATATCTGCGCCAGTACTTGGCACTCAGCAATGTGTGCATGATACTGGACGCGGCGCGCCTCTACAACCTGGACGAGCTGACCAATGTGTGTCTGGCGTTTATGGATCGCAATGCACGCGAACTCCTACAGCACGACTCATTCAAAATGCTCTCCAAGGTGGGTGCCCCAGGTGGGGGAAAGTCACAAGATGGGCCAGCACATGATAATCCCTTTGGCAATCTCTGCAGGAATCTCTAGAGGAAGTGCTGCGGCGGGACTCATTTTTTGCTGCCGAAGTGCACATCTTTCAGGCCGTTTGGAAGTGGAGCCGCTACAATCCGAATGTCGACATCAAGTCGGTCGTCTCGTTCGTCCGTCTGCCACTGATGAATCTCGAGGATCTGCTGCAGGTGGTGCGACCCTCCACCATACTTGAGCCGGACAAAATACTCGATGCCCTGCAGGAGAGAAGTACCTCAAAGTCGCTGCCCTACCGGGCCGCCCTCTTTCCCGATGAAAATGTGGCCACGGAGAAGCACGATTCGCATTGCATTCAGGGCGATTGCCGGTCGGCCCTGCTCGATGGAGATGTCACCGACTATGACATGGAGAACGGCTACACGCGGCACTCGATCACGGAGAACGATGCCGGCATTGTCGTCGAACTGGGCACCACATTCATGATCAATCACATCCGCATGCTGCTGTGGGATAGGGACAGTCGGGCGTACTCCTACTACGTGGAAGTCTCTGGCGACATGATGCACTGGGAGTGCGTCGTCGACTACAGCGAGTTCCATTGCCGCTCCTGGCAGTATCTATACTTTCCGGCACGTGCCGTGCGCTACATTCGGCTAGTGGGCACACAGAACACCGTCAATCGGGTAAGCAAGTGGCCAACCAAGGATTCTCCCTGATTTATCGATCCTTTCCCTCTCTTCTCCCTCTTGCCACAGGTGTTTCATGTAGTCGGACTGGAGGCCATGCACGCGAGCAATGTGCCCACTTTGGTGGGTCACTTTGTGGCACCGCAGCGGAATGTGGCCACTGTTGACCTGAGCGCCATTGTCACGGATGGTGTCAGTCGCACACGCAATGCGCTGATCAACGGGGATTATGTGCGCTATGACTGGGACTCGGGGTATACCTGCCATCAGCTGGGCAGCGGCGATATCGTTGTACGCCTGGGGCAGCCCTATCACGTGGGATCGATGCGTCTGCTGCTGTGGGACTGCGACGATCGCACCTACAGCTTCTACATTGAGACCTCGACGAATCGTCGCGACTGGCAAATTGTGGTGGACCGGCGCAACAACAAGGTGCGCTCCTGGCAGAACTTTCACTTTACGCCCCGGCCCGTTGTGTTCATACGGATTGTGGGCACCAGAAATACAGCGAATGAGGTAAGCAATTGTCTGTCCGTTGGCTTGGCCGGTGCCACGAATCAACTCATGACTAGTCCCAAATACAGATATTCCATTGCGTCCATCTCGAGTGCCCCTCGCAGGACAAGAGCTATCTGAAGGAGAAGGAGAAGGAAAAGGAGTTTGGGCGGGAGCGCGATAGGGAACGCGAACGAAAGCGAGATCTGGGCAATCTCCTTAAGCCGATTGTCCCAACAAGCGATGACAACATTGCCTCCACTTCAGCGTCAGCTATAGCAGCCCTTGCAGCCATCAGCAGCTCATCATCATCATTGGCATCGCGCTTGACTGTTGAGCTCAGCCAGAACGAACTTAAAGCATACAGCCCTGCTTCGACGCAGCCACCTACTGAGGCACTGCTCGATGTTACATCGAAAGCCGAGTACACACCAGACGAAGACGCCTTAGCGCCGCCTTCCCCAGTAACAGAATTCACACCAGAACCAGCGGCAGCAGTAACAACTGAACCAACCCCACGACACGAGCAGGAAAAGGAAAAAGAGCAGAGACAGGCGGCACTGCCGCCTCAACCTCAAGCAGATGTTGAGACAGTACCAACACCGCTGCTGGTCGAGCTGGAGACAAGTGAGCCAGCAGCAGGAGCAGTAGCAGCAGCAGCAGCGATAGTGGCAGTGGTTCCTCCTTCCCCGCGACGCTGAGTGCTGATTGAACGAGTTTTGTACTTTGTACTTTGTTTTTGTTTTTAATTTTTTTTTTTACGAGTGTCCGCCACTCTAAAATACTCCTGTGGTCAAATTGTAATTGTTGTAGACGCGGTAGGCTCACTGCCACCCATTGAGCACCCCATTTGCAGAGAGTGTGTCGGTGTGTCTCCAGTTTATTTGCAATCCTGCACCGTATTTGTTATCTAGTCCTTCCCAGTGCCGTCAACCCAAGACACGCTCGAAACATTCGCATCGCTAATTGTTGTTTTTACATACGTTTTACGCGTATTTTAATTGTTTTATAAATTATTTGTTCCAATACATTTTATTGGAATTGATCGAGTATCGAGGATCGCGGAGCCTACCCCTTTGTTTGCCAGGCATCAGAGTTATTTGATAAGTTAATAGTACCCTTTATTTGTACAAAATTGTGTAGTCGAACCAAAAGTGTATACGATATTCAGCCCGGGGCAACGGAAGTGTCTCTTCACATGCCAGAATTGATGAACATTTTTAAAATATTCAAAAATTATCCAAAAAAAGTAGTGGGGCAGTCAAAGGAAAGCTCTCGCGGGCTATAATTTCTGTGGCCATGTTTGGGACTTTCCTTTGTGCGGCTTCCCAGCACGCTCCTGCCCTGGGTGTACACCAAAATTTAACTTATTTACTCGTATAAAATTTAATTTGTATCATACATCGTAAAACATTTCATTGAAATTTGCACCCCAAAATAAAACCTAACCAAAAATGTTCCACACAAACGAAATCATCCATCGATATGCATTGGGTCGAAAACAGCAGCCGTAGGCAGTGGGTGGGCGTCCGGAATGACAGAGACAGAGAAAGAAACAGAAAGAGCTTTGGCACTTGGCGAATCAGAGAGAGACGGAGATAGCTAACTGTGCCGTCAGACAGGCGCAGAAAATTGCAATGTACATAGAATCCAGAGCGCAAGCGCAACTATTTTTCCTGCGGGGGCGGGGTGCATGCGGCCGAGCAGAGTCAGCGCAATAGAGAGAGAGAGACAGAGAGAGAGAGAGCGCGTGCTAGCCTAGTTCGCTCATTTAACCCAAGGTGTTCATAAGGTGGGGCGTGGCAAAGAGCGCTCTCACGACAACAAGCTCTCAGATGTACCGTATAATTGTTAGAATAAAGCTCTCAAAGTGAACGCTGACCTTTGCCAGAATGCAAATTTAAAAAAATGTATTCTATTTGCTGTTAAGAAATCGTTTTGTGATTAACGAATTGTAAGAAATGAAAGATTGGAGCGGAGCGTGTATGCCGTGCACACACCACCTTTTGTATGTGTACACCTTGGCTGTGTTAACCGTTATGCTGCAGGTAGTTAACTAGCAGCGACAGCGGCAGCGGCAGCGCAGCAACGCAGGCAATAAGCTTCGCGGTCGCGGTCACCAGTCGCGACGCCTTGCGACAGCAACAGCGACACCGACACGACACTCGTAGCGCAGTCAAACGCGTCTCGTCCGCCGTGGCCACAGCAACGCATCGCATTCCCCGATCTTTTGTGCCTTTCTGCTAATCAGATACTAAACACACACACACACAGAAACGCACCGATTGGCGGCATATATTTAAAAATCAGTCGCGCGAGGGTGTCATATATACTGCGAGTGCGAGTTATACCCACACCGATCGATCTTTTATGTGCTAGACTAGAGGGAGGGGAAACGACCGAGCTGCACAAAATCTCTCACAAATATTTTTTGTTCTTTTCTGAATAATATTCGAAACGAAAGCGCGACAGAGTGTTTTTTTCAAAGTTAGTTTCCCAATCGAACCAATAACCTAATAAAAAGAAAAAAAAATATAAAAATGGTCGAGACCGTGGTCAATGTTGAGCGCACAACAACAACAACAACAAATGGTCCACCCGGCGGACCATCGTCCGATGGTGGCTTCTGGAGCGCCATACGCCTCAACATTGACTATTTCCGCAGCGTGCCGGGCATCATAAAGATTGTGGAATTTGTAAGTATTCGAACATCAAGATGGACTCTTGCATTCGAGAGGTGTTTATCGGCAAACACCTGGGCTACATGGCTGCACAGTTTTATCTAATGTGTAAACCTTTATCAAACGTTATGTACAAATAATAACGGACACATTGCCAGCCGTACAGTGAGACCACTCTGGTTCGCTCCACATTAATAATTCCAGAATTAATTACAAAGCTGAGAACTCACTGCTCGCTTTCACTGTGCCTGCCACTGCAACGTGAGGATCTCATTAGACCTACGACGGATAAGATATGAAGAAATCACAACCAAGCAGCCCAGAGAAAGAGCAGACAACATGTGAGCCCTGGGGCATGTGGTCAATGGTTGCTTTGATTGCCGTGATGTATGCCACTCGTACTTATGCAATGTCTGGAATGGATTTCGTTTCGCTTCGATTACTGCAGAATATTTCGATTGAAATTTTGAAATTTGATTTTTCCCACAACCGAAAGAGACGAACTGCTCTCTGGTGTAATGGGAACAAATATTTTGCCGTGTGGGCTGACCGATCTGCCCACAGCAAGTTTGTTGGCCATTGAACGCCAACACAACAACAGACAAAGATCATGAATGTTGCTTGCTTGGGTTGCCCTGCTGTTGTCTCTCTGTTTCAGAGTACACCTTACAGTGATTGCAACCAAAGGGAGCTGATTTTGATATTTGGATATTTGTTTACTCCTTTTGGTTCGCTCGAACCCAAAACTCATTTGGCATTCCTCCTGATTGCTTACAATTTTTCGAAAATGAACTTGAAATTGCCCAATTTGTTTCGGCAAGTATTTACCAATCGAGCTTGCATCATTTATAACCCTGCACTATATTTCGTTCTACCAAAACAAAAGCTTTGAATCCGCATAAAAATTTGATGAATAGAGCCATTTGGCGTGTGTGTGTGTGTGTGTGTGTGATGACAACTGTTTTTGCGCACACATGAAAAATGCATTATTAACTCGTTGTCAGGCCACCGGCCCAGCACCACTCGTCGTCAGTTGTTGTAGAAAAATCAATAGGAGTTAAGGTTTAGTTGGGTTCGAGGAGCACAAGGAGGACAGGTGGTACAGGAGGTGCGTGGGTTAAATTGCTGATATGATTACCATTACCAGCGCTATAAGCTGTCGTTTATTAAGTGCTATTTATTGATTTTCTGCAAGCGACGACCCCGAAACGACTCGCCTCGATTCCCAGTACCTGGACCTGCTCTCGGGACGACGAGTAACGAGGTACAGGCTCGGCAAAAAGTCATCTAAGCGTATGTAAAGGAATCTGACCACATACTGACGGATCCAATTATTCTGAAACGAAACGATCTATGTACAGACATACATTTGTACATATGTGCTGTGGCTTCAATGGCGATTGCGTTACCAACCATCGATGTTGGTTTTTGTTGGTTAACTTTTGGTTTTGTTTCTGTCAAATGGGATTTTTCATTTGATTTTAAACAAGTAATCTTATCGTGAGCCTTTCACTGATAGAACGCCGATACGCCGATAGTCTGCATTTGTTTGTGCCCCATTTAAATTCTACATCAAACCATAGAGCTACCAGCCATATATGTACACAAGTATGTTCTATATGCATAGCCATTGGTTAGCCAGAAGTGAGTCATTGGCTGGCTAATGGTTAATCGGCCATTACTCATATGCATTGTTATCAGGGAGACAGCGATAATGAGGGCGCCCATTTGCACACCTGTGCGCAGATTAAGCCACTACGACTGCCTGTCGATGCCTGTGACACCTGACCGAAAATTCACACACTCACACGACCCATGGACCCAAGCCCAAGCCCAAGCACAGACCAGACCCTCAGAAACCCCCCAAAACTCTTAGACACATGTAGGCCTATCTATCAGTAAAGCTATGTGCCAAGTACATATATTTATTGTTCGCTTTCCAGATAAGAGCCATTACCATTTTGGACACATCTCCCATGCATTTGCACCATGTACATACATGTACATATTTACATACATATTTACATATTTACTGTGGGAACATGTTCCTTTCGCATTAAATCTTTGAAACATTTCTTAGACATTGCATTGGCACGATTTATTGTGATTAATTTTTAGTGCTTTATTTTTGTTTATTTGCCGAACAATAATAATAGACATTACGTAAGATATGTATATTTTTGATACATATTTTGGAAGCTGTGGGTCCATCCATACATATACTTAGCACAACATTGTTGTAGCTTTTGTTGCTGCCAAGAGCGGAAATCATGACACACATTTGGTGTCAGATTTTCGTACTAGCGTGGCGGAAGGGGGGAATTGACTAACAAGGTGACGTTGTCCGCTGTGGGGAGGACCCACAACTTATTCACCACGCTGCTCAGGGAGACACGCGCTAGAAAGGGATAGGAGACTTCCCTTCACCATGAGCCGCAGAGCAACGGGTCGCGGGTTAGCCAGTGGTTTCGTTTTGTTTGTTTTGTGGGGGGTGTAGGTGAGCAGGAGGAAATGGTGACAGATCGTTAAAGCATTCTCCAGCAAAGGGGCGTTGCAGGTAGATAAAGGCAGCCAAAGAAACGTCTTCACAAAAGTATTCCCAGAATGTAGTCCAAATGGTGGTTGCTCTGCCTGCAACTGGTGTGCAACTTTGCTGTTTGCAGTTTCCCCTAGCAATAGATTTATGAAACGGATCGCTCTGATGCCGATTTGTACATATTTTTGTTAAGTAATAATTGTCGGGTGACTAAGTGCACGAAGCGCGGCCTGCAATGAGCTCATCTTTCAAGATTTCTAGACTGCAAACAAAGTAGATGTCAGAAATTATTTTATGTACATGCAAACTATCATTATCCTGTAGATATGTATCAACGATTGTGTTGGCAATTTGTTTGGCTTCAGCCAGCCATTGAATCGTTGCGCTGACTGAAGGCGGAGGCCAAGAACTAGATCCATTTCAGTTGAGCGTCGCATGTCATTGATCAGACAGATGAGACATATGTACATATGTATGTATCTGCATATGTAAATAAATGAAAAACGATGGGCCATGAGCATAGTCCATGATTTGTACTCTACTTAACGACGATCAAGGCGCTGCCTGTCTTCATGCTTCACAAAGCAAATTGCCCATTACTGAAAAGAGGGAACAAGCCCACTCAATCCGACATAACACTGAACCCAAACTAATAGGCACAACAAATGGTCTGAGGTCTTAGGTATGCAAAAATATAAAACTTTGAGCCATCTCATCTGTGTGTTAAATGAATAGCAGAAGAATTAAAGCTATATTAAAGCATGTCTACAATTGATCGTCAATTATGTATCCACTATTAGTATACACAATAATATTTTCAACTTTAAACGCAACTGTACGAGAGTGCCCCATGCGCTGGGCTGCTCTTCTGGCCTGGACCATGGGACCATTACGCATAAAAATACATAAATATGTACATACATATATGCAGCAGATATATCAAACATTTGTGTATATTTTTATACACCGAAACTACATATATTAGCTATGACCAACATCCACTTATGTACACACACCTACAGCTGCTATGTACTATGTATATGTATATGTATATGTATATGTATATGTATATGTATATGTATATGTAGAACTAACCAAATCTATACTTGTGGCATTTATACGACTGATTTCCACAACACGCCCAAAGCTGCACATAAATTATGTTTTTAAGAGAAATACAATTTAAATACTTTCCGGATAGATTTTCACATATACAAAACGTGACGCAAATTTGTGTGTCAACGGAAAAGCAAAAAATAAGCCGAAGCTTTAAGTACCCTTGCAACAGAGCAAAGATGTACCCGCTATACCCTGTAGACTTGCAAAAAAAAATACTCTCTGAATATCTATCTCAAAATTGATTGTTGTTTGCGGCCATGTTTTGGTTTGGTTGCTGCAATCAAAGATCTACAAATCGCTGATGTTTCAATCAACCTTTGATTTCTCACAGCCAACAAGCCGCAAGCCGCAAGCCGCAAGCCGCATCTGCTCTGGCTCTCAGCCCTGTTTGTGTCGCTGTTGGTTCATTTTTGCTGCAAGATAGTAATACACAAAGGCAGAGATAAAGCCAAAAACAAAAGCGGCAGCAACACAAGCAGCAAACAGCAAGTCGTTGTTGTCGTCGCTTTTGGCCCGGCCCCGGCCCCGGCGAACAACTTTCAGCTTTCACTTTTTTACATTCGCCTTTTGTTTTAGCCAAAAGCAGGCAGCACACACACACCCAGAGATAGAGAGAGAGAGAGAGAGAGAGAGAGGGCACTGGGACTGCTGTGGCACCTGCTTGTCGCCAAATGTTTATTACTTTTTAATTGCCCGAAAAACAAGTCAATGTGGGGGGCAAATGTGAGTGCTGTGGAGTGTCGGATAAACGCGTCCATTGGTGCATTGGTCATGTCACCACTGCAGCAGGCTGACAAAGTCATTGAAAAAGTCTGCTGAAGACTCTCCCCCCCTCTGAAGACTTGCTTAATTACATATGAAAAATGAAATATAATACAGCGATCGCTGGTCCGTTCGATATTTTGTGCTCAATTAAGGGTGACATCATGGCCATGGGTCTCAGTCAATTGGAGATCATGATCATGATGCCCATGATTCATGAACATCGTGTACCATTTATGAATGTTACATTCTTGTTGTTTCCCATCCACTTGCAGGTGCTGGGCATTATTTGCATGGCCCTGGCCGCCCCGCCACTGAACTCGGCCACCTCGTTCTTCATGTTCGTCATCGTCATCTCGTTCATCATCACGATCCTGCTGATTGCCGCCTATTTCCTGGGCATACGCGAGGCCCTCAATGTGGCCGTCAACTGGATATTCTCGGTGAGTTGTTGCCACGCTTTCAATTGTAGCAAACGCCTAACAAATTCCCCATCCGCAGGAGCTGATCACCACCGCCGTACTGACGCTGCTGTACTTCATTGGCTTCATTGTTCAGCTGGCCAGATGGTCAGAGTCCGGGGCTAAGGGCAGCGGCTCCAACACGGCCGCCGGCGTCTTTGGGCTCTTCAACTTCTTGGCTTATGCGGCGGGCACGTACTTCCTGTTCCTGGCCCACAGATCGGGAGCTACCCATTAGTCTGTGTCTGTGTCTCTTGTCTGGATGCAAGCAGCAGCAGCGAGCAGGAGTGATGAACCGAGTCGAGTCGAGCCGCATGGACGAAATCTAGCGTAGAATAATTATTATGTGTTTATGTTTTATGTTGTACATGGAGAACAGGCAGCGCAGCGCAGGGCGGGATCAGCCACAACCCCCCACCCACTTTGTTTGTGGTGTTATTTTAATGTTTAACTTTAATGCTGATGATGCTAACATTAAGTTGAAACACACACACACACACACACACACACGCACACACATTTACTAAACTAGACACACACACACACACACGATAGCGCAAAAGAATTAATAAGTTCAATAAATTATTTGTATTTTTTTTTGTCAAGAAAATTTGTCTGTCTTTGGTGGAGTTTTCTACTTGAATTTTGCAAGAATCGTACTTCAGCTCTCAGCATTTCAGCATAGGTAATACCCAAATTCTCTGTTCTCTGGGTGCCTTAAGTCATTGGACGTTACAGAATTGAAAACCTCCGCATCGTGTGTAACATCACAACCCGCCATTGAAGAGCTTGGAACTGTTTAGTTTCTGCTCTACTCTGCAGTAAAATTGTTTTCAGCCACAGCCACATATTCCAGTATAAGTTAACTTATATTTCTGTTTCAGTTTATAATCAAGGAACTAGTCTAAATTTAAGATTTGAAATCCATTGGAATGGTTATGTTGGGGAGAGCCGCTGGGTGGCATCTCCGCCTAAGGCATCCTGGCTGCAACCAGGTGGATGGTATTATGCCAACGGTGCGTGTGTGTGGCTGGTTCCTGATATATTTTGGGGGCTCCGAGACATGCACTTTGCTGCAAGTGTGTCTAGAAGTACTTTTTGAACTCGTCGTAGATGGCGAGCACCAAGGCGCCGCCTGTGCCGCGAATGACGTTCGACAGGGCACCTTTGAAGAAGGCGGCCATGCCCTCCTGCTTGGCAATCATCATCCAGCAGTGAGCGGTATTCTTGTACACCATCTCGGACTTCTTGAGGCCAGACTGCATCATCATGCGACGGCGCACCGTGTCAAAGGGATACGAGGCAATGCCAGCGATAGTGGTGACCACCTGGGCAATGGCCCAGCTCACATAGAAGGGTGTGTTCCTCGGATTGGGCAAGAAGTCGCGGCACGTGTCATAGAACCCAAAGTACGATGCACGATAAATGATGATGCCCTGCACGGACACAACGAAGCCGCGATACAGTCCGATGGGGCCATCCGTCTTCACCACCTTAACCAGGCAATCGATGAGGCCATTGAATTCACGGCTACCGCCCTTGCCCACATCAGCAGCCAGACTGTGGATGGAAAGATGGAGATCAAAATACTGTCTAGGGTCTAGTTAACGAACTGCGCTCCCAGTACTCACCGAGTTCGGGCAAAGTCCAATGGATAAACAAAGCACAACGAGGTGGCACCTGCAGCACCGCCAGAAGCTAGATTTCCCATGAAATGACGCCAGAACTGCTTGTGCTTGTCCACACCGCCGAGGAAAACCTGTGGATTTGGGGGGGGGGGGGAGAGTGAAGAATTTTCTTTGAATTAAATGTCACTGCAGGGAATTGATCTTCATACCGATTTGTACACATCCTTGAAGGCAAAGTTGAGGGCTTGAGTGGGAAAGTAACGTATTACATTGGCCAGGTTGCCGCGCCAGAGGGACGAGAAGCCCTGCTCCTTGGGTATGCGTATGAAGCAGTCAATGATGCCCTTGTAGCGCTGATCCTGCGCTATCTGCTTGGATACCTCCTGCACCTGAAGAAGCAGCTTCACGCGCTCAATGGGCGCCACCGCCGTCTTGGCAATGGCCGCTGACACGCCGCCCATCATGAAGTCCATCATGAAGCCCTTCAAGTCCTTACCACCTCCGCCGCTGCCGCCTTCGTCACCCATTTTGGATATTTAAATTTGCTTGCTTCTAGATCGAATTTCGTTACTAATTTAGCGTTGGATTGTGGTGAAAAGGTTGGAAATTGTGTATTAATAATTTTGATTCAATAACAAAAAAAAAAATCGAATTTTGCCGAAAATTTTGAATCTGCTTTAGACTACGGCCCCCGTTCAGCACTAAAACTCAATTGAAATATATCAAATGCATTACCTCCCATGGCCTACGTTGACTTTGGTTGAAGTTATAACAGGAAACCGAAAATACGACAAAAACCAAACATCAAGCAAGGCCTCGCCCCATCAAGGAAAGAGAGTACAAAATACGATACATTTAGTAGCAATCAAGTAGAAACGACACATTTGAATTTGGAAAGCGCGCAGCTCTGCGGTATGACCACACTGCGCATGCTCAGTACGTTTGCAAAGAGCTGGTCACACCAAGATGGATAAATTTCTGGCTTTATCGCAGGAAGGGAGCGATCCTTTAAACCGAAGGAAATCAGTCCAACAAAGGCGAGTAACTGCACTTTATGAGCGACTTCTCAGTGGAACACAAGACATGCAGGTTCTTGAACCTGCATTTAGATGAATAACTCTCCCAACAATGGAAAAGCAAGGGTTGAGGTTATATCACATGGCGAGGGGTGCCCTCACTCGTAGGGACGTAAGTAAAACACATTCAACATTCTATTTTTATCAATTTTTATATATTTTATAAACCAACCTAAGTTGAGTTTGTTGTTTGTTGCTGGCTAGCAGGAGGCGAAAGAATCAGAATACTGGTGTTCGGTACGATTCTTGGTATGGTGCCCTCGCTATTGCCAACATTCTGGTTTGTGGCTCGAGAGATGGCGGCTGGGCTGGCTCGGCAAAACACGATTCACGTCTACGCACACAATCGATGCGGGAAACAGGACACAGGACACAGGATACAAGATCGACTATAACCTAACCCACAAAACTTAACACAATACTATTCAATATTGTCGCTTATTGATTCGTTCGTTTGTCCGTGTGTCTCGTGAGCTTTACCTCACAGCCTCTTCCTCCTCTCCAGCCGATGTTGTTGCTTCTGCTTCTGCTGTTGTTGTTGCTGCTGTTGGTGTTCTATTGATTCTGGCCATCGTTCAATTATCAATTATTTTATCCCAGTTATTCTATATCATATAATTTCGTAATTATATTTTGGGGGTGGGGGGTGGCGAGGGGCAGGAAGGAAAAGGGTTATTGCATGCCGTTGTTCTGGCTAGATGTTGTTTTGCAGATCAAACTCCGTTCTCTTCTCTGTTCAGTTTATCTAATATAATTAGCTGGTAGTGTTTTGTTTGTTGTTGTTGTTTTGTTTGTATGTTGTTTGTTGTTGTATTTTGTTGGTTGAATAATTTAATAATTTAATTTACAAGACCTTCTTGATCTCATCGTACAACACAAGCACGAAAGCACCGCCAGTGCCTCTGAGAACGTTGGAGAAGGCGCCCTTGAAGAAGGCACCAGTACCTTCCTGCTTGGCGATGGTGCCCCAGCAGTGAATTGTGTTCTTGTAGATGATCTCGGTGGCCTTGCGACCAGACTGCATCATCATGCGACGACGCACGGTATCGAATGGATAGGACACAATACCAGCGACGGTTGTCACAACCTGGGCGATGGCCCAGCTGATGTAGATGGGTGTGTTCTTGGGGTCGGGCAACATGCCGCGAGCGGTATCGTAGAAGCCGAAGTATGCGGCACGGTAGATGATGATACCCTGCACAGACACACCGAAGCCGCGGTACAAGCCAACGAGGCCGTCACTCTTGAAGATCTTTGTCAAGCAGTTGCCCAGACCGGTGAATTCACGCTGTCCACCCTTGCCAGTATCAGCAGCCAAGCTGTGTGTGTGTTTGAAATTGGATTGAAAACATTCGTTAATATCAAATATTGACTATTGCATTTAGCATTTTTTGCATATGGTAAGTCACTTACCGAGTACGGGCAAAGTCCAAGGGATAGACAAAGCACAGAGAAGTGGCACCAGCAGCACCGCCGGAGGCCAGGTTACCCATGAAGTAACGCCAGAACTGGGTGTTCTTGTCAACACCACCCAGGAAGACCTATTGGTGCGAGGAATATCGGAATTGTGTGTGTTAGAACTGCAACTCTCCATCTCCTCGATTCTCTTCGTTGTCTGTTTGCTTACCTGCTTGTACTTGTCCTTGAAGGCAAAGTTCAGGGCCTGGGTTGGGAAGTATCTGATGACATTGGCCAAGTTACCACGCCAGAACGAGCTAAAACCCTGTTCCTTTGGAATGCGGATAAAGCAATCAACCATACCCTTGTATTGCTTATCGGGGCTGATTTGTTTCGAGATGTGCTGAACCTGCAGAAGCAGCTTCACACGCTCGATGGGAGCGACGGCAGTCTTTGAGACAGCTGCGGAGATACCTCCGGCAGCGAAGTCCTTGACGAATCCCATAGCATCGAAATCCTTGCCCATTTTGCTGTAATACACACATTTCAATTTTGCCCGCGAGCAATCATTAGTTTCGTTCGACTCTCTGTCTCTCTCCCAATCGGCTGACGTCTTCTGTATCTCTCCTCTTATGCATATCCAAGCGCCCGAAATGTGTTCCCGATGGAGCCGCTCCCCAGGAGCCGTTACATAATGCAGTGCGATATTTTATGGTATGCGTGCGAAAAGGGGTGGGTATGGCGCGTATGATATTTTCACAATTCACTTAATTACACATTTGCAAAAAGCCACACAAAATAATAGCCCAAAAGCCAACATAATTTTGATCCATTGTAACGGGATAACAACACACAAAATAATATCACTTATATAGCACTATACAAACATATATACAATTCCAACGAAAATACTAGGTAAAAACACTTGCAACAAACGCGAAAATGTTCAATGATAATGATACATAATAGATTTTTAGACCAAAAACCAATAAATTGTTTACATAAATGAGTAAATAAAATGTCAAAGCACCAAATAATATACAATATGGACAATTAGAAATAAACAATACGCTTAAGATACAAATGTTAGTGCTGCCATTTGATAGGGGTTACTAGGAAGGGTTATATGTTTGGGGGTTTTTTATGAGTAAATATATGATGTTTGTCGCCTGTTTTGAATGCATTTGATTCAAGAATGGATTATGGTTGTGGTTATGTTAAGCGTGGTGTGTTTATGCCCCCCCCCCATTCACAAATCGAAACCAAGACGAATCGTTCCTCGCACTTTCAATTGAGGCAAATGCCGAGCTAGCTTTCCAGCCGCTTCCAGTTCTAACCGGTTTCAGTTTAAACTTTAATTCTCCGTTTCAAACAGGGGAGAAAAAAACTGTTACGTGGCAGGCCAAAAACCTTTCTTTGTAAGTAAAATATAAAGATTCAGAAAAGTCATTTCGTATTCCATTTATCACATTTTGGTTTCAGTTTTGCGGTGTTCTATTTTGTAGCCTTTTGGCAATGTTTGGATTGCATAATTATAAGAAAAGTTCATGGGTGTGTGAGTGCTACTACTAGCTACATGCATATAGATATATGCAGCAATTTTGGCATTGAAGCGCTTCTGTTTCTCTTTGATAAATTTAGAATTTCAAGCGTACAAAGAGGAGAAGGCAGCTTGCGGCACTGCGAGAGAGAGCGCGAGCTAGTGTTCTAGTGCCATTTGATGTTAGCTAAATTAAATTAGCATAGTCTAGTCTCATGGACGAAAGACAGATGATGGACTTATGTAACACATTTGAAAGAGAGCGTGAGCACAAGGCACGAGCACGCTCATGCTCTTGACATTTCGGCTGCTCTCTTCGCGACAGCAAACAACTGTAAAAGCAGCGTTGCCTTGTGTTATCTAATCGGTTTTGACATTCGCCGCGAGAGAGAACAAGGCACAGCAAAAGAGCTTTTCTGCCAAGTTCAAAGAGAGCCCAAGCACTCACGCGCACTCGTGATGTAATAGTTTCAGCTGGAAAAATTTGGGAAAACTGGTCAAAGAGGAGTGCGCTGCTTGCTTTGCACGTGGGAACTTGAAGCTGGCTAGCATTGTCAAGTGCTTTGGGCCATGGTAAATCCTGTCTTGTTGATTGCATAAGAACACCAGTAAAAAAAAAAAAAAAGGAAACTAGAACACAATAGCTTTCAAGCGGTTTATGTAACCGCAGGAAAAATTCTTTGCTGGAGAATAAAAAAAAAAGGCACACACGAGTTTTGTTTGGTTTCGATTTGATTCGATGCTATTCGTATTATTATTATTTAGCTAATTGCAGTTGAATTTGCTTTTGCAATTGCATTTGCTATACGTACAATTTGTTTGTTTTATATCACAGCACAAAAAAAATATATGATTAATCCTTATTCCTTCGAATCAAAGTTCTGCACCGGACGGCAACTGAATTGCTTGTGGCAGTAAGGTGCGTCTCTGTCAGCCAGCAAGCCTGCGCTGCTCCCCACAGCAGAGCAGAGCAGCGGCCGAAGACGCCAGCAGAGCTCCACCAAGTTCAACCCGATGGGCGGTGCGGTGCGCTCCCACTCGCTCTGCCAGCAGAGACCCCCAAAGTGTATTTAGATGAGGTAAGGTCTCTCTGCGCCGTGTACCGAGCTGCCGATTTTGACAACCAATTTCTCTCTCTCTCTCTCTCTCTCTCTCTCTCTGAAAATAGGGAACAAGAGAGCTCCTTGGCAATGCTTCACCTTGTTTTAAGCACCTTGGGCAGCAACAGATGACAGTTGGTTTGTGAGCGACGTCAGAGCCATTGACATAAAGAGCGAGAGAGCCGTGCCTGTGCTCCCACACCCCAAACTCAGTTGGCAACCACTTTTGCACGTGTGCTCTCACAGACCAAAAAAAGAGAGAGAGCCGGAACGGGATCGTTGTCGCTGTGTTATCAGTCTCCGTCACTATAAAGAATTCAATGCCATGTTGCATAACAGCGCCTCCCATTCATTTTGGGACCAAATGGAACCAAGGAAGTGGCAAGAACACTTTCTTTTTAGGCCAAGAGGATGATCCAAATGCACATGTACACATATGTAGGTGCATATTTGGCCAATTGTTTTTCATTTACCCCTTTCGAGGTTCTTGTGCTTTTGCTTTGGCACAATGCTTGCCAAAACCAAAAAGTACAAGAGAATTTCACTCAGTTGGCAACGCGCCGAACCGAAAGCGTCGACGTCCGCGTCAGCTGCGACGCAGCATGTGACTTTACTTTTTGACGTACGTATGTATGTATGTCTGCAGCTCTCTCTTTGCTATTTCCCTTCTTCTTCACTCGCTCATTCTAATATCGGCTCGCCGTTTCCCCGTCTCCCTCACTCGATCAGACGGAACAAAAATGCGTGAAGCGATTAGATAAACAGCACCACTAAATACAGTTATTTATATAAGTCGGCACAGCAACACTTTCAAGGTCTCCCATCCCCTTATCATCGACATTACATAAAAAAAGAGGCCGTAACAAGCAACAAAAATAAGAAAATTTGGCAAGCTGCCCGTCGTAAATTGCAGCGGAGTTGTACCATTAAATATATCTAGCGGCCAAGTTTACGCAGTCTCAGATGTGTATGAATCAGCTGCAGCTGCTGCCTCTGTGTGGATCAGCAGAAATTTTCCCCTTCTCAAAAAGGCGACTCAGAGTCAGACTTGAGCTCGGATATCACGCCCAGACTAAACACAAACATGCCGAGGGTCTACATTTCCACTGTTTATTCTATGTGCCGCCTTGGAAACAGATTCCGATAAGTTGAGGGAGTTATCAAGAAATTGAGATGATGTATAAGAATACTTATAATAAACATGCGAATTGCTGAGCTAAGCGGCATGTGTCAGAGAAATGGCGTCAACTTCCACACTGAAAGGCACACACATAAGAAATGGCGCAAAAGGAAGAGACTCAAGTACTTAAAAAATACGCTTTCGTGACTTTTGTTGACGTCACAATAGTGAGAAATATAGCCCCAAGAGAAACCGGTTCTTTTTCGGTGTAAAATGGCAAGAGAACTTTGTACTTTTGGGCAATTTCTTTATATTGAAGAAAGCGGGTCAGAGAAGAAGAGAAGGGAGAGAAGCCACAAGCGAACAGAACAATACAGTTACATATTCCTTTGCAAATACATACAGCAGCAGTCACACACACACACACACACACACACGTAAGCGCCTGCACGCGCAAGGCATTAGCAAGCACAAGTGTGAACGGGACAGAGCTATTAGCACATGGAATTCATTTGCGGCTCTGGTGTGTGTCTGGGAGCGAGGGCAGTAGAACAAGCAATTTTCAACACTTGTAAGACAATAAAATATGCATATGGGGGGGATTTTTCACCTAAATTTGTCTGAAAAGTATTCACTTTTTCAACTACAAGAATCACTCACACACACAAACGTCTATGGGTCGCAGCAAGTGCAAGTGTGTGCGTGTGCCGCCGCACTGCCAACTCACCGAAATTGCATAAGTTGGCAGTTCCAGCGTGGTTGCAAAAAAAAAAAAGCCCCAACTGTATGAAAAATGATCCAGCGTGGCTTGAAAAACTCTGAATTATATAAAATAAACTTTAGCTTAATTTCTGATTGCTCCCGGACATATTTAACTAAATCCTCCAAGCACTCTTCAGCGCTGCCGCAAAATTTGCAATTTTTATTTTATGGTTATATAAGCACCGCTTTGCGGCGTTTTCATGAAGATTTTTTTTCGTGCAGCAAACATCATTTACTCGTTATAGTATATGTACAAATTAATTGAACCAACACCAACACAATAAAAAAAAGAATTAGCACAATTACATAACTAAAAATGTAGCGCAAGGTGAAGTGAAAAAAAAAATCAATGGCGGTACGAGAGTTCTTTATGGGACACCAGGCACTGTCCCTACTCCTCCACAGCTCTTTTTCGCTAGCTTGCAGCGTTTTCAATGTGATAATATACAAAAAATAGCACAATACCTTTAGTTGATTAACTTCTTACAAAAGTCACAGAATAAAAACTTCTTTTGCAGAATCAGACTTCCCACTGGCGATGCCGCGTGCTTGAACGAAAACTCGTGAAGTGAAAGTGTGGCTGCGGATTTTTCGGAGGGATACACCGGCTGACCCTCGGAAATATACCAAAATATACGGTTTTACAGAAATAATTTACCTACGCAATTTCAAAATAGACTGTCAATTTTGATTTTCCTCGATTTTGATGTTCTAATTGATATTACTAGCTAGTTAGGAGTCTCCGCGCTAAAACTATAACTTTATCTGATCTATCAATCAATTCACCACAGGAGTGGCTAGTTTTCAGCACTTACTTTTCTTGGAATGTTTCCAAATTAAGTTTAAATCTAAACGAACGAAAATTCGTGAAGTGAGAGTGTGACCGCGGATTGTGGGGGGAAACGCCGGCTGACGCACGGAAATATACCAAAATAAATGGTCATACAGAAATATACTGCGAATATACCGTAAATCTTAAATTATTTTTTCCTCTTTTTTGATGTTCTGTTTGATATTACTAGCTAGTTAGGAGTCTCTGCTCTAATACTATAATTTTATCCGATTTATCAATCAATTCTCCACTAGACTGATTAGTTTTTACAGCATCCTTGTCTTGGAGTGTTGGCAAATGAAGTCTAAAACTAAACGAATGAAAATTCATGAAGTGAGAGTGTGGCTGCGGATTTGTCGGAGCGATACACCGGCTTACGACTGGAAATATACTGAAATATACGGTCATACCGAAATATATCTTCTCATATTGAAAAAAAACCGAAAATATACCGTCAATAGTAATTCGATTTCCTGGATTTTGATGTTCCCATTAATATTACTTGCTTGCAAAGACTTATAAAAATATAGAAGTATTATGATGGTTGATTGATATGGATAACAAAAATAAATACTCTCTCACATGTACAAGTTGGAAATTTTCAACCACTAGGCCTGGTAGTAGCCTGCAAAATAAAGCTATAGTTCCGGCAACTGCCAAGTAATAATTAAACGTAATTTAAACTACTGTTAACTTAGAAAATGTAATTAAGCAAATAACCTGGCACTGTGTGGTATTAACTCATAAATTACGTTTGCAGATTTTTGGTATTTTGTTGTGTAGCCCTGGTTACCGCGCAAACTGAGTTCTTTGTTTTGATTATAAATGAAAACAAAACCCAAGAGCCGCAATGAACTATTTTCCAAACTACTACTCGATCGAGGATATATTCGTGACCCAGGAGAAGGTCGAATGCAAGGTCAACACGAAGCTGCAGCGCATGGGTACGTAACATGAAATTTGTAAAATCTCTTCGAATTCTGTTGCATTTTCTTTGCTTGCAGGCTTTTTGGATTCGGGTGCCGAGGGTGACGACCTGGAGCCGGGGCGCACCGTCAATCTGCCGCTGTGGTATATCAAGGAGCTGAAGGTGAACAATGCCTACTTCACCGTCTCCGTGCCCGATATCTACAAGAATGTGCACAAGGCCGTCTGCGAGGCGGAGACGACGCACATCGAACTGGGGCGACTGCATCCGTACTTTTACGAGTTTGGCCGCTATCTGACGCCCTACGATCGCAACCATGTCATCGGGCGCATCATCTTTGAGACGATGCGGCAGCGTGTGCGCCACTTGCTGGACATATCCAAAAACGATGGACACATGGCCAAGTCCGAGCTGCGTTTGGACAACATCGAGGCGAAGCTGCACGAGGCGGGTGTGCGCACCAATACGCAGGTAAACGACTGATCCTAAAAACCCTTTTTCATGCTTTAATCAATCATCATTTGCCGCTTGCAGTACATTAACTGGCTGCAGCTGACGGGCAATAAGATTCTCATCTCCGAGCTGGTGGAGGAGCATCAGAAGAAGCGAAAACGTGAACTCAGCGATGATGAGAGCAGTCTGCCTAGCAGTAAACGTGCCACATTGTGATTGCCGTAATAATTAGTCATTTGTTGAAACCTTTTTGCAATTGTATTATCTTTTATCATATTTTCAAAACGATATAGATATCGATAAATGTTGAAAAGTATCAGTCCTGGCGTGCCAATTGTTGCACCACTGCATCAAGTCCATTGCTACGAAACCGAAGCGGGCACTTTGAGTTTGCTGGCTGACAAAGGCAGCCTGCCATGAAATGTGCAGTTTCAAAAGGCTTTCAAATTAAAGCCGCTCTCAAAGTGATTAAAACCGGAAAATAATTTGTTTAAAATACTGGTGCTACATACAAATAGTGCCGTCGCTCATTTCCACACACATATGTCATGAAGTGATGCACGGCGCGCTGGGGGAAACCTCAGCCTCAAGCCAACTGCCTCCTCCATTCATGGTCCAAGCCAAGCAGACGAGACGCGCCACTGGCCAACAATTCAGTCGAACTCTAACGGCGCTAGCAATCGGACGCGTTTCAAAACTTGCTCTCTGCCTTCTGCCACAGCCAAAGTAAAGTCTGCCACAAAGTCTTCGGCAGCCCCGCCTCCGTTTCCGTTTCAGTGACTGGATCTGGGCTCTGACTCTCGGCTCTGACTCCGTCTCTGTCTCTGAAAAGTGTAAGCAACAAACAAACACACAAAATTCAAAACTTGAGACGGATTCAAGCTGCCACTAAGATTTCATTCTCCTTGCCACGCGCCGCCCCGTCCCCCCGCCCCCCTGCCCCGCATTGCGTCAGTGTCGCGTGTTTTTTCGGCCGAATCCAAGTCCAGTGCTAATTTTGGGCGCCACAACGCGTAGGCGTAAAGAGAAACTACACGAGACAAAAACAAAAAAAAAAACAAAAAGAGAATTTATTTGTTTGCATTTTTTTGGTTGTCGATTTGCTTTTTTTTTTGGTGTGAAGAAATTGAAGCCCGGCAAAGGCAAAACAGCAACAAAAACAGCAAAATCCGCACAGACAATGAAAGCTGATTGAATATTTTATGCAAATTTCCATTGCAGCCACTCCGCGGGAAAACGTACAACGGCAACAGCAGCGGCAAGCCAGGGAGAGAAGCGAACAGGAAAAGAGTTGCAGGAAATCAGGTAATCCAAGTTGCAGATAAATCTATAGCATCCGCCAGTGGGAAAGCTGAAGATCAAGGCCAGTCGGGCAGGCTGACTGGCGGAACAAGGCCATGGCTAAGTTTCTTATCTGTGGGTGTGTGTGTGTGTGTCCTGCTGCTGCTGGTTTCTGCCACTGCCAAGGTGAAGGTCGTGCTGCAGTTTTTGTTGTTATGTAAACAGCCAGCAAGGGGCGGGGAGGGGGGATGGGGTAGGCAGTTCAACCCCATGCCAAATACTGCTGTCAAGGGCTCACCCACTAACCCAGTGCGCATGTCTCTCCTCGCCCATGGGTGTCCTTTGGCCTTGTCCGAAGACAAGGCCTGGCCTCCGTCAGGGCTAAACTCAGTCGCGTCAGCGTCCCAGGGGGGAGGCAGCATTGAACTTGACAGAGGAGAGCCACCCAGTGGCAGGCACGCGGGCAGCCACTTTCAATGCGACCACGAAACGGTTTAGCGGTAACAAGGTTAGTGGGTTAACTTGCTCGCTTTGAGCTTGGAGCTGCAGCTGGGCGTCTGCTCTCCCCCTCTCTCTCTTTCTCTCTCCCTCTCTCTCTCTCTCTCTCTCTCCCGTTGGGTGCTGTCGGCCCGGATTCACACAGAAACCCGTTAGCAAGTGCTCGCTTCTGATCGGCTTTAACTTTTCTTTGTCCATTAAAAGCCAACTTACTCTTCGCCAAGACGACACTCGTCCGTCGATTACTTTCCATGCTAATCAAAATTGAAAAAACAAAACCAAAAACAGCTCCACAGTTGGAGTGGGGCTGGGGTGTGCAGCGCCTAATTGAAAGAAATTTGTTTGTTGCGACACGCTTGACCATGGCCATGGTGATGCCTGACGATGTCTGGAAGTGGCACAGCCATGGACCAAGTGAAATTGAGCGAGACACAAACGCCACATGGATCGAGAGCTGGCACGGGGGATGGGCAGGGAATTGAGTGAAGGAAAACGCTGTGCCTGAGATCTGAGACATTGCCAAAAAGATCTTTGCAAACAATCCATATTAAATGTCTAATATGTTGGCTTCAATTTATTTAAAGCCTCAAGTGAGAAATGGGCTCAGGGCTTTAATCAGCATTCAGTGGCTGTTTAATGATCGCCTCATGAGTAGGTCACACACATGACTCATACACACACACACACACACACACTCAGACTCGCTGGAAAAGGGTTCTTTTTGTGTGTGCTGTCGCTGCTGCTTTTTCACGAGACATTCCCATACCCAAAACCGAAAGCCCATTTGCCAGTTGCCATCACATAAAAAACAAAGAAGTTCGATGACTCGCGCGTGAATTGCATTTTAAAGCCGCATTTCACACTTGGCTGATGGACATGGGACACGTACAGACAGACGGACAGAAAACAACAAAAAAACGAATGAACTCCAGAGCCACGCCACACGAACCCACGAGATGCGATGCGATGTGGATCCAACATCACCGATAATTGCATACAGAGAGAAACACAAGAAAAAGGAACAGCAAGTACAAAGAAAAAGAAAAAAAAAATTAAAACTCTCCAAAATGCACAGCAAAACGGGAGAGAAAGGTAAGCCCGAAGCCATGATACCCTTGCCAAAGCACACGACGAGTCGTTGCCTTTTACTTTCGATTTGGGTACATTTATGTATATTTAAATATTTTATTAATTTCTCAAGCTGATTAATTTGCGTAGGAACAAACGGAAGTGGCTGTGCCTATCTGTTAGAGTTCGAGCAAATATTTACTTGGTTGTGGGACTGCATCCGGGTGCCACACAATCGTAATACCCTCGGCGAACACAAAAAACTGAGAGAAAAAACTGTGAAAATACTCGTACAAGCCGTGGGCAGGGGACGGGCCAACAGCCACGCCACTCGAAAGTTTTTTTTTTTTGGTTTTGAGACAAGTTAAATGAAAAGCAAAACAAACTAAAAAAAAAAATAAACGGAAAATTACCGAGCAGCAACAGTGGCAGTGGAGCTGAAGCTGGTGTTGGACTCCAATTTTCACTTTCACTTGGGAGCACTGCAGAGACGGGGGCAGAGGTCGCGCTCTGATAAATTACCACAGAGAGAGAGAAAGAGAGAAAATAATATAATGTTCGTTGCTCATCTTTACTGTTCTAAAATTCGGTTACAATTAGCTTGACGCCAAATGAGTAGCAGAGTTGTGACAGGAAGACAGAGAGAGAGAGAGAGATAGTGATGACCCCATAACGGTATTCCATTCTACAGCTTTGCTGTCTGTCGTATCCATTGGCGCAGCACAGAGATGCGCTCGTAGCCATCGGGCGCTGCTCTGCCGCAGCCGCCGAGCACAAAACTGGCGACGCCAACCAGGTTTCCGCCGTAGGTGGCCGGACCGCCCGAGTCCCCATGGCAGGCGCCCTTATTGGCCTCATGCAGCAGGCACATGGTGGTGTCGGACAGATGGCTGTAGTAATTCTGCTTGCATGTGTCGCGGGCGAGGTTGCGCACCTGGGTATAGAGCAGATGATCGGAGACGGGTCCGTTGTGGTAGATGGCGCCCCAGCCGGAGATGTCCACCAGGGCATTGTCGGGCGGATCACTGCTGGCCAGCGAGATAGCCTTTATCAGGGAGCTGAATTGCAGTGTGGAGGCCAGGCGGAGCACAGCCACATCGTGGCCCGCAGAGTTTCTGTACTGTGGATGCACCACCACTTGGGCCACATTCACGCGCACACCACCGCCGGACAGCAGCAAAGTGCCCGCCCGAATGTTCAGCTGTGAGGCGGGGGTACTGACAGAGAGAGAGAGAGAGAAACGGAAGGATTAGTGGATGCTGGACTTTCCACAGCAAGTCGTGCCCTTACACATTGTTGCCCGACTTGACGCAGTGGCCGGCAGTCAGCACGTAGCTGGTGGATAGTATGGAGCCGCCGCAGACGAATCGATTGATGCGCCGCAGCGAGATCTGGTGGGGAAACTGGCCCGCAATGGCCCGCGTGCCACCCACAATGCGCGGCGAAGCGCCATCGTCTAGGTCCTGGGCGAGGCAGTAGCCGGCTAGGCAGGCTAGAAGGAGGAGGACAAATGCCAGAATACGTAAAGACATGTCCGGTTCTTGGAATCGATTGGATTGTGTGGCTGCATCGAGGCGGGGATACGTTTATTTATGGCAAAACCCCTCGTGGACCTGTCATCATCATCATCATCAGTGTCACAGTCCCAAGTCGCTATCGAAGCGGCTCTGAGGGGAGTTCTGGTTCTAATGTCTGTTTCAATTAGGGCGCAACTCAATTATCGAACTCAAAAGGGAAGCCCCCGACTTTAATCGGATTTATCTAGAACGGAACTTCCAACTTCAACCTGAAGGCAAGCCCTTGCATGTTCACTCATGTCTTCAAATGGCAAGAAATTGTTATTGCAATCCCTTGAATGCTCCCACAAACTGCGAAGGTGACGGTGAAAAGAGACACGCAAAAGTTTTGTTTTTGTCATTGTCAATTGTCATTGGTTTCTGCAGGTAGCAAATGCATTGCTCACTCTCTCTCTCTCACTCTCTCTTGTGGTCTTTGCAGCAGAAGCTGACGTGAGGGTGGGATCGTAGTGATCGTAGACACCGATTAGCCAGCCACTATTGAGAGTATATTGGACTTTATGGTTGATTTCATAGTTTCGCTATAAGTTGTATGTTGTATGTATATGTTGTAGGTTTATTGTTTGTTGTTTAATTGCTGCATTTGCAACCACCTAATGAGCCCTGTACATTGTTAGAGCCCGCCGCCATTGCGCCGTTATGCCATAAATCGAGTCATAAACATTTTATGGGGAACTAGTCCAGTGGCAATCCCCAGCACCTCCTTATCCTTATCAGCATCGAGTGAGATTGAGTCACCCAAATGACGCTCGACCACCAACCATTAACAAACAAAACAGCGCCAGTTATGTCAGATTTACAGAGTAACTATAATGTCGCGAGGAACCTAGGCAATCTGCTGCTGCAGCCAGTCGTGGAAGCTGGAGACTCGCACAAACACATCCGGATAACGGGAGCCGCAGGCACCCACCACAAAGTTCGTCAGTCCAATGAGCTTTTCGTTGTAGACGGCACCGCTGCCTCCGTCGCCGTGGCAGGTGCCCTGCCTCAGCTCGTGGGCCAGGCAAAAGCTCGCCTTGTCGTGGGCACTGTAAGCGTCCAGGCAGACCGTCTCCTCGGCGACCGTCAGCGAAAGTTCGCGTATCTTGTAGGAGTTGCTGCCCTCCACGGTGCGCCCCCAGCCGGCCACAATGATGGCGGATCCCTGGGCGGGCAGATCCTCATCGCTGCTGGCCAACTCCACGGCCTTGATGCGGTCGGTGAAGGCCAGCGCAGAGCTGAGCGTGATCACGGCCACATTGTTCTGCAGCTGATAGTAGTCCGGATGCACAGTGACCGAAGCGACATACACAATGCGTCCGCCAGCATACTGATTGGTGCTGCCCACGCGGCACGACAGACGGCTGACATCGATGCTGGAAGGGGAACGAGAAATTATAGAGTAGATTCTTCTCTCTCTCTCTCTCTCTCTCTCTCTCTGTTTCTGTTGGTCACTTACAGCCTTCCATCGCGGTGCAGGCAGTGGGCGGTGGTCACCATTTTTGTGGCAGACACAATGGTGGCGCCGCACACATGCGCATTGTCCACACGCAAGGAGGCGGCATAGGGCGTGGCCGTGGGGCCGGCTTCATCGCCGCCCAAGATGCGGCTCTTAAGGCCAGCCTGGCAGCAGCCCAGGAGCCCATAAAGGCAGAGAAAAGCCAGCAAAAGGCCTCGGGATTGGATCATCTTTCTCTCTGGATGGGATGCTACCTCTACCGCTGACGGTTGAACTAAAAATGCGTAGCACAAAGGCTGCCAAATTGAAGTGGACATGCACCCCCCCCTCCAAAAGCAAACACCGCTCCACCCCCTTAGCTGGTCTTATCTGGGGCTTGGACATTGGCGTAAATCTAATCTTATCGCGGCCTTTGGCAAAGCTAAATTGGACGTTAGGCAATGTTATTTCCCCCACGATCAAAATATAAAATGCCAATCGTAATGCCAATTCACTGCAATTCCCCCGCCACCACCACACCCTATCCTTACCGCTCAACAGGACTGATCTATGACCATGACAAGACCAAGACAATGGCAATGGAGATACCAGGGGATGAGTAAGCCATTGAGTCAGCCATGTCCGAATGTGCGAAAGTAGTGGAAAACACCTGAAAACAGAAGCCACAAATGTTCTGCTAGAGATTAGGGCTCCTAAGTACCTCTCTTTCGTTGATCTGCCATAACTAATAATCCACAATAATCTATGTGCAATCTCCCTTAGGGGCATCAAGAATCTTAGCTACAAGTCAGTTGGCAGATGTGTTTCTGACGATTCCAACAGAACTCAAGATCTCCCATCAATCTCTGGCGAAATCAGAGAGCAAATTGGCCAAATTGAATGGCTAATTCCAGGCTAACTCTGATCGATTAGCCATAAACATGTCCGCCAGTCTGCCCTACAACGATTAATCTCTTTGACCCATCAAGGTCTCGGTGCTCGGTGCTCGGTTCCGACATTTATGGAACCTTTGTAGTCCAATCATGACGAGGCCCGATGCGGTGCGATATTTATGGCTGCCATAAGTTTGCTCCCATAAACCCGAGGTCTGGGTTGGCCTGATCCGTAGCCAGGGAAAACACACACATTTCTTGGAAAGATTTCACACTTTATGCACATGAAAAAACAATGTATAAAAAAACAAGAGGAGCCGTTTAGGCTCCCTGTGTGTTTGCCTCGATCCAGTCCAGATAGTAGTAGATGCGGGAGGCAACATCCGGGTAGGAGCTGCCACAGTCCGCGAAATGGAAGCTGGTTATACCCTGCAGCACCTTGTCGTCATCGATGACAGCGGCGCCGGCATCGCCGCTGCAGATGCCCTCCTTTGCGGCGCTGGACAGGCACAGGGTGGACGCGTAGCCGTAGCCGGCGGCCAGCTCACAGAACGGAGCACTGACCGTGTTGTAGTTGGCCTTTTGCAGCTTGTAGGGCGCGGAGCCATCGGAGACTGCACCCCAGCCAGCCACATAGACGGGTGTGTTATGGGGCAGCTCCGTGGACACCTCCTCCTCGCCCTCGCCCTCGCCCGCCTCCTCCACTTTGCTGGGCAGTTTGGCGGCGGCAATGCGTTCGGTGTAGACCAGGGGCTCGCTCAGCGTGACGATGGCCAAGTCGTGCAGGAAATTGCCATACGATGGATGGATGAGGACGCTCCTCACGTTGACAATCTGCCCACCGGCATACTGATTGATGCTGCCCACACGCACGCCCAAGCTGCTGGCAGCGACACTGGAAAATGGCCAAGGGATTAGCAGGAGGATCGCAGGAGGATCGCAGGAGGATCGCACTTACGGCGTTGTTCCCAATTCGGACACACAGTGGGCTGCAGTCAGCAGCTGTGTGTTGGAGATGATGACGGCCATGCAGGTGTGCGCCTTGTTGTGCCGCAGCGATGCCGTCCACGGATACTCCGTGGCTGTGGCATCCTCTCCGCCCAGAATGCGACCCTCGGGCGAGGGCAGAGCGTGGGCAGCCGCAAGCAGGAGGAGCAGTGCCCAGAGTGGAGCAAGCGCTAGACGTGGAGCAGCCATGACGTTGGAATATCAACTGATTCCAATGGCCAATCGATGTCGGCCAGTCCGCTGCCGACTTGAGCGGCTCTTCAGGCTAATCTTGAGCACCAAATGATAAGCGATGAAACGATTTATGATCCCTGCCCGACGGACGGAGACCTACCTCGATAAGATTTGGCCTAAACGGGGCTATGGGCCAACGGGTAGACCGTTCCGTTACGTTCCCTGCGGCATCATAAATGCCTCTATAAAGGCATCCCGGCGAGAGCTGAAACCTCTCAGTTCGCTTCCAATTCAGCATGAATTCAGTTCAGACCCAAGTTGTTCTCCTGGCAGTGCTCCTGCTGGCAGTGGCCACGGGCAACGCCTCGTCCACTCGGCTGCTCGCGGATGTGGGCTCCCGCCCGTATGCCATCTCGGTGCAGCGCAATGGAGTCCATGTCGCCGGCGGAGCGTTGATCAATCAGCGCTGGGCACTCACCGCCGCCCACTGTGTCTCCCTGGGCGGGGGTCAGGAAAGGTAGACCGTCAGCCGGTGTAGAGGTCATCCATTAATCCTGTGCCATCCTTCCCGCAGCTATCCCGTCCGCTCCTTCCTCGTCCGTGCTGGCAGCATTCAGCGCCTGGCTGGGGGACAGCTGCTTGCCCTCTCCCAGATCGTGCTGCACAGCGGCTACTCCGGCTCCGGTTCGGTGGAGAACGACTTGGCCCTGCTGCAGCTGGCCAGCCCACTGATCCTCAATGCCAACAGCCAGCCCATTGCTCTGGCCAGCGCACTGCCAGCCGTTGGCTCTCAGATCACCTTCGTCGGCTGGGGATCCTCGCTGCCCGACGGGGCGCTCAGCCATCGCCTGCAGGTGGCCACCAGGCAGTCGATTAGCGCCGAGGCATGCCAGCAGTCGCTGTACCTCAGTCACGAGGATCTGCTCTGCCTGGTGCCCGAGTCAGTGGCTGCGGGCGAGACCTCTGGCCTCTGCACCGGCGATGCCGGCTCCCCGGCCATCTACAACAACCAATTGGTGGGCATTGCCTCCTTCTTTGTCGCCGGCTGCGGCACCGAGCAGCCCGACGGCTATGTGGATGTCACCAAGCATCTCGACTGGATAGCCGAGACAAGTGCCTAAATAAACCAACTCAAACTAAGCTCTTTGGATGCCTCAAATAATTGTTTAATGGTAATGGCAGAGCCCCAATGGTGGCACAGGGAAGAAGCTTCGTTTTTTGACGCTTTTTTGCAGCTAAATTGAAACAAAAGTTCTAAGTTCTAAGCTAAACACAGATCTAATTGTACATTTAGTTTCGGGTCTCTTCCTCTGTTTGAAACAGTTTCAAATTCACTTTTTCTGATGGGCTAAAAGTTTGTTCAACGCAACGAATAGTACAAAAAACTCATTTTGTACTTGTAGTTTTGTTAAATGATTCAAATGTCAAATATACTCGAAACTTGAAGCAAAAGTTAACAATTTTGTGCTGCTAATGGCTCATAAATAATGCTCCCTAATGCTCCCTTCTCTTTTAAAAGAAAACACTGAGCGGAAAAACAAAGTGAACAAAAAGTGGCCACAAACCCCCCCACAGAAACGAGTCAAACTCGAACTCTGTGGACCTTTTTTCAAAGAGCAATAAATACAAGTGGGACACTCCGTTTGATATTTGAACAAATATCTATTCGCGAACCAAGGCCGACTACAGATCATAACAATTAATGCGCAATGCAATTGTTGGCTTTGATTTTATGCCTTGATCGCTTTTAAATAATTATTTCTTGTATTCAATTGGTTTGAATTTGGAAACAGTTTTGTTTACGTTTTGCTGTAAGTTGCTTGAGATCTAAGCTAAATGCTTTGAGCAACCAAAAGGCCACCAAATGTGTACTCACGGCAGACTTATACTCCGTGTATGCTCCAGGAACCATGCCTCTGGCAGGGTATCTGAAAGTTCGCCACTCCCAGGCTGCAGCTGCCTCGTGTGTGTCTTGGGCTTAGTGGCTTGTTCTTGGTTTTCTTTTTGGTCAATGGACACGCGATTTGGCCGTATCGCACAATCTAATCGTAGTAATGCGATGGGTCCGATAGGTACAGTAAAGTTTCTCGCTGAATGGGGCTTTTCTTTGCCTGGCAATAAGCCTTCTTCCAGTTTCTTTTGGAGGCGCCCGCCAAATGTTCTTCTATCTGTGAATCTCTGAATCAAGGGAATCATATATCTTGGCATGAGCACTGATTGGTCGAAGGGTCCAAAAGTCAGTCAAAGTCCAAGAAATGCTCTGGCAAACGTGCGAGGGAGCAGCTGACAGTCCTTGGAGACACTCGATTATTGCTGTATGTAATTTATTTTGTTTATTTATTGAATGTTCTGCTGAATCCAATCGTAGTTGGCTGGAATGCTAATGAAACGCTCGGGCAGGAGGCCGCCGCACTCGCCCAGCATCTCGCCGCCGAGGCCGACCAGCTGCTGTTGGTAGACGGCGGGTCCGCCTATGTCGCCGCGGCAGACGCCATTGCGACGCTCATGGCCCAGGCAGAGCACCTGATCGTTGTCCACTGGCTCCTCCTCGCTCTTGCCCAGACGGCACTCGCGGCGCGGCACCACGCTGGCCTGTCCAATCTGCAGGGTGCGGTGCATGTTGACCTCCGCCTCGAAGGTGCGTCCGTAGCCAGAAATATCCACCTGAGCGCCCACGGGCGGATCGACGCGTGCCAGCGGCACGGCGCTCACATTCTCATTGAAGACGATCGACTCCTTGAGCCGCAGGAGGGCCAGGCCGGTCTTCAAGGTGTTGTAGTTGGGATTGATGGTGATCTCCTCGACGCGTATCTCCTTGCCGCCCGTGTAGAGATCCACCGAGCCGAAGGTGATGCCAAATAGATTGGGGGACCAGCTGCAAATGAAATGTGGCCGGATGAGACTTTCTTCTCGCTACCGTTCCGCTTCGTTCCACTTACGGCTTATCCTTGCCATCGGAGCAGACACAGGTGAGGGCTGTGAGGGCGTAACGCTCGGCAATGATCACAGCGCCACAGTTGTAGCTGCCACCAATGGAGAGGGCCGCCTGGTAGGGCAGCTGGCCGGGCACAGCGTCCTCGCCACCGGCCACACGTGCCTGGGGCAGAGCCTGGCCGAGGCAGCAGGCGAGCAGAACGAGTCCAGCGATCGGGGTGAGCTTCATGGTACTTCTTGGTTCTTCTTTTGCTAAAGAGATGGCCCTCGGCTTTTATAGTCCACCCTAGCCCAGCCCCTGCAAATATCTTATCGGGCCACAGATAGTGTCATCAGGTGACAGCCGCGCAGCTGATTAGACAAGCCGAAGAAGCTCAGCCTTCGGGTTGGGCGTGTGTCCATGCACACATCGTACACACTGATGTATCTGTAATGATCTATTTCTGGGAACTCGGACCAGGCCTGGGGTATCAATGAACTCTGATCGACGATCCACGATCCACGATCCACGATCGACTGGGGGGAACACGTTTCAGTGGCAAAGAGAGGCCAATGATCCATCGATCCAGCTGTGGGCACGTAGCAGCACAACCTGTTGGCCTGCTGTCCATCTCCAACTCCTCATCCTCAGCCTCATCCTCATCTTTAGCTGTCTTTGCGTTTCATTTAAATGGTGTGGCTGGCGGACAGCTTTGTGCATTCGCAGACTCAACGTCGCCCCAGCATGATCTTGCGAAAGAGCAACGCTGGACAGCAGCTTCAGCTGCATCTGTTTGCCCTCATCCTCATGCATGCCGCCTGCCACAATCTGATCAGCGCCAAGACGGTGAATCCCAACAGCGGCGGAGATCTCCAACAGCAGCAGCAGCAGCAACAGCAGCCGCTTCAGGGTCTACCCGAGCCTCGGGCCTACATGCCGGACTCACAGAACTTGGACTTTGTCTACCACGATCACGAGGAGCTCACACGATTCCTGAGGTGAGTGACAGCAGACGGCAGACGGCAGACGGCAGACAGATGCCGACAAAAAGCTAATCCGCCTCCCTCTACCATAGAGCCACCAGTGCCAGGTATCCCAATCTGACGGCACTCTACTCCATTGGCAAGTCCATTCAGGGCCGTGATCTGTGGGTAATGGTCGTCAGCTCGTCACCGTATGAGCACATGATCGGCAAGCCGGATGTCAAGTATGTGGGCAACATCCACGGCAATGAGCCCGTGGGCCGCGAGATGTTGCTGCATCTCATTCAGTACTTTGTGAGCAGCTACAGCTCCGATCAGTATGTGAAGTGGCTGCTGGACAATACGCGAATACACATATTGCCCACCATGAATCCGGATGGCTATGCGGTATCCAAGGAGGGCACCTGCGATGGCGGACAGGGCAGGTGAGACGTCAAAATGCTCCAACCAAAAGGTGCCTCGATTACTTCAGAATTCGCTTTGCAGATACAATGCGCGTGGCTTCGATTTGAATCGCAATTTTCCGGACTACTTCAAGCAGAACAACAAGCGCGGACAGCCGGAAACGGACGCTGTCAAGGATTGGATATCCAAGATACAATTTGTGCTCAGTGGCAGCCTGCATGGCGGTGCACTGGTCGCCAGTTATCCCTACGACAATACGCCAAACTCCAGTAAGTAGTCCCAGCAGTGCGCTGTCCGTCATGTGTCCGCTGTGTGTCCGCTTGCTCCTGCTGCTGTTCCTTTTTGTGTTCTGTTCTGTTCTGTTCTGCTGGGGGTATTTGTCTCAGATTTATAAAGCTGACTTTGTACTTTAAACACCAATATGGCTGCTCAAAGGGATCTGCCGTTCGTCCGCCCTGTGCGCGAGTGAGTAAACCGATTGCTGCGAGACCGAACCAACTAACCTCTTCTCTCTCTCTCTCTGTCTCTCTTACTCTTGCACCCAACATGTCCGCTGGGTGCAGTGTTCCAGACCTACTCGGCGGCACCCTCGCTCACCCCCGACGACGATGTGCTGAAGCATTTGTCGCTGGTCTACGCCCGGAATCATGCCAAGATGTCACGCGGTGTGGCCTGCAAATCGGCCACGCCTGCCTTCGAGAATGGCATCACAAATGGCGCCGCCTGGTACCCATTGACGGGCGGCATGCAGGACTATAATTATGTGTGGTATGGCTGCATGGAGATCACCCTAGAGATCTCCTGCTGCAAGTTTCCGCCCGCCTACGAGCTCAAAAAGTATTGGGAGGACAATCAGTTGGTATGTTTTTCTCTCTCTCTCTCATCTCTCATCTCTCATTCATTCAATATTTTGTAGTCCCTTATCAAATTCCTGGCTGAGGCGCATCGCGGTGTCCAGGGCTTTGTCTTCGATCCCGCGGGCATGCCCATTGAGCGCGCCTCCATCAAGATCAAGGGACGCGACGTTGGCTTTCAGACCACCAAATATGGCGAATTCTGGCGCATACTCCTGCCAGGCTACTACAAGGCGGAGGTACGTACATTCAGGACCCTCTTCTAGCTCTTCATTTGCCACTCTTTCTGCTCCCCCAAGGTCTTTGCTGAGAGCTTTGCCCCACGCGAGGTGGAATTCGTCATTGTGGAGCAGCATCCGACGCTGCTGAATGTCACGCTGCAGCCCTCAAAGGTACATTATTTGGTTTAAGATTTCTTTATTCCCGGTGCTGGTGCTAAAAACTTGTCCCCGCCCCAACCCATAAAGCCCTACCTGTTGGCCTCTTCAGTCGTCACCACCGCAAGGACGCGTCCTGTGAGCGAGAAGCTGCAGTTGTCCACCGACTAGTCCTCTCTCCGGGTGCTCTCTGGCTGGCATGGCATGGCAAATACATTCGTAAGATGTGCCTTTAGTCTTAAGAGTTGTGCGAATAATTTGGTGTTTGGTCTCCATCTGGTCCTGTGGCTTTCATTCTTTGTGCACCCCGGAAATGCTTAACTTCAATTCCAAGACTTTTTCTGGTTAAAGGAGAACTCAACCCGCAACCCTCGACCCTTAACCCCCCTACGTACGCCTAAGTGTTTGCTTGTTATCGGTAAATTGTACAATAGAGAGAGAAAGTGGACAATAAACTTGACTCCAACTCGATCATTATCATCCGACACTTTTTGCAGCGCATTGAGGGCATTGGCGGCATTGGCGGCGTCTCGCCGGGCGGCATGTATCGGCCCATACCGGTGCCGCAGCACTACAGGCCACAGATGCCGCCATATGCGGCAGCTGCCTCCAGCGACAATGGCATCTTCTCGACCATCAGCAATGGCCTGAACAGCCTCTACTCGAATATATTCGGCTGAAAGTTCGCGCGGCCGCAAATAGTCTCTAAGCATTTTTTTTGTTTTTAATTTTAGTACTTAAAAGAGGGCAGAAAAACCAACAATAAAGTGTGCAATCTATCGTAGTAGTGGCTGCCTTTGTTTTCAGTTCACATCAAACATTCTCTCCTCACTTTGGAAGCGGAGCTTCAGACAAAATTTAGACTCAAACGAAAAATATAAGCCAAAAATCAATTCGATTCTGAACAGCACAAAAATTAAACCCAAACGAGTAGCGAGCAACGAGCAACGAGCAACGAGTAACGAGTGCACAGCAACGATGAACAGCAACGAGAGAGATGCGTTGAGCCCCAAAATTGGTGGCCTGGGCAGCAGCAGGTTTGAGTTTCGGGTGAGTGCAGAGCCAAGCAAACAGCCAACAGACACAGCAGACATCATCAGTGCCATTCCAGTTTGCCGGTCCGGACTCCATTAAGAATGCGGTGCAGCGGCACAATGAGCAGCGGGCAGCGGAGTTGGCCGAGCAAAGTCGCCAGCGGGACGTCGACGGCGGCAAGGCGTTGGCTGGCGGTCCAATCTTCTGCAAGGTGCGCAGCTCTGGCCGTGATGTGATCAGCAAGTACACGTCCCGCGACATGGATGTGGAGACGCACTTGTCGCTGCACTCTGCCACAGACAAGGAGCAGACACAGGCAGCTCCGAAGTGTTGCCACTTCCAGCAGAGCGAAGTTCCCAGTGAGGTGTGCGACTCGCTGGACTCGCTGGACTCGCTGGAGTCACTCGAGTCGGTGCCCCCCTGGGTGCAGGCATCCGAGGCAATGCTGATGGTCGTCCAGCCACCGTTCCAGCAGCAGCAGGCGCAACGTGTCAGGGTGGCAGAGGGTAGACCCAAGCTGCAGATTCCACCGTGTGTGCAGAGATGGGCGCTGAAGGTGCCACCCAAGCCGAGCAAGAGAGCGGCAAAGACACAGCGAAAGCGTACAATCAGCGCTCAGGATGCTGGCGATGCTGGGGATGCTGGGGATGCTGGCGATGCTGGGGATGGGAGCGAGAAGAAAGCAAATGTCCAAAAGGTCATCCAAGTGCAGTACCGAGAGCCGAGGGCATGCTTTGCGGATGTCATACCCTCGCCCATGATGTCGCAGGCCATCAGGGTGAAGGTGTGCGAGGCGCCGAACATCTCCTACTTTGCCGCAGGCCAATTCATGCATCAACACCGCAGCCTTGCGCCGGAGTCGACGGCGCCGTTCTTTCGCGAGGACAGCGACCTCGAGCACGAGTACAAGGATCGGGCGGCGTATCTCTGTGCGGTGGGGAGTCGCCCCAGCTGTGCCAGCAGCCGGGAAGACGCCACACTGGCTAGGTGCCACAAGACGCCGATGTTCTGCGAGCTGGAGTGCGGTTCGCGCGGAGTGCAACTCTGGCGCAGTCTCAACCCGCTGCGGTACACCTCACAGCGCTCGGAGGAGACGCTGGCCAGCAGCAGTCGGCATCAGGTGGTGCCACTGCCGCGTCCACGAGTGCCCAAGAAGAGTTCAGCAGAAAAGCAGAAGGATGAGCTGCAGACGCTCCACCCTCGCCAGCCTGGAGGGCGGGACGGGAAGTCGAGTCAAGCTGCCACTGTCCCCTACCAGCAGCAGCCAAGGCGTCGCAGATGCCGCCAGACGCAGACGCAGACGCAGACGCAGGCGCAGATGGCGGTGTGCAGCCAATCGCTGGAGCAACTCAAGTGCCAGAAGCTGGGCATCTACAACAAAATAACGCTGAAGCAGGAGCGGATCATTGGCGCCCTGGACCGACTGCAGCACAGTCTGCTGCAGCTGCAGGTGCCCGAGTGCAGCAGCCAGGAGCGCAGGAAGCGGGAGCGGAACGCGTTCGAGTTTTGTGTGCGCTTCTCCAGGAACTTCCTGTATCCGCTGAAGGGCATGCTCGACGATGTGCGCCGCACGCCGGTGACCTACTTCCACAGCGTCACCTCGAACGAGGCCTGCCAGCGGGTGGTGTCTGTGTACGGGTTGATGCACCAATCGATTGCCACGTACCAGCGCCAGCTGCGCTACTTTCTGCTGGACAAGGTGCCGCAGAAGCTGAGCGCACTCATGGAGATGATCTACACGCTGGGCAACACGTGCGTGGAGAAGGGCATACTGGACAGGCAGGATCCGGTGGCTGAGTGCCTGCGCGAGCGATGCACAAAGTTCCTCACCTTCATCGAGGACATGCAGGAGGAGCGCTTCAAGTTGGCCCGCGAGAGCTATCGCCGTGCCCACAGGCAGCCGGAGCGAAAGACCACCAAGCAGAACTTCGACCTCAGGATGTGCCTCAACGACCACAAGACGTACGAGCCGCGGCTGGTGGCCAAGAAGAAGCCGCAGGAGCCGAAGCGTGGCCGTGTGGCACGCACCAAGGTGCCCCCCAGCGTGGCACGTGCCACCGCATCCGCTGCGGATAATGCCCACAGCCCAGAGGAGGTTAAGACACAGGTGGCAATGGACGACATGCCCTACAGGAAGGCAAGGCTGGCCTCGCCCAAGGCACACTTGACCGAGCAGCAGCCAGCAGCGGCGGGCAGAAGGGACAGCCGCAACGCCAAGCTGGAGGATGAGCTGCAGCAGGCCCTGATCGATGCATTGCGTCACGTGTCCAGATCTGAAGTGCATCAGGTGCTCGATCCCTTGATGCGTTCCATTGGCGCCATCCTGGACGAGAAGGTAAGCTGCAAATTGGCACAAGGCTTTGCATTCGCTTCACTTCTTCTGCACTTGTTCCCCCTTTCCAGATGCCAAAACACTAATTGAATTGAGTTTAATTGATTTACGCAAAATTAATACAGTGTAAGCTTTCGGCAAACGACAAATCCCACAAAATTGTGCAACAAAATAGACAGGATTTGGGCCCTCGATGGATTGTTGTATGGAAAGTGGCCAGCAGTTCCACATAGCAAAATTTGGAAAGTATTTCGCATAAATAAATGGAGCCTTGTGTTAGGTTTTTCGTTCAGATGAAAGCCAAATGGATTTCCAAGCTGGCGTCTTCACCACAGAGGGTAGAGGGTGGCTTTTGCCTCTCTGTGCGTGGTGAATATGTTATGGGTACTCCCCACAGCCATGTGGACAACAGCGGAGAGTCTCTGCACAGAAGCCAACATTAAAATGCGCGCCAGGCGAGAAGAGAATTGACGCAGCCTCTGAGGGTGGATTGCTGCTGCTGAGGTAAGCTACAAATGTGAGCACCGGCAAAGCAGTAGCGTACGGAGATGATTTTTGCACATGGATCGTGTGAGAGAGAGAGAGAGAGCGCTAACAGCACTGCAGACTGTAAGCGGTTGGAGGGGAACAGGATGGTAACAGCGGCAACAGCACTGTAGACGCTAGTGCGCTGTGAGCGCTTAGAGGAAACAGAATGTTAACAGTGGTAACAGCACTGTAGACGCTAGTGCGCTGTGAGCGCTTAGAGGAAACAGAATGTTAACAGTGGTAACAGCACTGTAGACGCTAGTGCGCTGTGAGCGCTTAGAGGAAACAGAATGTTAACAGTGGTAACAGCACTGTAGACGCTAGTGCGCTGTGAGCGGTTAGAGGAAACAGAATGTTAACAGTGGCAACAGCACTGTAGACGCTAGTGCGCTGTTAGCACTGCAGGCTGTGAGCGGTTAGAGGAAACAGAATGTTAACAGTGGCAACAGCACTGTAGCGGTTACAGGAAACAGAATGTTAGCAGTGCTGCCGCCACGCTGCTAATGTCAACACTCTGTTACGGGGTGAAAGAAAAAGTTCGAAAAATACCTTCTACCTGCGATATATGCTGCAGCTGTTCAGATTAATGTTTATTTATTATATTCCATTTAACAGATACTTTTGTGCGTTACGAAAAACAATCAAGAGAGGATCTAATCCAGAGGGCGGCGACGGGTAACAATTGAAAGAAAGCTATGTGTGTGTGTGTGTGTGTGTGTGTGTGTGTGTGTGTGTGTTTGTGTGTGTGTGAGATGGACAACAATTGTTTTGTGCCTATCAACTAAACAGATTTATAATAATTACTTGTAAGCATTAACAGCCAGCAGGCAGCATTCAATCAGCGGCATGCTGCTGCCTCCTTCTCCTCGTGCTGCAGGCGCTCGACAGGTGTGCCAAATGCATTTATCGTGTTCTGTTGTCTCATGTGTTGTGTGTGTGTGTGTGTAAGGGTAAGGGTACTTGCTGGTGCTAGTGTGTAGAGGGGCAGGAGGTGCAGCGCCTAGCCCGAGCAATCCTTGCACATCGGCTGGTTCTCCTCCACGGCGAAGGTGCTGGCCGTGATGGGAGTGCCGCACTTCTGCAACAGCAACGAACAACAAGAAATATATGTATAAAAATAGTTTGAAAATGGTTCGTTCCATGGGATAGCTCACCTTGCACTTGAAGCAACTGCGATGCCATTTGGCTTTGAGTGCAACGATCGCATTGTCTATGATCGGCTGGTCACAGCCGGCGCAGCGGATGGCGAACAGCTGCTCGTAGTCCACACGGCAATAGGGCTGTCCGTCGCGTTCGTAGAAGGAGGTGCCGGCCAGTGGCTTCTTGCACGGACCATTGCATAGGAAGCACTCCTCGTGCCATGACTGCTCCATGGCCTTGATGGTGCGCTGTGCAAAAGGGAAACATTATAGCATACTTTCGGGCAAAGTGCAGAAGAGAGAGAGCGAGAGAGAGCGAGAGAGAGAGAGAGAGACACCCACACCCTGACCTTGAGGCCAACAGCAAACAGCAAAAGCTGGCCAGCTGAGGGATACTCTTAGGAAAAGCAATCAAAATCAGCACGCAAAACTGGGGCAATCTCTTGGCAATCTTTGGGTGAAGTATTCATGATAAGTGGAACATGTTGTGGCACCATCTTCATGAAGAAAAAGTCTTAATATTATTTGACAAATACTCAAAGAGTTGCCAGCATTTTGAGCAACTTTGGCAGCGCCTCTCTCCGTACAGAAATAATGCAAATATGAATTTGAATGGGAAAGACAGGCTAAATGTGCAAATGGCAATCACTTCCCTAATTAAATAGTTGCCAGACACTCGTACTTGTTGATATCTGAGCATGTCGCTTTGTGCAAATGTGAATAGGAATCGCCAGATAGATGTTGACAAGATTCATTGCATCGAAGCTAGTAAAGCCGCAAAGTTTATGGCAAACAGACGACGAGAATGAACAGCCCGACAGGGAGGGCAAGAGAGGAATGGATAGACTCTGACTGTGACTGTGACTCTGACTGTACTCACCTCCATGATGGGCTGCTTGCAGCCAAAGCATGTGCCCGAATAGTTCTTCACAAAGCAATCGGTGCAGACGGGCTCATTGTCCTGAATGTTGAAGGTGGCATCTGTGATGGGCTGCTCGCAGTCCTTGCAGGCAAAGTGGCCCGGATGCCAGGTCTGGCCCAATGCCGTGATGATGCGCTGCTCGATGATCTGCTTGCATTTGTGACAGTAAACGGGCGGCTGCGGAGAGTGCGGAGTCGACTGGGGAGGGACACTCATATTAGTTTCGATTCGTTTCAAATGAAAGTCACGTAGGTACTTGAAATATTTCATAGCACATCACAAATAATTCTCTCTTGTGGGTACAGACTGGCGAGATTCATCTTCGGTTTCTCACTTGGGCGAATCGAGTTCAAAAACCGCAGACGACAGCGAAATGTCTACGTAATCCAATACCCAAATGCCAAAAGGCCCCAACACAAAGAATATGTACAATAATTTATATAAACAGCAAAACGAATAATATATTATACAATAATGAGTTGTGCCCGCAAGTTGTGCAAATCCCGAATCGGTGAGTACATTTCTGGGCTTCCATTTTGAGATTCTTCGAGGCATTTGGCTGCCACTTTGGGTCATCCCCAACTGCTCCTTGGTGGCTCTCTTGGCCTCCATGCTCAAGCTTTGATTCAAGCAAATTCGGAGTGAGTTCAGAGTGAAAATTGAATGAAAGCTCTCGAGCTGCAACTCATTTTCAGCACAATTTATTGGGTTTGCCACTCCAGACATGACAGTGGCAAGTGCACCATAAAAAGTCAACAAAAAGGCAAATATTTTTCCAAAATTTGTGTAGCTCGGGGAAACCCCCGTCTGGGGCGGGGGGAGGAAATGTGCGAAATATTATTTACATTTGGCAGCCAAAAGTTTTATTTTGCACAAATTAAACGCAAATTAAGTTTTTCGAGCAGACACCGCCTCAAGTTTTCGCGCCAGATGTGGCAACAATATCAGCAATTTCTCTCCCCCGCCCCCTCCCCCTCGCTCTTTGCTTTTTTCGTTCCTTTTGCATAGACGACGGACGTCTCACTGAGATCATCGCTAGAGTTAGAAACACACAGAGAGAGAGAGAGCGGGAGAGAGCGGGAGAGAGGGGAAGGGCAGCAGCCTCACTTCCAGTAAGTTTTGCTTCCATCCCGAAAATAACAACAACAACAATTAAGAAACATTTTCAACGCCTAATGGGCAGCAAACAAAACAAACAAACACAAACAAAAACCAAACAACAAATGCAGCAAGCAAAACGAACGAAACACACAGCCAAAGGTCGAAGTGCCAATGCCCTTACCCCGCGGCAGGCAGTGCGAGAATTTCCAAAGCAAAGGGAAACTCCGCAAAAAAATACATGAATCTATTCAGCTACAAGACATCCAATAACATCTGAATAAGTCAGTGCTAAATTGATGATTCTCAAAGATATGCAAACCCAACAAAAAAAGTATTTCACTTGACCTCAAAGCGAACAGTTTTGAACCCACAAAGAGGCAGCGATTAAGGCAGCGGGAGGGCGTATCAGATAACCAAACATTTTGATACATTCATTTGATGTTACATGATGATACACCTAAGAACGATCTTGAATGCCGATGGTGATTCACAGAAATAGATTTCAAATTACTGATTTACCGGCAGGACAGGCTGGACTCCACATTTGGGGCTACGCCTGCGGAGTTTCCGCTCTCAATTCGATTTCAAGTGCACTTTTCATTGCTTTTTGCTTTGGTTTTGTTGACAATTTGCATTTGCTATCAGTGCCAGCAGCAAAAATGCAACAGAAAACCATAAAACATCAGATGACGGATCCCACAGCGAGAGAGATCGAAAGATGAGGTGGCAGGTGGCAGGTGGCACGTAGGGATTGTCGAGAGAAAGTCGACAGGTCGGCCTGTGGGTTGGGCGTCAAGTGTTATTCTCTGCTTCTCACATTTGTGTTTGCTCTGTTTACCCATGCCCCATTCCTCGGGCATCAATCAAAGTTGTCAATCAGCGAGAGGCGAGAGGCAATTGGGCATAATGGGGGGGGGGTTTGTGGGGGTCATGGAGGGGGCATTGGCTGTTGCTACCGTTGCCTTCGATCAGATCATTTGTAGCAGACGCCTCCAACAAGCAGATGATCCCCCCCCCCCCCACATAACATACTCAGCCCCATCCCACACAGGCACTCACACTCGAGCACACTGTGCGTATACGTAATGGCCATAAAATCATTTCAACTGTGAGTGAAATGCCGAAATGGTTTTCTAATATATGGGCAAGAAAATCGTCTGGGAATAAGATCAACGGCGAAGAAAACTCTACGAGAAATCGATCGACAATTCCAAGATGAATGGAAATGCCCACAGAAAAGCTGAGCGCACCTGCCATGGCTTGTCCGTTCAGAATAAACATCTTGAGAAGATAATTCAAGCAAAGCTCATTTAGAGGCAGAGCCCCAAGCCCAAGCTCAGGGCAATAAAACGTTTCCGTTTATCAGATGTCATGACTCCCATCAAGCAATCTCCCTCGCTCGCCCGCTCTTTCTGTATCTGTATCATGATAGCTCTGCTGATGACTCTTCTGCCGATGATTAGCTGATGCTACAGGTTAAGCAGGCTCTCCAGCAGTTGCCAGATTTATTAATCGGACAACAAATAAATCGTTTTGTGAGTAAAAGGTTGCATGACATCACCGGATCAGCAACCACACACACCGCGCTCAGAATATTTCTGGGCTTAGTTTCATTCGCATTGTTCGATTTTATATAAGGAATGAGCGAGCGAGCCAGGCCCTTGAGTTAAACTTTTGCTTTCGCCCACTGAAAGCAGTTTCTCAGATTTTGAAATTTTCCCCAAAACAAAAAACATTTTAAGACTGTAACCACAGTCGGAGGACGCCCACTTGGGACGCACTTTGATGATGGCTCTTGAAATATTTTACCCATGAGGAGTACCTCAGCTCAGCCTCTGCCCCTGCCTCTGCCTATTTTGTATTTTGTTTTTTATTTTTAGTATGGCAATTAACATAAAGTCTAATAAGGCAAGCCAGACCATATATTGGCGAGTGCGTGAGTTTTAGTTTTAGTTTTGTTTCTTTTTTGCTTTGGGTAGGCAGCCCAAAAGCCAAATGGATGACGGGTGGCTTGGAGCTGTCTCCGGCGTGTCTTTGGTGTCTGGGCGTGAAAACGGGAAAACGGAAAACCCTAGACATGCCAAAGCGGCGTATGAGCAATCTCCAACAGCTCCAACCTGTTTGGCCTACGCCCCCGCAGAAGATCGAAGCGGACTGCGGACTGCGGACTGCGGTCTGGGGCAGCCAGCCAGCTGGGCGACCAGTTGGAAAGTGATTTGAATATCGGAGTAAACCGCTGCGCCCCCTCCCAGCCCCTTATAGTTACAATAATTGAATAGATCTTGTGGGACTTACCATATTGAGTGCTTGCTGCTCAACTTCGCTTGGGAGAGAGATTTGATTTTATTTTGTCAACAAAATTTATCAGTTCTCGTAGCTCGTCGTACTCCGTACTCCGAATGTGTTTGTGCTGAAAACAATCAGTTGAAGTTTAAGCATGGGCCAACTGATTTTCTGGAAAAGCAAAGCACACACACACATAAAATAATATAACACAAAAAATAATAAGGGTACTCGGGCAACATACACGCAGAAATATGTCTTGAAGTTGAGTTTCTCGACAGGGACTACTGGCTGGTATTTGGAAAGCTCTTTCTGGAATGATAGTGGGAGCTATGAAAGATCTTCAATTTGAGTTTAAGTTTGAGATGCAAAATGCTTGCCACTACTCTTCGTACACCTCTCGCTGAGGCAAACGTCGAATGCCTTTTGAAAAAATGTCAAAAAATATCAAGCCAAAAACTGAATCAAACAATTTCGAGTAATTGCTGCAGATATTAATATTAATTAGTTTATTTTCTGTATTTATTTAGTTATATTTTGTGTTGTGTACCGTTGAAATTTGAGTGGAACGCGGGAATAGGTAGATATAGGAGAAAGGTTGGCCGACAATAGCGGAATAGCAGCCAAAGGCAGTCGCGGAAAAAACAGCAGAGTGCGGATTGTGGACTGTGGATTGTGGATTGTGGAGTCGAGTCGAGTCGAATCGAAACGAGGCGGGTCGAATCGTATCGAACCGAACCGGCGAGCGACGACCAAGAAACTGAAACAGAAACCAAAACGCAGCGCAGCGCAGAGCAGGCGCCAAGGCAGCGCAGTTAGCAGCAACAGCGACAGAGCAGCGCAGTTAGCAGCAACAGCCAGCGAGCGGGTAAATGGAGCCAGCAACAGCGGGTGCCGGTCGTCGGCAGTTCGCGCGCAGGCGCCGCGAGCAGCAACAACCGCCGCCGCAGCAGCAGCAGCAGCAGCAGCAGCAGCGCAGGACGCGCCTGAGTCCCGTATGGAACTCCAACTGGAACAGCGACAAGCGTCCGTGGGTGCGAGGCTCCTCCAACGTGGCAGTTGTGCGGCCCAGCAGGAGCTCCATCGAAACCACAAAGACCCGACCAGCCAGCACTTGTCTGCATTCGCGGGGGATGCACTCCTTCTCCAACCCCTACGTGGCGCTGCTGCACGGCAAGGAACAGGCGAATGGCGCAGTTGGGAAGAGACGCAGCCGAATGCCGGTGGCCCCATGCCCCATGGCCTTGGGACGCACGTACACTGCGCCGCCGCCTCCCACTGCCAGCCAGGCGGCCAAGGGCAGGCCAAGCACAAAGGCCGGCTTAATCCGTAAGGCAGCCATCAAGGCCAAGGTGGAGTCGCACCTGTGCTCCAGCTCGGATCACATGGCGCCTTTGGCGATGGAGAACAAGGCCCTGGCCGAGGCCCACCAGCAGCTAGAGTTGCTCATCACAGGGATCGAGCGGGAGAGTTATGGCCGCCGCCGAAGCACAGGAGCTCGAGGCCAAAGCGGGAAGGGAGTGCGCTGCCAGATGGGTAAACCACCGACAGTGCCAGCCGGCTCTCCCATGCTGAGTGCAAGGGAGAACGCAGAGCAGATCCGACACCTGGTACCGTTGGCATGCAATCCACAGCTGCTGCCGCCGGCGAGGCGAGAGGCGCTGCTGAAGCTGTTATCGCGTGCCGAGCAGCACGACAATGGCATAGTGGAGCTGCTGCGGCCACCCACGGGCAACTCCTCGAGGAACAGGAACAACAGGCTGACGATGCTACAGATGCTGTAAGTATTACTCTCTCTCTCTCTCTCCATCTTTCTTTAAAGGGGCTGGGCAGGGATAGAGGTAGTGGCAGCGGCAGCGGCAGCGACGGCCAACTGTGAATCCAAAATGATGTCATCGTCGGCCATCAGCTGCGTGCGCGAAGAGCGTGCGAGCATTCCGTTGCGATGGAGAGAGACCCCAGCAGGCAACACTCTCTTCTCCACTTTCCAGTTCGTCAGCTGGCAATGCTGCGCTGACGTCATCGTCGCTGCTTGGGAGTTACTCACTCACCTCTGCTACTGGCGCTGCCAGGCGCTGGCGTTGGCGTTGGCAAAAAAAAAACAGCACTGCTGCTGCTTAAAAATACCCTTGCAGAAGGTAGCATTGTGTTAGCAAATGTTTGATCTTTTGACTTTATAGGGAGATGTTGAGCAGCATCAACAGCAGTCCTTGTCCTCCTGTTCGTTGAGTGCCTTCTATTTATTTCACATTATTCCAAGCAAGCCGAATATCTCCATCATGCCATGTGTGCACTCGATCAACGAAGTGTATCAAAAGCTTCGGCCCACGCAGCCTACGATTTTCCGCGTTGTTTTGGTTTTGTTTTCCCTTTTCTTGCTATTCGTTTTTGTTTGTCGCCCTTTGGCGGCGATTAACAAAATATTTACTACCAAGTGGGAGCTCTCTCTCTCTCTCTCTCCTTCTCTAGCCGGCAATGGCAATGGCAATGGCAATCTCCCTCTGCCTCTCTCACGCTCTTTCTTCCATGTCGCTGTTCCTGCTGGCTGCAGGTTGGGGTTGTCCGGACAGCTGACATGCCCTGCTTCGAGGCTTAAGCCACTATCTAACTGTTGTCAGATAGGCGACGCTGACTAACAAGTTCAGGGCCGCCTCTGCAGGCATGCCCCATAAGGGTAGCGGTGCTTAGGTCATCGCCGTGTTCGCTAAGGCCGAACCCAAACCGAGCCAAACCGAGGTGCCGTGTCGTACCGTACCGTACCGTGACACAGTGCCGTAGTCTCACCTCACCTTCGGTGCAACTGTTCCTCCCGTTGTTTCTGTAGCTTTTGCAGTTTGGTCTTTTCGCTGATACGAAGAACTTTCGTAATCAAATACAACGATCGTCGTGTGCTAATCGACAACTGTTTGCAATTGGAATTTGCGTTTTCTCTATATATGTATACCGTCCTATGCACATAGAGGGAATATTTTTTGCCAATAACTTTTGCATAACCGCCCGACTTGTTTGGGGAAACGTTTATTGAATTTGTAAAGAAAAAATAACAGACATCAGGCACATGAACAAATGCGCAGAGAATGTGTTAGAGAATTACTGTAGAAGTGGGCAGGAAACCATCAAAGGCTTCACTCAATCGAGAGAGAAGTCGAAGTTGCCGAACATATTGCGATCAATTTTGATACTTTTCATTGAGCTTTGGCCATAGATAATGCCATTTGCTTTTAAATATTATCAATTGTTCCATACAAATGTTATTGCGAAATGCTAGAAAATGATACCTTTTGGTCGTTCAGTTTCGTTGCACATAAATCATGAAAGTTTGATCAAAATCTGACTGGTTTTTGCTTTAATCTATTAATAGCCCTCAGCTCTATGTTAACGTAAGCCTTTTCACGCTGCCACTGGCTGTGCCCTTTCGATAATCTATGTATAAAACGGTAAGCTCCCACTCCTCCGCCCTCTGCTACCACACCTCTCACTCGCACTCGCACTCGCACTCGCACTCTGCTCTGCTGACTTGACTTCGTCATTTGTGGGTCTCTGTCTCTGTCTCTGTCTCTGTCTCTGTCTCTGTTCTTATTTTCGACTTTCTTGGACACGACTTTTTGTTGCTGATGCGCTTTATTTGTTTGATCAATAAACCATTTAGCGGGCTGCGAGAGAACTCCCTCTGCCTGCAGACCCCCTTGGCATATCCATTTCCATATCCATATCTACGAGTATGTATGTCCATAGCCCACTCTCTGACTGGCAGAGGTTGCCTCATCACTATATTTTGGCGGTGTTTGTTAATTAATTCTTCAACGGTTTTTGGCTTCTCCATGTCCCAATTTGATTGTGTCATATTATTTACGTGCTACGCGCTATCACTGCGATTCGCGGGGTAGGATAAGCTGGCAAAGGGGGTTTCTATTTGCGCACAGAGCAGGCACAACCTTAACCTCAGTGACCCAGACCCAGACCCAGACCCAGACCCATCATCTGGCCCCCAAGCGTATTCAAACATAAGAAATGAATGAATGAATGAATGAATGAATGAGTCGCGCCAAGGTCTAGAAACTGAGGGCATCGAATTAGATAAAACATTTAGAATATATTTTCAGCAGTTTTTAAGAGCAGGTGAAAGAAATGTGGTCCCAACCAAGTCTGGGCCTTCTGAGTACGCTCCAAAGATGAGGCAGGGTACGGCAGAGTATTCAAAATATCTGATGACTCGATTTGCCTATTTGTGGCATTGGCCTTGGAGCTTCTGCTTTCGCAGACAAAGCTCTGGCAGGGGTCAGTTCTCAGGGGGGTTAGGTAAAGGGAAAAAGGTTTGCGTGCCTCCAGTCCATATGAAACTGAATGGGAGCCGGGGAGAGCCCAGGCTGATGCAATTACTCAAGTCTATAAATGTAGCTACTTACCCCCGCCCTTTCGTATCTCCAACTGCCAGACCTTTGTGCCTGGATGAGTCGCCGTATGGCAAGCAGATGTCCCAGAAGTATCTGTGCCAGCCTGGCGGCACGGGCCCACGAACCGACGACGAGCGCTTCAAGGAGGCCAAGATCCTGCGCAGTCCCACCGGTCAGGTGCTGCTGTCGCGCACCCTGGAGGAGGAGCTCAAGGATGAGCAAATTGTGCTCAACTTCATGGAGGAGCAGCTCAACGAGCGCCAGCAGCAGGCCATGCGGGAGCGGGCCGAGCTGGAGCAGCACAAGCAGCTGGTGGTCGAGTGTAGGGAGCGGCGGCGTCAATCCGATCTCAAGAAGGAGCTTACCGATATGGTAATTCCGCGCAGAATGCTGGCCAAAGTTGTTCCCGAAAGCGAGGATGAAGGCCATCAAATCTCACCCTCGGAAATGTTCAATTCAGTCGATGAACCCCTGCATGAGCTTCTTGAGCGGCGACATCAGTTCCAGGTGCATGCTCAGGCCATAGCTTTTCCCAAGACCAAGGACGACACTCACTCGCAGGACACTCCAAAGTGCAATCAAGCCTCACACAGCTTGCAGCAAGCCGTGGCCAAGGCCGCAGACCGCGCTGATCCCCTGACTGAGCTGCGCGACCAGCGACATTTGTTCCAGATGCATTCTCAGGACTGTTGCCTCTACAGAAACGCCCGAAGCTCCGCGCCCTGGGAGATCTTTGCCAGGTATCAAATCCGATATTCCCATTAACCTTTCAATCTCTATATTGGAGGTTTCTTTTGGTATTTCGATTCTACAGTGTGGCCACGACCTGCATTCAGGAGTTGTTGGACGACGTGCTGGCCGCAGACAGCGACAAAGATGATTCTGAGATCGAGTCTGACTGAATCCCTAAGACAAATTGTAGCATTTATTTGCCTGTAAATTGAAAGTAATTCCAAATTCAGATTGAACCAAAAATGTAACTTATTGTAACAAATTGTTTTGCTTGCTTCCTGTTGCTGCTGCTCTTTTGTTCTAATTAGAAGCAGTGCCTAAAAGCAGGCTACACTTTTGTGTTATGCAAATTGTGCCACTCAAGGAATCATTTTTAGATCAGCGCTCGTAGGGCAAATGTTGAGTTCTTTTTTAACTCGATTACAATAATGTTTCCCATAGATTTCCCAGCTGTTTGTTAGTAGAAATGTTGCCACAAGTGGTGCACCAACAGATCTAAACATTAAGCAGCAATAAAGTTCATGGTAAAGTTGGAGTTTTCGCTGATTAAATGCAGCGAATTAAAAGCGCAATTCACGCATCTATATTGTGATGTTGGCCATTCTCAAGTGCTTAGCTTTAAAGTTCGTCGAAAGGTTCATTCACGCTTTAATTGAATTGTTCTCAAATGAAAATTCATCGCTCTATACAGGGGGGGGGGGGGCGTGGTTGCAGCTGGCATGCAGAGTGCTTAGCAACTAACTAAGCTTAATGTTTAGGCCCTAAACTAGGTTCGTACTTAATTCAAGTAACTATCAATGCGGGGGGGCTGGGCTCATCGCTTGACAAAGTCGCGAATGTAGTTGGGGGGGAGGGCAGTTGGTGAGGTGATGTCAACAGTGGCTAGTCAATGTTAAGTCTAAATCCTTTGTGGTTAAAACTAAATTAACTTAAACTCTAGACTACGATCTAAGGCGATTCTCTGTGTGTGTGTGTGTGTGGGAGTCAACAACAAACAACAAAAAAAAAGTACAATAAATATTTGTAGAGGGTTTTCTTCAGCTTCTCGTTGTTGTACAGAAAGATTGTCATCCACAGTCGCTGTGTGCCCGAGGATGATCGTATGGATTTCAGAGCAAATTGGAACAACTCGGCTCGGACACGGCACAATTGGTGGAGCGTGGCAGGAACTGTATGTGCTGCCAGGTGGCATTGAATCTGCAATGGCAAAGCATTAGCGAAAGGCGAGAAGAGAGAGAGCGAGAGATTATGGGCCTACAAATATCTTTCGGCCAGCTGCCGCTCCACATGCGGCTTTATCCTGGCATAGTCCTTGTCCGCCACCGTTGTGCTGCAATGCTGCTGCATGTAGGCGAGGGTGAAGAGCTCGTTCTCATTGAACGACCTCAGGCCGGGCACGCGCAGGCGTCGTGTGAGGCCGAGGGCCTCGTAGGTGTTCACCTGATCGATGCCCGAACCCGGAATGGCGCTGCCCGCATCGATGGCGCCCACAAAGCTGCTCAGTGCCCGCGCCGCTGTCCTCGCCGCACTCAGCGTCACATGGAAGCTCTCGAGGGCCGAGCTGGACAGCTCGCTGAGCTCATGGGTGAGGCGGGGCGGCTGGCCGTTGGCCAAGCAATTGACATCCGGCTGGGCGTAGCGGATCTCCGGCACAGCGTCACTCAGGTCCGAGCTCTGGTCGTTGAACTGCAGCAGAAATGTGGGAAAGTTCGCGATCAAAGCCTCCAGAATGTCTGTGCCAATGCGGGCAAAGTTGACAGCGCTGCAGGAAAACGAAAGGGACAGCATGAATAAGGGGCACAGCTGGAGCTGCAGCTGCAGCCTGCAGACTTACACTGGATAGCGATAATCGTAGTAGCTGGAGCTAATCAGAACCCGCGACACCAGCAGCATATTCAGCTTATTCGAGTAGGCAATGGCCTGTGGATTGTCCCTTGTGTACATCTCGGAAACAATGCTAAAACAGAGAGAGAGAGAGAGAGAGAGAGAGAAAGCGTTAGTGGGAAAGTGAAGAGAAGGCCGACCAAAGACATACACATCCAGCATGCCGAGCGGCTTCAGTTTCTTCTCGAGTCGCGTGCGCCGGAAGGTCCAAATGGACTCCAGATGCTCCACGAAGTACAGATTGTTCAGCATCAGATCGTTGTAGTAGTCCTTCAGGTAGTTGGCCTGCTCCAGCACCTCCCCGGGTATGCCAAACTGCAGCCGCATCTCGTCCAGCTTCTTCCTGAGGAACTGCCGCGCGGCGCTCTCCAGCCAGCTGGCCTGCTCCAGCGAGTCCTGCAGCTGATTGCGCAGACTGTAGAACATGAGGCGCAGATACTCCTCGTTGGCATGCGTTTTGTTCATGCCTCCAGCTGCCTCGGGGCCGGCTGCCTGCCGCTCGAACTGCTGCTGGGGCGGCTGCTGCTGCAGCGCCTCGACGGCAAAGGGCAGCCAGTCGCGCACCACGCGACTGCAGATGAGCCAGCGCGGATAGCTGGCCGTGCGGCCATAGATGGCATGATCGAAGTGCTCCGCCAGCGTGCGATACTCCTTGGACAGGTGCGGCAGCATCTGTCGGGCCAGCGACCAAATGATGAAATTATTGATGGGCCTGCCGAGAACAGAAACGGATTGTTGGTGCATGCGGGACTCGCACTCTTTGCGGCACAAACTCACTTCTTGTCCGAGGTGGAGAGCAGCTCCGAGAGGGAGTGCAGCACCTCCACGTCGCGCACCAAGACCTCGGTGTCCTCGGTGATTCGCGTATTCGGAAACATGGCCTGCAGCGACTCAAAGATTGGTAGCTGCAAAAACGAAAAACGAAACTGTAGAGCTGACCAAGGAGAGAGCTGCGTCAGCTGCGCTTACCGATGGTGCTTTGGTCTTCAAGTCGGCCAAACGCATCAGCCTGTTCAACTGTCGATCTCCGGCGGCTTTGGCATCCTCCATGTGGTTGACAATGCGTCGCTCGTAGTGGAAAATGTCATCGGCAAACAGATCCGCCTCGCGTGACACAATACCTGCGAGACATGCAATCCAGCATTCGGGTGGAATCTAGTGTTCGGCGCCTCAACTCTTACCCATATTGATGGCAAAGTCACGGAGCAGCAGCTTGTAGCCTCTGACCACATCCTCGTCGGCATCGGGGCCATAGAAGTACTTGTCCGGCAAACCAATCTGGCCCTCATCGATGGCAATCACGTAGTCGTGCGGATTGCTGTAGCCGTTCTCCACGCTGATGCGATAATAGGGGAATATTCCGTACTTGGCCTGCAGATGCACCAATGCCCGCTTGTGCTCCCAGTACTGCAGGCGGTTCGCGTCCCGAAATAGCTGCCAGCCATCTGCAGAGACGGAGACGAAAGTGTAATTAGTATCATGCGAAAAGTACGGGTTGGTCGGGTCATGGTTGGAAATCCCCTGGGACTCGAACGGGAACGGGAACGGGAACGGGAACGGCTCGATGCTAATCAAAAATTGTACATTGTCGCTGTGTGAATGGATATTTGGATCGATTTATGGCAATTAAAAGCGCTAAAATGTTTGAAAAGCGATGAGAAATCTCAACAACAACAAACAATAAATAATATAACAAAACAAATGGTGAAATGGTGAAACCCAAGTAGACAGCTCGGTGGGTCACTCCGAGGCGAATACTACTCTCTAGACATGGATTCAAATATGGAAATTGTACCGGGCAAAAGGTTGCCCATTTGACACAATTGGAGCATCATTTGGAGCTTAATCTAAGTGCAAGAAATTAAATTGTTGCAACCATCCAACGGCCAGCAGTGATCGCTCAAGAACCCTAATGTAGATATCGCTTTTTGGCCAGTGGCTTCCCTGCAAGTTTCATCATTCAGCTGATGACATCCCGCAGACATGGAAATTGATTGTGGCTTGGGTCTCTATTTACATCCGCAATTAGCACTTCGGGAACTTCGAAAGCAAAAACACAGCAACAACAACGGAAAACCCCTCCAAAAACAAGAAAATCAATCGAGTTGGTGCTAGCCGGACGTATCTGTAGTATCTGTGACTGTGACTGTGGCTGGACTTGGCTGATCCGCTGCTATAGTTTTTTAACGATTTATTGCAAACCACTTTAATTAACTTCAATTAAAAGGCCACCACTGGAGGACGGACACCCGCTGTGGTATAAAAGATGACAGCCGGACATGGAGAACGCATCAAATCAGTGCAGCAGCTTCAGTGCGACAGTTGTCCGGCTCCCACATCACAGACATCCTCTCTCCCATTCGACAGCATGAATCAGTTTGTGGTGAGTAAGAGTATTCTGGCATGGTGTCCATTCTGCACTCCATTCTGACACACGTCGTCGCATCCTCCATGTGCAGATCTTGGCCTGCCTGGCGGCTATTGGTGGCTCGCTGGCCGCTCCACGTCCGGATGTTTCCCACTTGGGCTACCGCTACCAGGCTGGCGGCTACAATGGCAATCTGCCCGGCGCTGTGGTGAGCACACCGCTGCTGGGCAGCTCCTATCAGCCCACAGCCGCGGGCAGCAACTACTTCAGCTCGGCGCCATCGATTGGACAGCTGAGTGCCGGCTCCGGCTCCGGCTCCGGCTCGGGCTCCTCCTCATTTGGCTATCAGGTTGGCAGTGGCAGTGTAACCGGCTCTGGAGTGGGTTATGGTGTCGGGGCTGGCATTGGCTTTGGCGGCTCATCCGCGAACAGCGACAGCATTGGACTGCAGGGCCTGCGGCCCGGTCCGGCCATCAACTACAACGAGCAGGAGTCGTACATCAGCCACCTGGCGAACTTCCAGCCCGCCCAGGTGAGCAAACACTTCTATGTGCACACCGCGCCCGAGGACCACGACGAGCAGCAGATCGTACGCTACGTGAACGTGGGCAGGCCCCAGAAGAACTATCGCGTGGTGTTCATCAATGCCCCGACCTCGACCACCAGCAAGGCCAAGATCATCGCCAATGTGGCGCCCGTCGAGGAGAAGACCGCCATCTATGTGCTGTCCAAGAAGTCCAATGCCCTGGACGTCAGTGCCGAGGTCGTCACACAGCGGCCGGTGGCCAACAAGCCCGAGGTGTTCTTTGTCAAGTACAAGACGCCCCAGGAGGCGGCACATGCCCAGCAGACCATTCAGGGTGAGTCTTGCAACACACACACACACACACACACACAAACACAAACTGACAACTCTCCTTCGTGTCTGTCCACAGCCAACTATGACGCTTTGGGCGGCGCTTCTGAGACCAGCAACGAGGGCATCATTCCCGTCTCATCGGTCATTGGCAGCCTGGGCGACAATGGCGCCTCCGGCGTTGTCACCGATGCCACTGGCAGCCTCAACATTGTCGGCACCGGCGGTGTGCCCACCGTAGATGCCACCTACAACAGCAACAACAATGTGGGCTTCGATGCCGCGGGCAGTCAGCGTCAGGTGATCAGCACCTTCCAAGGCTCCAATGCCCAGGCCACATACTTGCCCGCCAAGCCAGTGCGCAAGTAAATCGAATCATTTCAAGCTTTCATCCCCCCCACACACACTCCAGGACCTCAACCACATGCCCCACTCGGAATTCTAGGCAGAGTTCCTTTGCGATTTTCGATTCCAATTTTTGTATAATGTATTTTTTTTTTTGTAATAAAACTTAAGCGTTCTTATAGGCATTCAAAAAATGTAGAAAAAATGTGTTTATTTTGCAGAGATTTTTGTTGGACAACCGGCAAAAGTTGCATAATCGGAAAAAGCCCAAAGAGCGGCAGCCAATCCACTCGGAACCACGCAATGGATGGCCAGTGGGCAATGGCCAGTGGGCAATGGGCAGGCACGGGTAAATAAATTAGCGACTTAGGCTCGGAATTGATGATATGCCAGCAGCAGGCGACGCCAAGGTCGGCCCATGCCAATGCAACTCGGCAGCGCATTAAAATACCTTCGAGTATTAGATAAATAAATAAATACAACAATATTTTGGATGCCTCTGGACAGAGTGCCGAGTGCCGAGTGCCCAGCGAGAGGGCGCCAACAAATTTATTATCAATTACAAACGCCCAAATGGCTGGCAGCCCCACGAGTATCTGGCATCTATGGCGGCTGGTGTTTCGTATCTGGAGATCTGCATATCAATAGGGGCGGCTCTGCTTTGGCATAAAGATAATCACACCTACTAAATAAAAACGCTGCGACGGACGGTAGCCGGACCCGAGCGCAACTTTTCAAGACTGAAAACTGAAACTGAGCCACGAGACACTGAATATTGGCCAGATCTTCTGATGCGAGCGCGGCGATTTGTCCCTCGGTTCGAATTTCTATTAGCTGTCAGCATCAATAAAATGTTACATAAATTTGGCAGGCAGGCGGGCGGGCGAGCGAGCGGAATAAATATGGAATGCCTAATTGATAATTATCATTTTCATTTTCGGTTTGCTTTTCCATAATCCATGCCTCATACGATATGCCATCTACAATCTGCTAATAGCTAAATTAGTGGGCCTCCAAGTGGACACAGAATGCATTACCACACACACACACACACACAGAGCACTCAAACATTCAACATTCATCACTGATGATCCGTATTGTTGTGCGGTTTTTATTCGTTTATCGTTCTGTCATCCATTTGCCGCACATAAACTCGGGCATTAGTCGAAGTTCGAAACATCTGTGGCTCTCTCGCGCTTCTACATTTGTCCAGCCGAATTATGTTTTATGGGTTTGCATTTGCCAATATTTACGATGTACACACACACACGTCCAAGGCGACACCCGACGACAGACTCCATCGCCGGTGAATGGCTCGCTCTCTGAGTCATCGCGATTGATTCGCTCGATGTTGTCTCTGCCCTGAGCAACATTTAGGAACAGCAACAGGAAGCCCACCAATCTTTTGTTCGTGAAGTTCAGGTTTCAATTGCTGAACTTTCCCCTAACTAACAATCACAAAGATGCACCACAATGAGGCTGCTGGCTGCTGCGCACTGCTATAGATATTTTTTGCAAATTAATTGATGATCGAATAGGCCCGGCAAAACAGGCACAAAAAACCCAGCAAACTTGTTTGAGCGCCGCCTGTGAAGATGATCTGAAGACCCGAAGATCATCGGCAGCGACAACGCGGAGGTGTTCCGTTCAAGCCTACAAACGGACGGACAATAGATCGAGCCATTTGAAGATATATTTTTAGAGATATTCGCCAAAATAAATCCCATCCATTGTGGCCCCAAGGCGAACGCAGTCAAGTTCAATGCCAGTGGCAAAAGAAGCAAACTTTTTGGTTGAATGTAAACCATGGCTAAGGCTAACCTGAGTCAGTCAGTCAGAGCCCGATTAGAGCGCATCTGCGAGACTGACTGAACACTGAAGACTGAAGATCGTTCTAATTTGAATAAATTTTAGGTCACTCTCAAGACTGAGCTCAACACCAGTCGAAAAGCGAGATTGAAACTAAAACTAAAACTAAAACTGAGAGCATAGGCTCGGTCATTGGATCGGAGCATTGAGAGATGCCATCAAATTTGCATAAACTGACGTTGACGCTGGCAGAGCAGAGCAGAGCCAAAGCCCAAGCCCAAGCCCAAGCCCCAGCCAGAGGGCAGTCGGAGCGTATATAACCCAAGTGGAGCGGCCACAAATGCAATCATTGCCTCGCAGCAATTCGTCAACGAAGCAACCCAAAAACCGAACATTTGTCAATTGTCTCCCCACCGAGGATCACTAAGGATTACCATCAAAAAGAGCAGAAAGAGCAGCAGGGATCATGTTCGTTCGTCCACTCATTATTGGTTGCCTCCTGGCACTCCTGGCCGTGGCTCAGGCACGCCCACAGTATGGCTATGAGCAGCCCGGCCCTGGGCCCACGGAGCCCCACATTTTCATTGGTGGCAATGGCAACGGCAACGGCAACGGAAACGGCAACCACATTGGCGGTGGCCTGGTGGCCATTCAACCACATCGCGGCGGCGACAAGTACCTGCCGCCGGCCAGCACCACCCAAGCGCCGATCATCAACAAGAAATTCTACGTGGTGTCGGCGCCCGAGGACCACAGCAACGATGGCAAGGTGAAGCACTTGGTGCTGGGTCGCCCGCAGAAGAACTATCGGGTGGTGTTCATCAAGGCGCCGGCGGGCGACAATGCCAATGTGAAGTATTCGGCCGAGTTTGCGCCGCAGGAGGAGAAGACCGTCATCTATGTGCTGTCCAAGAAGGACAACGATCTGGATGCCACGGACATTGCCACGCCAGCACCCACGCAGCCCAGCAAGCCGGAGGTCTTCTTCATCAAGTACAAGACCGACGACGAGGCCAAGCAGGCGCAGCACGAGATTCAGGGACAATACGACAAGCTGGGCGGCACCAACGAGTACCAGGAGGACAATAATGCGCCGATTACGTCGGTCATTGGCAGCTTGGATGGCCTCAATCCCGATGGCAGCTACAACTATCGCCAGATTGGCAATCGGCCATCGAGCTCACCCAGTGCCCAGTATCTGCCCAGTTTGCTGAAGCATTAATCAACACACAATCATCGCTCCTCCCCCACACACACACACACCCATTAGTTCAGTTCAGTGTTGCATAATTTTAAGATTCAACTGCACCTCTCTTTTTTTTGGTATTTTTTTTTGTTATTTGTTGCCAATAAAGTTTATATTTAAAAAGGAAAAGAGAAAAGTCTAGAAGGATTTTTGGCTGCAATTTGGAATTTGATTTCGATTTCCTATTAATAAGTTGGAGCCACAACCAAATGAAATCCATCTCAAAGTCAAAGTTTTTTGTGTGTGTCTTTTCGCTCTCAGCGATATTCAAATCAGTGAGGCCAAAATGCCAACAAAAATGCAATCCAAATTGGAATCAAAACGACCAAAATGACAATGACCGGGCACAGCCACAGCTGCTGTCAAAATGTCCAACAGAAATTAGCTTAAATGAAGTGAGAAATCAAAATAAGCTCATCAAATTTAATTAAATAGTAAAATTTGCTTTTACATATACTTCATTTGGCCAGGGCTCTTTTTTCTTTGGCTTTGATTGGGCCATTAAACTGACGCTGAATAAACTGCACAACAGATCAAATCAAATCAAATCAGGGGAAAATGAAGAGCAGAAAGAGCACTCATGAAAATGAGATATTGAAACGGAAGATCGAAGCTTCTTTTTTGTATATATGTGTGGGGCCTAGACAAAAAACACCAAAGCGAGCAAGGGCGAATTCGCGTCACGGCGAATTCCAAGCACGGGAGCAAACGCAAAGAGAAAACGAAGGAGAGCGAATTGAGAGCGAGACGTAAAAGGTTGTGAAATCGAGTTCTTGTACCGTTATGCCATATATATTCATTCACCTTTGCTTATAAACAATAAACATAAATGTATTTCATTTAGCTTTTGATTTGATTTGACAATTTACTGCCACGAATCCTTAACAATTCGCATTTAGTTCTCACTTCTACATCTTCGATCAAGCCAACCTTCACACACAAACACAGACAAGCAGCTAAAACCAGTGGGGGAATCCACCACTAATGGGCATGGGCATAGCACTCGGTGTTGGCCACAGTTTTTCTCAATAATAAAACGGAGCATAAATCAAATTAGCTGTACCATTTTGCTTAAATGCGACATGAAAGTGTGGGAATTACGCGTCAATTTATGCAAATCGAAACCAAGAAACCGAACCAGTTCCGAGTCCGAGAGACCGCACTTTCGAGTCCATTGTTGATATTTTAATTGTCTCAACATCGAGCATAAACGCAACAACAAATAAACCCAGCCCAAGAAATGCTGCAGATTAATCTGCAAATCAGCATAGAGGCTGGCCCAGAGCCAGAGCCTGAGAGAGAGAGAGAACTTCTCATTGAAGTTCATTGGCTATAATCCATCGATCCATCGATGGTGAATGATCTACAGAATTAGCAGCGAAATGTGTGCTACTTAGAGCTCCTACAATTATAGTTTAAATTATAATTAAATATATTTTGATATATTTCATCATTTTTGGTTTACATTTCGTTTAAATCTCCACACATAATGCGCCCTGGAAGCGATCTTGCAACACGCAGACCTGACTCCCATATAAAAATGCTTTGAAACTGCCTCCTGCTGCCACCGCTGCACACATTTTCACGCACAATTAATTAATAATTAGTTCGTTGCTGAAGTCTTTTGTTTTATTTGCGCATCTCCTAATTGGTCTGAGATTTTCACAGATTTCTTTCGGCAGATCTCGCTGTTGGACATTTTCTTTTAAAAGTGAACCACACTGGCGATGCGTGGCACAGTTGTTTCACTTTCATTGCCGCGACATGCTCAGCCTGTGGTGTCTGGTTTTAGTCTCCTGCCTGGGCCTGAACGAGGGCCAGGTCTCGCGCTCGTATCTGCCGGCACCCATGCCCATCATAACCAAACAGTTCTACAGCATTTCCCCCGCCGAGGAGCCCGAAGAGCTGCAGCCACGCACCAAGCACCTGGTGATAGGACAGCCAAGGCGCAACTATCGCATCATATTCATACGGGCGCCCAGTGCCAGCAGCGAGCAGCTGAAGTACACCGCCGAGCTGGCGCCCCAGGAGGAGCGCACTGTCATCTATGTGCTGACGAGGAAGTCGCAGGAGCTGCAGGCCGAGGACATTGTGGCGCCCCAGCAGCCGGCGGCGGCAGAGCAAAAGCCCGACATTTTCTTCATCAAGTACAGGACGAACGAGGAGGCGGCCGCCGCTCAGCGCGAGATTCAGACGCAGTACGACCAGCTGGGCGGCAACACCGAAATATCGGCACCCTATGTGGCGCCCATACGGTCCGTAATTGGAGCCCTAAGCGCAGCCCCCCAGCGGCAATCTACACCAACGGGCACTGATAGCAGCGACAACGGTGGCGGGGACGGGGGCTATCACTATCAGCGACCCCAGACCCTGCCCCTGTCCCTGTCCATGCTCGTGGCGCCAGTGAATCGTTGAATATTCCGCTCCAAATTTGCATATAGTCGATAAGCAATTTCCACAACAACACACAGAAATTGATCATAAAACCTTAGCCGAACGCGTAAATAAAAAAGAGCTCTCTTCATTATTTGTTGTTGTATCATTTTTGCACAGTTTGTGGTTTTTTTTGTCTGCCAAAGTGCTTTGACCCTGTGCTTCGATTGAGCTTGTTGGGCGTTCGGTTACAAAATAAGTCAAGTGCAAAAATCGGAGTGAAAGTGAAAAGAATTCGCTACGTAAAAATATGCATTTCCAAATGAAACTGCAATGAAAGCTCTAAGTAATGGAGTTAAAGGAACTTGACTGAAGAAAAACTGCTGAAAAGGTTCACAAGTTGAGGAGATTTCCAATCAATCAACCAATTAATCTTCCAAACGAAATTCTGCACCACTTTTGAACACTTTGGGAGCTTTAAAGGTTCGCTCGATGGGCACAACATTTGTTTAGTTTGTAAAATACTTATACATTTATCCCTGGCACAATTTGTAACAATTTCTATGCCTTCACCGGTAATCCTACTGCAATTATTTGTTCACATTTTTGCTGATTTTTTGCACACATTTGTCTAGACTTTTCGGGGGCTTCGAAACCGAAACAGAAACAGAAATAGAAACGGCAATGCATTTTTTTGTATTTTATCTGATTTGTCGAATTATTTGTTTGCAAAGCTCTTTGGATTTATTTGCATTTGCATTTGCATTTAATTAATAGGATTTTTGAGAGCCAAGAGCCAAGAGCCAAGAGCCGGGCCACGACGACCTTTTTTTGATTGGCAGCAGCAACAATTTGGCAGCAATTAATCTTAGGAGATGGCCAAGCATCCAAACAAAGCAAATCCACGCGGATTAAGAAGAAATTTTATGCAAACTTTGGCCATGCCCCAAGGTCGCAGCAGTAGCGAATTATGTGCGGGTTCTAAGCCTGTCGACACCTGGTCCGGCCTGGCCCAGCGATCGCCTTCAAGCTGGCCCAACTGGGTCTAACAATCATAACGCAAAACCCTAAAGACCAGCGATGCCCAACCCAAGCCAATGCGCACTCAAATTATGGCAATTATATTGAGATATTTCATGCCATCAACCGAGAGACCTCCGTTTGGAATTTCGTTTTTGTTTGGTTTGTTTTTGGGGCCAACTAACGATAGACCATGACACAAGTTCCCAACTCTTTTGGGGCTATACTTTAGGGAAAAAACGTGGCATCAAAGTTGCTTTCAATTTAAATATTAAATAATAGAATTTACTTTGCAATGTGCAATATAAACTGTTCACAAGCCAAGGGGAAATGCCCTAAAATTTGTCACAAAAAAGTGCCTTCCAAGGCGGAAATCAAAGTCCAAGAGAATTAAAGTTCATTAAAAGAAAAAAACAAACAACATTAATCCAATTAAATATCCAATGGGGCACTGCAATTATTGAAATTAACCAAAGAGCATACAAAATTCAAATTCATTTTCTCACATCATAGTCGCTGGAGATTCATAAAAGCGAAATCAATGCCAATAAATCGCTGCTGCGCCTTCGGCAAAGCTCACAAATAATAATGATTCCCCCCCTCCCCAGCAATGCTCTTTCTTGGCCAAAACATAATCATTATTAGATTCTTGTTAAAAATGCTGGCGTAGTACGTCATGCCAAAGAGGAGAAGACTCTTGCGGAAGCAGCAGGTTCTGTTCTGGAAAAAAATCCCCCCCAAAAGAACACCAAACATGGATTGTTGGATCGTTTCTCCGACAGCAAACATATCGCAGGTTCATCAATCAATAATGATTGAACAAATAAATGACTAATTGAGGAAAAGTAAGAACTCGCAAGGTTCTCGCCAGCTTCTTGGCAGCAGGGAAAGTTGTCTCTAAGAAGCTTCTGTTTAAATTATGCTCCAACTGGAAAAACACTTTCAAGTTCCCATAAGCAAAAGGACACACATCTTGTGAAATGTGAAAATGTTACATAAAATTCCACGATTTGGGCTGAATTTCCTAATGCCTCAATTGAGACTTTCAAAAATAGTTCTCCCTCTGCTATGCTACCCAAATTAAGTTCTTTGTGAGGGTTTATGCATACAGAAATATAATAATTATACAATAGAAATCAATCAATGATGATGACATCTCTATGCAAGAAATTAGCATGCCAAATGAGGTGCACAATGCGACAAAAATGCAGCCGAATTAGCTGGCGATATTATTTATAGACAGCGAAACAAAACAGCGCCAAGACAAGATCTACAGACAGACAACAGGTCACATTAAAGGAGGCGTGAAAGAGATGGTCGAATGCTGCGGCGGGGGGGGGGGGGGGGGGGGGGGGGGGCACAGCAAACAAGTCAAATGTCAGAGGTTCGACTCACGAGAGACACAGTCAAATAATTGAGCAATTAATTAAAGAGCGAGGAGGAGCAGCAAAAGCAGAAACAGAAACAAAAATTATAGAAGCAGCGGAAGAGAGAGGAGTAGGAGAACAGAGAGTTGGATCTGACTAGGGGTTAAGCGGCTACTCTTTCGGGTTGGTGTTGGTATAAAAGGCCACAAATCATTGACGGGCAGCATCATTAAGCCAACAACTGAAAAGCACTCAAGATGCGTCTATTTGTGGTAAGAGCGAGCTCGCAACGGATGGACTAACACCAAAAGGATTATCCCCACAGGATCCATTGATCGTTCAACATTGTTCCTCTGTTTTGTTCACACTTTAGACCCTTTGCACTCTGCTGGCCGTCGGCCAGGCCAAGCCCCAGCAGGGCTACAACTATGGCAGCGGCCTCTCCGGCACTCTGACGACCCACAGCCAGGGCAGCCATGGCGGCGCGGGCTTCCTCAGTGCGCCCAGCAACACCCACAGCGCTGTGGCCCCCTATGGTCCGCTGGGCGCCTTCCAGAGCGCCAGCGTTGGCTCGCTTGTGGGCAGCGTTGCTCCCCAGGTTGGCTACAGCAGCGGCGGCTCCGGCTCCTCCTCCTCATCCTCGAACTTTGGCGGCGGCCGTGCCGCTGGCTTCTCTAACTATGGCGGCTCCACTGGCGGCTTCACTGGCTTCGGCCCCAGCCCGAACATTGGCTTCGGCGCCCTCTCGGGCTACCAGGCACCCAGCTACCAGAAGCAGCAGGAGCAGGAGGTGCAGCGCGGCTTCCAGGAGCCCATCATTCACAAGCAATTCTTCACCGTCGCCGCACCCGAGGAGCACGAGAATCTGGAGCGTGCCAAGCATCTGGTGATCGGTCGCCCGCAGAAGAACTATCGCGTGGTGTTCATCAAGGCGCCATCCTCGAGCAATGCCAATGTGAAGCTGTCGGCCGAGTATGCGCCCAAGGAGGAGAAGACCGTCATCTATGTGCTGTCCAAGAAGGACAATCAGCTGGAGGTCAACGACATTGCGACGCCAGCGCCCACAGTGCCCAGCAAGCCGGAGGTCTTCTTCATCAAGTACAAGACAGAGGCGGAGGCATCTCATGCCCAGCAGCAGATTCAGGGTAAGTCCAGCCACATCCATTTGCCTGCCATCTGTGCTTTAATGTGTGTTTGCTTTGCTCCTCCTTAGCTGAATACGACAGGATTGAGGGCACTTCGGAGCACAGCGATGGTGGCGTGGCGCCTGCTCAGTCCGTGGTCGGCATTCTGGATGGCGGCGCCCTTGGCTCGGCCAGCAGTGGCAGCGCTCAGTACACTGGCGGCAGCTCTGGTGGTGGCTACACTTCCTCCGCTGGCGGCAGCTCGACAGGTGGCTACACTTCCTCCGCTGGCGGCAGCTCGACTGGCGGCTACACTTCCTCCGCTGGCGGCAGCTCTAGTGGCGTTCAGAAGACTGCCCAAAGTGCCACCTATCTGCCGCCCAATGGCAAATAGAAATGGCAAAAGCGATGAGCCAATAGCATGAATATCCCTTTTTTTTTTACCCAAAATAAATGCAACGAAGAATCCCTAACAAGAAGATCTAGCCAGGGGCACTCACCCACGGATTTAATGGCTCGCTTTAGCAGCAGATCCGACTGACTCTTGTCGAGGGCATCGATCTCGCGGCAACTGCGATACAAGCTGCTGATGGTGGACTCCACGGAGTAGGAGCCTTCCGCCGTGTTGGGCAGCATCGAAATGAAGCGATTCAGTTCATTGAGTTCTGCATGGAGGGAACCAGCGATTAGTGGAGTCAAAGAGGGAAAGATTGTGGCGGCAGCGTCCTCACCCTGATACTCATTGTAAGTCTTGTAGTTCCATTCGCCACGCTTGATCACAAAGTAGTCGTTGTCGGCATAGTCGCTGGCAAAGTTGCCGCACGCCCACTCGTATGTCTGGTGGCACGGACTCTTCGATGTGTTGGCCCACAGCAGCAGCTGGCGGCTGCTCTCCACGCACTCCCGCTCCAGGCAGAGCGGCGCACGCAGATAGAAGGGCACGTCCGGCCAGAAGGCCAGCAGCATGATGATGATGATCAGCAGCAGGGCGCACAGGCAGGCGGTGGTCACATACAAGATCCTTCGTTTCCGCGACAAGCTCATCAACGCATCGAAGGAGCGACGTCCTGGAAGCAGCAAGGCTTTAACACAAACCACAGATGGCAGATGGATGGATGGAAAATGGAAATGAATTGTGAGTTGATTTCAATGAGATGATGATGCTGCAGCCACTCACCTCTCAGTCCATTCGCCGAGGGATGCGTGGAGTTGGGTGTATTTGCTGTGGGTGTCCTGCCGCCGCCGCCGCCCCCGCCACCTGCCACTCCACCGCTGACCTCGCTGAGCGCCTCTTGTCGTGCCGCCTCCAGGTCTTTGGGCGTTAGACCCGCCTCATCCATGTGCAGCTTCTGTTGATTCGTCGTCAGTGGCGCCGTTTCGCTGCCCTCGATCTGCTGTTGCTGCTGCTGCTGCTGCTGCAGCTGCTTCTTGCCACGGATCTCGTCCTGGCTGCTGTGCAGCTTGTAGCTGCGATCATCCACCTCATCGATGGCACAAATGGTGGGCTTGTACTTGCCCTGATTGATGGCCATGATTTCCGCGCTTGTTCCGGCTCGAGACTCTGGACGGGCTCGTGGAATCGTTTGTAGTCTGTCGTCTGGCGTCTGTCGAGGTGTCTGCGGCGCTTCCTCAATGCAAATATTCAGACATTTTCAGATCTGTATGGAAGATGAAAGAAATTATTCACAAAAGTACTCTGCGCATTGCCTCTGATCAACAGCCCCAACAGACTTGATAATCAAAAGAGATTACCTTGAGACAGTTACCCCTGCCCTGATAGTCAGCTGTACACCTCCCTCGTTGCTATCCACACGTATAGACCTTATGTAGAGCATCAGCGATAAGTGAGAATTGCCCCGCGGAGAGGGCGCAGATAGCAGCCACTTGATGGCTCTGATATAAGTATTCTATGTACATACAAACATTTTGATGTACATAAAGAGAAACATAGGTATTGGGGATCAGCGACTGGCTTGCTTGCATTCTTCTGCCCAACATTTGACTTCTTTTCAATTTGTAAATTGACAACAATTGCCGGCAATTTGCACTGCGAAAAATATGTCTCTCTCGGACTCGAACTCGGACTCGGACTCGGACTCGGTCTCGATTCATGCATAAATCTTAATTGAGCTCCGTGCAAGTACAATAATTAAAAATGCAACCGAAAGTGCAACGAATTAAAGCAGGCTAATTGATAATTACACTTGAAATCGGTTCATATTTTTTTTGGGTGGGAGATGTTAATAAGAAGATTCAATCTCTTCGCTTTGGGGGAAATTTATACAGCGAAGAAAGTTCATTCTGGCAGAGGAGCATTACGCTTCATGGAATATATACGATGCTCCAGATATTCCACACACAGATCGTACAGTTCAGTTCTGGTCTCGCTTCGGTGAACCGCCAGCGCCGCGGAAGAGTACGTGGGCGGGCGTCACTTGTCTGTGGTTTATGTTCGGCTTTAAATAGTTATAGTTTTTCCATTTTCCTAGTTCTACTTGTGCTTTCAACATCAACTCTGGCATGTAATGTTATAGCATGTTTGTCATTCAATCTGTGGGAAGTGTACACCCACCCCCACACACAACGGACGGAAGGGAACGGATCGGAGCGGATCGGATCGGATCGGGAAGGCCAGGTTGATTACTGGAAAACTGGAATGAATGCACGCGAGAGCTCGAGCGAGCGCATCATCATGGCCGAGCCGAGTGGTGTGTATACTCCGTACATGAATCATAATTAACGCACCTTCAACGCTTTGGTATTTCCTAATTTTGTACACTTTAATCATGATTCTACCAAGCCGGGCAAATCTCTTCTAGCGATAAGTTCTGGTCAGTCTGCTGTGCGCGCGGGGATTTAAACCAGAAACCACACACACACACACACACATGGAAATATATGGTAAAGGCAATGAAAAGTGATATTTCATTTGTTTTATCTTATCGCTGTGAGATTATTGCCTAATACATTGTTCATTTTTAGGCACCGCTTCTAAGGCTCGTTACTCCACCTCTTTGAGATAACTTTTGGTTTCATGGTTAGCATAAATCAAGTTTTATGTAATATTCAGCTATGGATTTAATTAAGGAAAACTCAAAGATATACCATATTTCAAGTGGCTTGTGGGTTAAGGCTATCTGCGGGGTGTATGGAATGGGAATGGGAATGGGAAAGGGAATGAGAATGAGAATGAGAATGAGGCCTATCTGCGAGTGTTGAGTAATGACCAAAGTCACTATCAAGTGATAAGATCTTCAGAAGACGCACATAAAGATAAACTGCATGATAATGGGGCGAATGATGACACACTCAGCTGCACCCAAAACCTAGGAAAAATAAGGCAGTATCTCCAGCTAATTATAGTAATTTCAGTCATATCATTATTGGCTGGCTGGCAAATGATGCTCTCAATTCATTAGCATCACATTAAACTTTAATGTGATTGTATTTTGGTTGATTTTTTAATTTGTTTTTAGAGTTTTTCCAATTTGGGTTGAGTACATAAACAAACAACATAAACAAAAATCCCTGATTAATGAAACTTGAGTTGTGGCGCGACTTGTATCTGTTTTTGCCTGCATTTGTTGGAGCGAGCTATAAAAAATGATGTAAATATTTTTATTTCTGGCCCAATTATTCCATTAACTTTACAAAACTAAGTTTTTATTTAATCTGCTGCGTGTTTTTGCAACTTCAATGCACCCTCCCAATATCTCTTTAAATGTTTTGTTCATTGTACAAATATTTAGAACAGAGCTTAGAATTTTTCACAAATTTAAATGCACAGCACGCGTAGCCAGAATCAATTGAAAAATCATTCAAATTACACAGATAGGTTTCAGGTTTCCACAAACCCCTTTTTATTTATCCATTTATTATATCTGTTAAGTGAATTTCCGCATTGCCAAATCGGTTTTTCCTTTCACTAGTTAGTCATATTTACATTTTTTTGGCGCTCAAAATTGCAAGCAACTTTTGTGTTGCCCAATTTAATGGGTCGAGCTGTTGGTGCTGTTGAAAGTGAATTAATGCCGCGGTGGCAGTTTTCCCCAAAATGGGGACACTCGATCCAGAGCCAAATGTGGCTGCACTTGCAGCACAGTGTGAAAGAAGATTAAAAGCCCAAAGTGGTGGCTTCATTTCAGCTTTCCTTATCAAGTTTCAATGGCTTTGATTTCGGATTTTCTCCGATTTCTGCTTATTTGACAAGATTCGTCTCATCGCGAGTGTCAGTGGATGGATGGACGGGTGGATGGCATGCGATGCGGCCTGCTGCTGCGTCATTTAGTTGGGGTGGATTCTGTTGGGCTGTGCGAAGCGCAATTCCCAGTCCATTTCCCTTTTTGAGACGCAGTTTCATACAAGGGGCAGGGAGGAGAAGGTGGTTACAATATGGGGCGGGTTGGCAATGTAAAGGAATCTCTTTAGAGTTTCTGAGATACAGTTTGGGCAGGGGAAAATTCTTTGTGCCAGTGCCATGGTTGAGTGGGCAGGCTAGATATTTTCTTTGCAAGCAGTGCTGTGTGTGTGCCACGTTTTGCACCCACCCACCCACACAGACAGGCAGGCGGTCTGTCTTTTACGTACCATATTCAGGCATTCTTCGGCTGCCACTTACCATATTTGAGCAACAGGCCGCGCGACGCGAATAAATCATCATGCACTGCCATATAAATCTCAACGGATCAGAGGGCACCCAAGAAATAGTGGTAATAAATATGTTGACCATATTTTGACAGGCATTAAACAACTATTAGCTGTACGAAATAACACCGGGGGGTTCGGGCAAATAGACGTATTAGAGAGTCATCAATTTAATGGCCCCCTGTTTCCGTTTGTAATTGAGTGTTACGGGCTTCCACATTTTAGACAACCGAATCGCGCGCCGCGATTCTCACCTGTCAATGAGCGGGGTGCTAGTGCTAGTACCCCACCCCCCACCTGCCCCTCTCTGACGGGCTGGTACGCTTGTAGCTTTAAATTTCATTTGTTTGCCGCGTTCTCCCCTCTCTCTGTCTCTCATGTGTTCTTGTCGCTTGTTAAGGAGGTGCTATTGACATTTAATTTGAGCTAATGGCACGCCAAACGACATCGCTGTCGGCGGTGACAGCACGGGCCTGTGGTCGTATTATCAGATGTGTTGAGACCGAAAAATACCAACACGACTGAGAGCTATCCTAGACTAGGTTTTACTTTGATGTGTCAAACAGTGGAGGGAATGTACATAATGTACTTTCTGGGCAATTTCCTGGGTAACGCCAACATTGAGTTCATACATTCCATTCACTCTCCAAGTAATCTTCGCATTGCCTTGTATGCCACTCACCTGTATGCTATAGGGTATGTATAACGAATAGATTGTAGTTTCTACTGGGCCGCAGCAATGATAACCTTGTCTTGGCCTAAGTTCCCTCCCCTCCAGCCACCGGAGAACGCGGATTGCACAATCAGCACATTTTGTTGCTGTTGTTTCTTGAACAATAAATCTATCAACAATTTGTTAGCTAGTAGAAGTCACTTAAACGTTAACGAATTGCAAACCGAGGGGAGTGTTTGTGTGCTGCTTATGCAACTCCTCCTCAATTCGGACAGGCAAACACTAAGTTCTCCCCCCTTTAAGCTGGGAACATGAGCGGATCGGAGCGGAGCAGAGTTCTTCTTACAAAACTCCCACGGACAATCAGGGAAAAGCAGACAGAGACAAAAGACAAAATGTTTTCTCACTCATATGCAAACCACTCGAGCGGAAAGTTGAAACCGTTAAACGTTTAACGGAAAAAGGCGCGGTTTAGGTTAGCTTTTCGAGAGCTTTTATTTGTTGTAGTATACCCTGTGTACGGGTTCAAGCGATGGGAATACCTACAAAATCTGCACTGTTAAGTGCATGTAAATAGAGTAAAGAATTTGTAGAAATATTTCGCTGTAAATAATAAATTCAATTGGGTTGTGCCGTTCCATCAACTCATTAAGATCTGATTGGTATCTATTGGAATCCTGCATTAGAGGTATTCCCAAGTCGTATACTCTGCTGGGCCACATGTAATTTATTTGCCTCTTTTTTGTTTTTGCTCACAAACAATGCAGAAAGCAATAACAAACGTGCGTAGTGCGAACAAAAGGCAAAATTGGATGCGGGCGAGCGGATAGCGGTAAAAGAGGGTCGGGGGTGGGGTATGCCTTTTTCACCGTGCGTGAGCATTACAATGCGCAAATGCAAAAGGGCTTACTGCTGGCAGCCAAAAAGTAACAGCGTTGCGCCACTTGCACATGTCCACGACTAACGGTATGCCAAAAGCAGGGGCATAGAGAGAGAGAAACACTCGAAACGAAAGCAGCGGAAGCTGCTGAATTATGAATGAAGCTCTGGATTGGAAAAAGCTAAACAGTTTTTAATTATAAACAATTTGATTTGTGTAGGTATTAAACAAATACCCGTATCAAGGTTATTTCTCTACAATTTCAATGTCGATGCCATTTCCGTGCGGTGGAACATCTGGAAAATCTCTTGGAACGTGCTGCCCTCTGCTGCAGCTGCCCGACGCTCTTACGCATTAATTATGGGAATTTTCGGGAAAAAAACGAGGGAGAGAGAGAGAGACAGGCTGCTGCACAGGCACAAGAGCCTAAAGAAGCAGTGTGAAGAAAGACAAAGAGAAAGAAGAGAGAAGAGATGCGAGAGAAGCGAATTCAATGCATTATCATCTCAATAATCTAAACACTGCAATCACTTTTACAATAAAATCACGAACGGCATTCCACAGCTAATCCTCAATATCAAATTCAAAGCCGAAGCATACCCCAATTCCTAATAAGCTGTCAGCTTTCCCATTGATCTTTACACCTTTCCCAGGGTCTGTGACTCGACAGGGGGCAGGGGGATCTGCAAATATTGGAAAGTGCTCGTATATTTCCAGGCGAATGTGACAGATCCAATGATCATGAACAGGTCGACGTGAAAACGAAGTACCTGGGCTGAGTGGAGGAGGAGGAGGAGGAGAGCCACGGGCCAGGAGTGGGAGCGAGAGCAGGAGCGGGTCCCAAGAGCTGAGGTTTTTGCTTTGGTCACTTGCCGAACCGGTTCTGCCGGCATTTCATACACACACACAAACACACACATGCACACCCTCTCTCTCACTTTTCCACTTTTTCAACTACGGCTTGAAAGTGCGCCACTGCTCTGGCAGCCTAAGGTGTACACTCGTTCTACATTATCTTTCTCTTTTGTTCATGTTCTGCACACACACACACACACACATGCTCGAGCGGCCACATTCCTGTTGCAGCAGAAGAACATCTCTTGTGAGTTATTTTACCTTTTTGTTTATAGCTCGATTAGCAACAATTTAAACATTTTAAACGCACGCTTCTCGCATTGCGCCTCGCACAGCGTTTCTACACAAAGTTCACCCGAAAAAAATACACACGCGCAATCACAGTAGGATAAGTAGAAAAACAGTTGAATTTGTACGCGCCGCGACGATGAGCCTAACTGTTCAAAATATCCCGCTACTTTTTTTGCTTTCTTAATGATTTACTGTGATCAGTGTAACCGCGAATTAATTCATACAATATTCCACATGCCCCTTTAAAATATACCGAAATATACCTACTCTTTTTCAAAATATACCAAAAAATACCGTAAACCTTAAATCATTTTCCTCGACTTTGATCTTCTGTTTAATTTTACTAGCTAGTTAGGACCCTCTGGTTTAAAACTGTAATTTAACTCGAATCACCATCCGATTCTTCACAAGATACATACAAGTGACACAAGCCATCCAGTGTCTAGCTTCTCAAAGTATACCGCTACTTTTCCTGTTTTCTCAGGGATTTACTGTTAACAGTGTGAACGTGGATTAATCGATAAAATATACCGCGTGACCCACAAAAATATTCCCTTTTATTTCTAAAATATACTGCGAATATACCGTAAATCAAAAATAATTTTCCTCGAATTTGATCTTCTGTTTAATATTACCAGCTAATTCGAACTTTTCCTACTAAAACTATAGCTCTATCCAATATATGTATTGATTTTCCACAATGTTGGCTACTTTTTAAGACTTGATTAAATTGGATTTATTTCAAAATCAGGTTAAAGTTAAAATGGGCATCAGCGAAAAAAAAAACCTTACAAACGTAAGAGCGAGACGCACGAATTTAAATTTTATTTTGAATGACTGAATGAAAAACAAAGCATGCGGCTCCAATTATTTTCGAGATCGTCGCACAGTCAAGCGACAAAATCTGAAACCAAATATTCGAGAAATAACTGAGACAAATTCTACAACATGTCGATGGTGAACACCTTGACCGACATTGCCCTCGAGCATCCAGTGATGCAAGCGGTCATCTCCTACTTTTCGGAACTACTGCACTCCATTGGAAAGCCCGCAGAGCAGGGAGAGGTGGTGCCAAAGGAGATACAACAGACGCTGGGCTCGGTCGTCTCGAATTACGTCTTATCGAATGTCACGCTCAACAGCTTGTTCGGCAGCAATTATCACTTTATCCGTTTGGCTGGCTTGAGCGGCACATCGGCCATTTTGATGGGTGCCTACTGCGGCAGCGTGCTGGAGGGTATCAAGGATCCCCTGGAGCAGATACGCCTGGGGGGATATGCGGATGGGGCCATTCGCATTCACTTCCTGCATGCGTTCACAATGATGGCCATTCCCCTGGCCCACTATCCCGTGCTCACGGGCACTCTGATGACCACGGGGACGCTGATCTACAGCGGCTCCTTGTACTACTGCGCCCTGAAACGCAAGCGTCGCATTCGTATTTATCCCACCATCGGAGGGTTCGTCCTGATAGCAGCATGGATGTCGCTGCTCATGTAGGATGATGGACTAACCGAAGCAGCGGTGGGTATGAGTGCACTTTTGTCTGTGTTTCTCCGTAGCTAACTTTTGAATCCTTGCAGAGAAGACCAAAAATACACACAATAAACACACGCCCATAGCACCCCCCAACACTTCCAACTGGCACAGGCTGGCAGCACAGGTCGGTTTGCTCACTGACACAGGCTGACGGCTATTCTACACTGCAAGTTGAATTCGAATTTAAATTCCAATTGGAAATGCTCTTCTCATTATCTTAAACAATAAACTTCATGCAAATGAAACTCATTGTGCTTTTACTTTTACAACTCGACCTTCGTTTTTATTGATATTTTTAATAGTAAAATTATTCAATTTAATACAGCAATTATAGCAAAAAAAAAAAGGGCGGGGGGGGGGGGGGGGGGGGGGGAGTATAACGTGGGACACGTAAGGATAACGTAAGACACTCATTAATAAGTACAGTTAATAAATTAAACAATAGCGTATAATTTGGCTAAACTAACTGTGAGCAGCAGGCGAAACTTTTTTAATTTAATTATCGTAGTACCTAGACACTGAACATTATTTCGAGAGTACACTGAAAGAAGCCACCGGGTGGGTGAGCGCTTCTCCAAATGTAGTTTGGAAATAAATGCAAAACTTGAATTTCAGTTTTTAGTTCATTTGTTGTTGTTTTTTATTTTATTTTTAGTATTTACACAAAAAAAGGGTTTTATTTTTACGTAGATTAATTAGCTTTTGTTTTATTTTTATTTTTAACACATTTTGGCGTTGCAACTGCACCAAACTTTGAGTCTGGCAAACACAAATAAATTCAACTCTTCACACACTAATTTTATGCATTTCCAAGACAGAAAAAAAAAAACACTCTAGAGTAGCACCTATTAATTGTGTTGTTATTGTAGGATTCTTTTATTGCTGCTGCCTGGGGGGCGTGGCAGTATGCAGCTTCTCTGTGGGCAGCAGCTTGCTTCGAATTTGAATTCGTTTTCATTTTGATTTCGATTTCGATTTCGATTTCGCGCACTTACATACAACATATTTGTAATCGTAATCGTTTCACACACACACACACACACACACACACATACATAAGAGTATTAGCTATGCACTCACACTCATGCACACACAGACACACACACAGACACACTCTCACTTAGCATTAAGTTCCGTTACTCCGCTTCTTTAGTACAGATTAATATAGCACTTTTAGTTGTTTGTTTTTTACTTTTCGATTGCTTGGAGGCCATTCCAAAAATAAAAAAAACAAATTACAATTTAAAAAATAAACCTTTACGCATTAGAAAGTTCTTCATGTCGTGACTAGGCAAGTTCTGTTGTTGTTGTTGTTGTACCGTTTAAACACGCAAAGTACAGTGTGCCCTGCCGTGCGCGAACCGTTTCGCAATTATGAGCAGAAAGTTCTGGGCAGGCGCACCTCTGCTTCCGGCATCTGTGTTCAGTTTGCTTAGTGTTTTAGTACATTGTTGTTGTTGTTGTTGTTGCTGTTGTTGCTGTTGTTGTTGTTGTTGTACTATTCACACTCGTAGAGCACAGTCTGCCCTGCAATGCGGCAGCCGTTGAGCTGCTCTCCTCGTCAAACCGCTTTCAGTTTCCTGTGTGTTTTAGTACATTCTTTTTGTTGTTGTGGTTGTTGAGTTTTATCTCCATTTTTTAGTACGTTGTTTTAGAGTTCGTAATGTTGTTGTTGTTGTGGTTGTTGTTGTTGTGGTTGTTTGTTACTTCATGTTGCATGAAGAACTCGCTCTACAGATGCTCATCGCCATGATAGCCATTGCGTAGGGGCTGTCGCTCCTGTGCGTGATCCGTGGGCCGATTGCGCTTGAAGAAGCCGCACTGTAGGGGAGAATTAAAGCAGAGAGTAAAGCAAATGATCGAAAGTCGCTGCTTGTTGGGGCCATAACTCACCCTGTAGAGCAGCCAGACGAGCAGCAGAAAGATGAGCGCACCCGCACACGCGGCCAACACAACCACCCAGAGGGGCACCACATCCGGCACCTGTTGCGGCTCCGGCTCCGCCTTGTAGAAGATCTCGTGTGACTTGATAATCTTGTCCTTGGGCTGGCCAATGAACGGCAGCTGGGTGACATTGGCCACGGCCAGCGTGGACACATTTAGGGGCACATTCGAGGCAAGCTTCTCCATGGTCTTGGCCACCATGCGGGCGCGTATGGCCACAAATGCGGCATCACCGTCCTCGGTGCCCAGATTGGTCACCACGCAGCGAATGGTGCGACAGCGTGCCGACTGGCACGGCGAATTCAGATCGATTTGTTGCGGCTGCTCCACATCATCGCTGCTGCGACGAAAACGGCGCTGGGAAGTGCTCGAGCTGGACGAGGACCAGTGTCCCGGTCCACCCTGTCCCTGACTCTGACTCTGGGCTGGTCCCTGCTGGAGTATATCCTCATCGTAGAAGTCGCCATTCTCACGCCCATAGTAGGGTTTGCTGCCAGAGCTATATGTCACATGATAGCCACCTGGCGCACCTCCAAACTGTCCCTGTCCCTGTCCGTACGACTGGGTGTGCATCTGTCCCTGACCCTGGAACTGGTTGTTCCTGTAGAGATCATTGTCCACATTGGTGCGTGGTATGCTGCCCAGATCCAGGGTGCCCGCATGGAAACTGCCACTGCGTCCGCCGTACATGGATTTGTCCGCAAAGTTGGCACCGCCAGCACCAGCACCAGCACCAGCACCAGCACCAGCACCAGCCAGATGTAGCTGCTGCCTCTGCTGGGGCCCCGACTGATAGCCAGAGCTGCTGCTCGATTGTTGGGATGGCAGACCCGCCATCTGTATGTGTCCCTGGGTGCTGTGGCCACGCAGCTGAGCACTGGGGCCCGAGCTGGAGGAGGAGATGGTGGTGAAGCTGCTCTGATTGATGCGTGGCTCATGACCGATGATCACCGCCTGGCTGGCACGATCCTGATGCACATACGAAGCATCGCCGGGCACATCAAGGGCATCCTCGCGCTCCAGCAGTGCCACCTGCTTGGGTGTCAGCCGATTCTTGGCCTCCGTTTGGCTGACGGTCACCGCCTGGCCGCCCTGCGAGCCCCGCGACACCTCCAGATGTCCCTCCGCTCGCTCCGCACCGCCAGCGGCGGCACCAGTCGCCGCCTGGCTGCTGAACTGCACCGAGTTGCTGATTGCGCCCTGCGCATGCAGATATGATTTATTCTTCAGCTTCTCGTCCAGCTTGAGGTTGTGCTCGTTGACCTCGTACACCTGGTCGCAGCGGATCTTGCCGCCCGTCTCTGGCTGGCTGAGCAGATACATCAGCGGATCCCCGACAATGGTCTCGTAGGGATAGTGGATATACACCTCTGCCTCCTCGATGATCGATGGCCGATTGTTGCGTATCTCGTAGATGTGCACCACCTGCGGGCCCAGATCCTCCTCGCTGGTGGCGTTCTGCAGCGTCTTGTAGTCATCGGCCTTGTACAGCTGATAGTCGGGCAGCGATGTGCCCTTAATGTCCAGATCCGTGTCCACCCAAATGCCCACGCTCTTGCGGTAAATATTATCAAAGTGGGAGCCCAGCTTCTCGACATTTGTGGAGTTGGCCTCCCAATAGAATTCGTAGCTGGAGGAGCTGCCATACTTGTCCGCCGGCACCAGGCTGATCATGAAGTGCGCCTGAGGAGGGCAGAGCAGAGAGATTCAAGTTAGGATTCAAGGGATGCCTGAGCTGATGCCTGCTTACAATTTGTCCCGACTCCAGCGGATTGCCAATGTCGCACTTGAGCGTATGATTATTCGCCGGTGTGGGTGCCGAGCAGGTGATGGGCGTATCCTTCTTCTCGCCCAGCTGCTGCAGCTTGCGGAACTCCAGATCGCGCGGCGTAATCATATAAAATGCCGCCTCGAAGGCATCCTCATTGTTGTTCGAGATCAAAACCTCAACGGTGAGTGGTTCGGGTGAGCCAAACAGATACTTGTCCACAGTTCTGCCAAAGATAAAGGGAGAGAGAGAGAGAGGTAGATCTGGGTTAGCGCTTGGCTAGACTTTCGCTTGATGGAACTCACTTGATTTCCAATTTGAGATCCGGCTCGCATATGTTGTCCGGGCCACAGTTCTTTTGTATGTTGATGGCATCGCGCACGACAATCTCACGGTTCTGATCGATCACCGGCTCGAGGATGCCGCGCCTGCGCCGCACAACGGGCTCGAGGGGACGACTGCTGCGCAGATTGTAGCGCGACTCGACCTCCAGTGGTGTCAGCTTGTCCTGCACCTTGTCCATGAGGTAGACCGTCTCGTTGAGGCAATAGTTTTGGCCATAGTTCAGGCGAATCGTCTGATTCCGGATGTTCTTGCCCTCATCCCGCAGGAAGAACATGCGGGGATTGCGCACCTTCTTGGCGTCCAGCAGCCAGGACACATCGAAGTCAAGCTGCTCGGGCAGATAGCGACCGGTGAAGCTCCAGCAAGTGGTGAGCATCATGCAGGGCACCCTCTTGTTGTCCCTCTGCAGCGGGCAACTGCGATCGTCCAGGCTGATCAGCTTCGAGGGACTGGCAAAGCTCGTCTCCGCATTGACAGCCGCCACGGGGCGGGACTTGAAGAGGTAAACGCGATCGGAGCTGTAGGCGCCCACGGCCAGATCCGGGTAGGTGTTGCCATCCATGTCCACGCCGCCGGAGAGGGCAAAGCCAAAGGTGCGCGGATAGGGAGCACCCTCCACCAGCTGCTCGGCGCGTATGATCTGCGAGGGCTTCGCCAACGGACCCATGGACGAGCCGTGATAGATGTAGACAACGCCACGGCCCTCGGGCCCGTCATAGGGTGCGCCCACAGCGAAGTCGCCATAGCCATCGCCATTCACATCACCCAGGGTGGTGAGGGCGAGACCGAAGCGTCCCTTGGTCTGGAAGCCGTCGCGTATGTGCTCCGTGGTAAAGAACTGGGAGGCCGTGTGTCCGCCCTGGATCAGCACGTAGACACGGCCCACATCGTACTTGCCCTCGACATTGTCCAGCTCCGTGAACATGGGTGCGCCAATGATGAGATCGTCCAGGCCATCGCCGTCCACATCGCTGGAGGCGAGGGCATAGCCAAAGTACTCCCCAATCTGTCGTCCGGTAATGTTCAAAATGTTTGCCATGTTCCAGCGATTGACCACCACCTGGCCGGTCAAATTGGCGCCTCGGGGCTTGCCGATGGCCACATCCTCGCTGCGATCGCCATCAAAGTCGCCGGTGACCATGGAATAGCCCAGATACGAGTCATCATTCACCGATGTACTCTCCACCGTGGAGAAGACTTGGTTCTCCGGCTTGGTCACATCGTGAGAGCTCGCCTGACCTGTGGGAAGCATTTGATGAGAACCTTTGAGTAAGTCAAGCCCCATTCGAAGATCATCTTTGGGGATTTCTCTTCTTTCTCTTTGCTTGGTGGTTTTGATGGTGATGGTGAGTACACTACATGGCTACGAGCATGCTGAACCAGCTGAAGCAGCAGCAGCAACAGCAACGATTACACTACAAGAAAGTCTAGTCTACAATGGATTACATCTGAGTACATGGATACAGATGGGTGGGGGGCTGAGTGATTGGCTACAGATTATGATTAGATCGCATTCCGGTTAGTAGTACAGCCAGCACCCAAAGAATAAAACTACTAACAGACCAGAGACCAGAGCAATGAGAAATGATAAATGAGAAATGAGAGCAAACATGCACAGCCCAAAGGCTTTAGTTAATTGATAATGTTTGGGGCCTACAAAGAAGGCAAATATCCACGGCAGAGAGGAGAGTTTGGCACAGACCGTAAAATAACAAAAGTTTTCATCACATCGGATCACACATAATTCAAGTCTTTGGCTGGCTTTTTCCATTTTATTGTCCAAATAAGAATTAAAAAATATCAAAGAATTTCTCAAAAGGTTCGGTTCTTTGTTATTATTTGAAAGAATAAGAAAAGAAAATGTTGAAACAAAGAAGTAAAAAATAAAAGTAAAAACTTCCTCCTCTGCCGTTTCCATCCTTCGTTGATCCCCAAACCTTAGAAGCATAAGAAAGAGACGCGATAACAACCAGAGAGAAGCGGACATGGACAAAGCGAGTTATAGCAGAGATACATTTATTGAGTGTGGCATAAGCGGGGAGATTGGTTTGGTTTCTTGGTTTCTTGGTTTTATTCTCCCATAATTAGTTAGCGAAGAAGCTTTCGATGCGGCAATGAGTAGAGTTCTCCGGCGACATCTGTTGGATGCCATGGAATAAATGGAGTATTTTCTTTGCTTTTCTTCCAGGATACAACAGTGTTCACACGATGATTGAATGGATGATTGATGTGTGTTTTCTTCACCCATTTCTCAGTGATTTCATTTCGATATTTTATTTTGCATTTCAGACACCATTTATGGAGATCGTTTGTGTGTGCGTGTGTGTGTGTGTGTGTGTTTGTGTGTGTGTGTATAGATGTTTAGGTACTTTTGTTTTTTGGCAGCTATATGGTTAATGTTCGTAGGTACAGTTTCGGATTGTGGTTGAGTTTTTTGTTTGAGTTTTGTAAGGCAGTTGGTGAGAAGCGTTTTTGGTTTTTTGCGTTGTTTTTTTTTTATATATTTTTATTTTTGTTTTTTTTTTTTTTTTTTTTATTATTACCTCCAGTGCCGAAGGGCTGATAATAGGGCGGCTTAAATGGAAACTCGGCATCGGGCGGTATTGAGTAGGTTTGTCCTTTTTATTTTGTATTCAGTGTGTGATTTCGGATAGTTTAATAGCAACAGAAGTTGTGGAAATATGTTGATTGGGTTTGGTTTTTGGTTGTTGGTGTTCGGGTTTTTGTTGTTTGTTTTTTTGTTTTTTTGGGTTGAGCAACAGACACAGTTCATGTCAATCGGTACAGAATGCATACGTCATTTTTTTGGTTTTATTTTTTTCGAGTACGGTACGGTACAAAATTTCATGCATTTTGCGCCGACACACATACACAGAGAGAGAAAGAGAGAGAGAGAGAGAGATAGTGGATAAGGTGTGACGAGTGGGAAAAGGATCAAAAAAGAAAGAGAAAAAGAGAGAATACATAATTTTGATTAATCAAATGAGACAACGAAAAACAGAAGGAACAAAAAAAAATAGAATGGTACTTTGGGGAGACATGACGCGTTACACGGTACAGGTACAGTTAAAGTTAAAGTTACAGGTACATGTACAATTACAGTTAAAGTTACAGTAGATAGTAAGTGTATCGGATACGGTACAGCTAAGATGCAGCTAAGGATGTTTCTTTTTTGTCTTCTTTGGATCTCGGTTAAATTTACATTTCAAATTACGTTTACAATTAACAATTGAAGTACAGTCCACTACAGACTTTTGCCGTCGAGTGTTGAATGATTGTCGTTAGCATAATGATATTTAGGATTTATTTTATTCGAGTACAAAACACTGTGTCGCTCGGCACGGTACACTTGTTAGCTGTTCAGGCAGCGACGACAATAGTGCGACTAGTTAGGCCAATTGGGGGTTAAGTAATTTTGCTGACAACAACTCGACAACACAATGCCACTACATATACATATACATCTAGTATATAGGACTTATGCGACTCTATTCTACCAATAACGTAGCTGCTGTGCATTCTGCTTTTCTTGGGTACATTTTCGTATATAAATTGGTGTACCAAAAATGCACCCAAGTTGATGCACAGTTACCAATTCTTAATTTGAGACCATAGTTTTATATTATGTCTGTTACAGTCTACACCTAAGCTTAAACTATAAACTAAATGGGTACAATGCGACATGCACTAGGAACATCAGGTCAGAGATCATGGACCATGTCCCGCACTAAGTGGCATTCAACAAATCTTCTACAAATGCTGATTCGTCTCAAATGGACCTTACTTTGATTAGATCTATGGTTCGTTCGGGTGTTAGAGACTTGGGGTAAATTATGTTCTTATTGGATTAAAATACAACATTTAGAACTAGCCCAGAGATGAGATAAATATGTTTGGGTTTAAGTGGTTTACACTTAGGTAGGTTAGGCAATGCCTTATAACTCGCACAAAATAAATACGGAAAAATCGACTAAAATAAACTAGGGAAAATAGTATTTTGTGCTTTTTTTGTACACTGGAGAGCTTTGGGAACTTTTAGCTTTTCAGGTGGGACGGGGGCGAGGACAAGAATGCTATGAATACGGGAAAATAACTTTAAAATAATTTCAAACCAGACTACGGGATTTTGTTTATGGGTGTGGGTCAGTGTGTGTGTGTGTGTGTGTGTGTGTGTGTGTGTTGAGTTTTGGAGTTGGCGTTCGTCTAGGAATAAATACTTAGAGCTCTAGCTATGACTAAATACATTGGATCAATTTGTTTGTTTTATTTTTGTGGATTTGTTCTCATTGAGATACGAGATACGAGTACTAGAAAGAACAGCAAATTCAAAATACATACAGTAAAAGTAAATCGTCTCAATAGACGGTACAAAAAAAAATAAGAAAAACAGGGTACAAGGTACAAGTAAAAAAAAGGTACTGATAGACGGATAGAAGAATAAGTGGAACAACGGTACACGGTACATGTGGGAAAAACGTGCACTTACCTTGCCAGTACCAACTGCCAGGTGCGCCAATGAACAAACGCGAGCCATTCTAGAAGAGAGAAGAGAGGGGAAAAGAGAGAAGGGAAACCGAATGAAAAATAGTCAGATCGAATGCTGTGGATGCAATTGTGAATGCAAATGTTATGCCACGATCCCCAACGAGGTGCCAACTAAACGTGCCCACGCCAAAGACATGCCCATGCCGCGCTCTCCAATCCCCCTCCCAAAGTGCGCGCCCCCCTCTAGCCATTCCATGCATATAATAACTCAATGAACCCAAAAAATACAAAAAAAAAAACACAACAAAAATGTGTTGCAGAAAGAGGTAAAGATTGGGTAGGGTCTCTTTTGTATACGAAGTGGACTGGACATGGGCGAACTGGTAATGCTCTTCATTAATTTAATAATTAAGAAATTATTCTGATGGTAAAATAAATGTTGATTATTCTTCCTATATATCCCAACCTATTAATGAACAAATATTTGGATGTCTCCTGCTATACACCTGCTGGGAAACCTTTAAGCAACTGAAAGCTTCAGAGAACACCAACTAGGGATCGTGCTAACAGTTCACATAATATATCGAACATTATATAATGCTAGGACTCATAAGTAGATTAGCGTATATTACCCTAGTAATACTTACTTTGTTGACGGCTGCACTGAAGCCGGCCTGACACGAGCCCTGACGATGATAACCCCAGTTGTCTGCAAGTAGGAGAAAAAGAGATATCAAGTGAGTGAGTGAGTGAGTGAGCGGGAGGGCAGGAGTGACTGTCAGTCACAGTTGACCATTTAGGCATTGTGATTTCCTCATAAATGTTCGGCCACAGCTCAATGAGCGTACCCCGGGGCAGCACAAATGGTTCGAGAGGGACCAAGACACGGAGATGGAGAGAGAGAGAGAGCAGCTTCAAGAGGGATCGCATAAGTATGTGGGACAATAAATTGCAAATAATTACCGATGCAATGCAATAAATTGCGCTGCTATTTGTCAGTCCGGGAGAGTTGGAAGAGTTGGTCGCTTTGGACAGAGTGCAACATAAAAGGATTAGAGCGCGCCTTTGGGGTAAACTGCCAGACATCCGATGGACATTGAAATGAAAATACAACAATACTCGTACGAACAAAAAACAGCCAAGGTAACAGCAGCAACAACAGCAACAACAGTGACAGCAGACAGCAACAGCAACAGCAACAGCAGAGCGGCAAACAAAAAGATCAAGACGAAGGTAAGGCTAAGGCCTAAAGTGGACAGCCACAGCAACAGCAACAGATCCACATATCCACACATCCACACATCCTTTTGTTGGCTCCGCCTTTTGTTTGTTTCTGTGCCAGACTGTCCGGCAAAGTGTCTTGCGAATGTTGCTTTGCTACCAAATACAAAATCACGCAGCGGGAACAGCACAAAAGCAAGTCAGCAAAAAGCCCCAGAGAGAGTATGGTTCGGACCATATAATACCCAATAGTAGGCAAAAGTAGTAGGCATGCAGTTGTAAAAACTTTACAAATTAATTGTTTACTGATTTTCTCCGAGAATGTATTCCTGGTTGGCGCTTGATGCTAAGCATTTACCACTTTCACTTCATAACATCGATTATATTTGTGCCTGTTGCAAAGATCAGCACCAATACAGCATACCCTCGTACTCCACGAGTACCATTATGTCGCCTGCCTCCGCATGAGAGCAACGATAAAGCTGCAGACACCGAGAGAGAGACAGCGAGGAAGAGCGAGCAAAAACAAGAGAGAAATCAACAGGCAGATCGTGCGTTTGATCAAATTAAACGATAACAATTTGTCTCCGAAGTGTTTCAATTTGAGCGCACCGAGCCGAGCCGGTGCCGGTGCCGGGGGCCCGTGGACCGAAGGCAGGCAGCAACATGTCGCCGACGTCGCGGCAGCAGCAGCAATCGCATAAGTCAACTTTTTGTACGGCACTCGCTCTTGCACACACGTGTATATGTACCTATGCGTACCTGGACATACCCAAAGCATTGTCTGAAGCGGGTGTGTATGTGTGTGCGTGCAGTTGTAGTAATTCCCATAATAAAATCGCCCCGTCTTGAATTACAATTAGTTTTTAGCAAGGGCACGAAGAGCGATTCCGACTCCACTCAGCTCCAGCAACAGCAACACAACTCGGACTTGGACAGTCCAACGGTTCGTTTGAGTGTGTGTGTGTTTGTGTGCCTTTGTAAATACCCTTTAAATGTGCATGCTAGCTTGGGCTAGCTCTGTGAACAAGGAAAGCTGTCTTGAGCCTCATCGATAATAAGCCAATGGAAAATGGATCATACCACTCGTAAAGGAGACTACCAGAAATATTTTCCAATGTTTTTTATGCAGTACTTTTCGATCTTGTTAGTCCCCGTTGTACATCAGGGTATAGAAAGTTCGGCGCAACGATTTTGGCGTTCATGGGTTCATGATTTTATTCCGCTTTTGTCGTTTGATTTACCCTTTTCGTTGCTGTTGCTGTTGTTGTTTTTGTTGTTCTCTCTTTTTTTTTGTGTTTCGTTTAACTATTTAGTTTGGCATTTTGTGCGTTAAGTTGGTATTTATTGCTTTCAGTGATGTCGGAATGTGCTGAGGCAACTGTCAAGATGGGTCGATGTTGCCGCGGCTGCTGCTAATCATTTCACAACTGCAACATCCAGCGGCAGCATTAATAACCCCACCACAGAAACATCGCATTGATGATGATGATGACGATGAACAAGACCAATGGGAATATGGTCAGCGCTCGAGCCTGGGCCCAATGTGCTTAGAATTGTTAAATTGCCCTTGGACGGACCATATTGGACCTGCATGGATTGAGAAATCTCATCCGTTGGGTGTGGAGAGAAGGTGTATTCGACTGGCAGATCACTGGAGTGTGATCTAGGAAGGAGAGGGCATTCAAACTTTACCATTAGCAAGCGAAAACACAACAAAACTCAAAACAAATCTGCCCCCATGATGAACTAGGCCCACAAGCAACCCACAATGACCATATGCCAGCTAGCTAAATAACAATACTCAGACTCAGATCCACATACATTAGTACATATGTAAGTATCTACACAGATTCTCCACATTATATTATGTATATATGCTTTGCATCTGGCAAGCGATGCTAAAAATACTCACACCTAGGCAGAACTTTGCGAAGGAGGAGGCGGCAGCGAATGCCACATGTGTTCTATAGGTACATATTCGTAGGTATAGCCACATACATATATATCGTATATAGTCCGTATAACGCGATGACTAACCCAAACAAATTTGGCAGGCTGTCCCAAAAACAAAAAGCTAAGAAAAAACACAACAAAGTTGGGAGCGAAAAGAAAGCGTAAGAAAAACGACTTCCCTGTGGGTTGCATTCCTACCGATGAGCGGAGCAAACAACAACAAAAACTTTGAACATCAAATTAAATATTTTTAGATGCACAAACTACATCGAAACTCCTATGTTTTCAGTGTCTTCCCTTTGATATGGGCATTGCCCATGTACAACATATTTGTTGGCGGCTGTCACGATTCATAAATCTATCATTGGATCTGTCCGGATTCGGATTCGGATTCGGAATCGGCGGTTGGGTGGGGTCATCAGGTGGGCGTAGCGTTTTGAGTTGTGGAGGTTTAGGTTTCATTTGTTCTTTAAATGAACTAAATTAGTCAGCAAAGATGTGGGTTTTGTTTTGGAATGGTTGGTTCTAATATAAGACTGGGAAATATTTCTGTATGGATGGACTTAACCTCACAGATACTCATGCTAGATATGTTAAAATACTATTAAGATGGCTCTTTAATTTGATATTTTCTTAAGCTTTGGAATATCTTCTGAAAGCATCCAATTTTTATTTTAAAAAATAAAAAATTCAATCTTTAATGCTACAATTTCTTTTCACTTTCGCTGTACACACACTCAGTTACCGTTATTCGATACTCTGGGATTACCAAAAAAAAAAGAAAAATAAGAACAGAAGAGAAGAAAATAATCCAAGGAAAGCAGAAGAACTGACAGTTTGCATTGCGCTCTTTAGGGGATTCCCCCTGCCCACTCAAATTACAGTCACACTCAGAGGCAGGAACAGGGAGCGTGGGCAGGAGGGAAGAGCAGAAATCACACCGAATCGCAGGTTCAAATTATGTCTGGGTTAATCTGCAGGGGGCACAGCTTTTTACTACTCACTTGTCCGACAGGGGGATAGCTCGTGGAACTGCTCGAAGTTATGGGAGGTGAAGCAGGTGCCCACTGGGTCATAGCGCATCGCCCTCGATGGCGTCATCGTGTGGAACACATATCGCGGTGCACAGGCCTGCAAAGACAGAGAGAAACATACATACAATATAGAGTGAGTGAGGGGGGAGATATGCTAAAGGAAAGAGACACGCGATAGAGGCATTTTGGAGGCATGGAAATTATTTTGTGAAGATGTGAAACAATGGCACAGAGCCGACTGCATGCAGCGGCCGGCCTTCCTAAAACGGCCAAAGCGAATTAACAGACCGATCCCCCGCCCCACACTCGGAACGCATATGCAGCACAGTGTGCCCAAGTTGCCCAAAGCTGGATGGACAGGTCTTAAGAGAGGGTTATTCTAGTACCGGTTGATCTTAGTGGACATGTTCTATGGTAAATGATAATAATAAATATGCAAGGAATTCACGATTCTTCAATTCAATCTGAGAACCAGACAAAGTTTCTAAAATATGATCTACAAATATCTTATATGTACTTATAGGCATGCATTTATGTGGATAAATTTGCTTCAAAGTTCTTCAATTCTCCTTTTTCATGCACCTTTTGGACACTGTGCCCTGTGACTGGGACTGGGGACTGGGGACTGTGGACTGAGAGTAACATCATCGCATTGAATCGCATTGCATCGCTTCGCATCTCTGCAGTTCTGTGTGTTTATAATGTAGTTTTATAATGTATAAATGGCTGGCAGTTGGACATAAAACACGCACGGGGATCTCGCTGCCTCTGCCCCTTACCCACTCCAGCCTCAATTTGAGGCAACTCTGGTCCCAGTACCCAGGCCAAATATGGTCTGCAGTTGGGAGTTTGGCATGGGGCAGAGGAAGAGGGAAATGCCTGACTGCCTGCAGAAGGCAGAAGGCACCAGGCATCAGACATCAACATCAGCGTCAAGATCTTAGGCCAGGCCATTGTCTCCGCACTGCAATTACTTTTACAAATTTATACATATTGTGCCATTTATGGCAACCAGTGGCTCTCTGTCTCCATCTACCTTACCCCCGCCGACTCCCATTCCGAAACTCCCTCCGACTGCGACTGCGACGGCGACTGCGACTGCGACTCTGACATAAACTCAAAATGACGCGCTATCGCCAAAAATGAATGCTGATCGGATCAGTGGACAGGCAGGGGGCGGTGTGCGGATGGCTCTGCTTTGGCCGATCCATTCAAATGCCCCCATTGAATCACAAATCTATGGGGCCCCGGCCCCATATTATGCAAGCATTCGCGGACAGAAGCGGACAGAAACGGACAGCATAAGCAACAACAACAAAAAAGGAAAGAAAATCACAGTCCTGCCTCGCTGGCTCTCTGGCTATAAAAATGAAAAATAAAAATAATAAAAGCAGCAACAAGAAATGCTTAAAACTGGACAAAAATCAGACAATCGACTTGCCGCTGGGCCCGGACGGACCGGACCCCTTTACATATTTCTGGGTCTGGTTGAAAACATTGAACAATTCAATTGAAATTCTCAACAATTGCCTTCGAGGCAGAGTGGTCCACAGACCATTGTCCATGCCATGATCAATAAGTTAATGGCAATTTCCTATTAAAAACTTTATTATCAGTCGGCTGCTCCTGCTCTGGTCTGCTGCCAGTGCCACATAGTTGCAGTTTCAGTTCGAGTTCCCGGTAAAATAGTTAGATATGCAAATGAAGCCTCAGCAGAGGGAGGACCATGAACAGGTCTACGAACAGTCAGAAGTGGAGAGAAGTTCTCTCCTCTTGGCTTGGCAATGAAATCAAAAATTATGCTACTGAGAATATGTGTTGCGATCGGGCATAGGTTGACATTTACTTTTGTACATTTTTGGGGGTTTTTATAGATCGGAAACTCATTTGAATGGGTGCAAAATAATGCTACTGAATATGAGTTTTGATCGGGAATGGCGTGCCCGTTTATACTGGTAAATTTGCGCAAGTATTGGCTGGTTTTCTCCCAAATCCCTTATAGTTCCAATCTTTGCCCCCATTTGAATGGTCGACCTCTGGCGTGTTGGCGTGTTTTCTTGTCAACCGTTTGCATTCTTCATAACCAAATTGTTTTGTCGTGTTCTCCCTTCCCCTCGGAACATATTTTGAATGATTTCTTGTTGTTGTTTGGTATGGGTTTTGGTTTGCTTTGGTTTGGTTTTGGCTTTCTTTTGGCAGCAGCTTTTAGCCGTAGTTTTGAGCGGTCTCTGGTCTCTGGTCTGTGGTCTGTATTTGGGCTTTTGTTTGCTTTGTTTTTTGTGTTTTTTTTTGTGTGGTTTATTGCCCATGTTTGGTGCAGAGTGCATACCGAAACGCCAACGATAAATTTTTGAGACATTAAACTGCACTTTTGCAGACGCCGTCGATTCGCTGTTGTGCGAGTAGCGTGGTGGGGGGGGGGAGAGCCAGGGAGTCAGAGTCAAAAGTCAACACGTTTGACATGGTCGACATGCAGACGTTACCAATGCGAATGCCAAAAGAATATCGGGGCAGCCACCATGCCCCCATACCCCACATCCCGCCGAGTGCCGGATGCCAGATGCAGATGCCTGCAGAACACAGATGCTAGGCTTTAGCTTCTGCTACTGCTCCTGCTCGATCGTTCGTTCTCCCCCTCTCTCTCTCTCTCTCTCTCTCTCTCTCTCTCTCTCTCTCTCTCTCTCTCTCTCTCTGTGGCCATATTCGAGTTCAATAGCGCTGGCAATTTCACAGATCGTGTCGATGATCATGTCGCAATCGCAACGGGCAGACCAAACAAACAAACACAACAACAACAGCAGCAGAAAAGCGTCCGAAAAGAAAATAAAAACGTTGCGAAACGAGACCGAGATCGAGACCGAGACCAAACCCGAGCGAACGAAGCCGACCGCACGACACACAAACGGTACAAGCCAACGCCGGCGCAGACGCAGACGCAGGCGCAGACGCAGGCGAAGACGCTGAAAAGCAAAAGCAAAAGCAGAGACCCCAGGCGCAGGCAGGCAGCACTTTTCTGTGAGTTCAAAATGATGTCACCTTCGGTCTTGCGTTGATTGCCGATCATGGCCAAATTGTAGGCGGTCATCGGCAACGCCCACGCCACTGTTGATGCTGGTAATGCGAGGTGACACATGACCGAACTCCTGGGTGATCTCATGCCATCTGATAAAACGGCATTGGTGAGCCTTCGGCTGCTGCAACTTGGCTAATAGCTAATTAAACGCTAATAGCAACAACAAATTGGTTAGCTGCAATTCCCAGGCCATTTGAGCATTTACTTTCTGCCTGTCATGGTCCTGATGATGTAGTCCTGCGAGGGAGGGCGCTTCGCACTTGGCACAAAAACTAAATCAATCGATGACCTGCTCTGGGTTAATGGGCATTTGAAGGCCAGCGCGTGGGGCGGAAGTGACCTGGACATGGTCCCACAGCCAACAGCCAACAGCCACAAAAGTACACACACACACACACACACACACACGCTGGGCCATCAATGTTAACGGTTCTTGGTGCGCCAGGGCCAAAATCAAATGGGCCAAATCAAAGTTAATTGAGAACTAAAGTGAAAATCAAATGTTTATGGGGTTCTACCTTCCTCTCTACCTTGCCCTCTGGTGGGTGGGCAGACAACAAAGAGAACCCCAACGCCAACGCAATTAACAAAAGTTGCGAGACTTGGCCACACCTCAAAGAGCCACCAAAAGGCACCCCACTACTGCGAGTATCTGTCTATTGGTATCCCCATGTATCCATGTATGTGGCTCTGCCAGTGGCTTGGTTCACTTGACGCAATCCAAGTGGGAACCACAGAAACCGAAATCGAAATCGAAATCGAAACGAACCCAGAGGCGACACCCACTGATGGCAAGGGGGACATAAATGCATAATAGCATCCCAAACGTCCGAAAAGTGTAATTTTATTCTTTGATTTTCTCAGTCAACGGATGAGGTGAGGTCCCGTGTCCCGTGTCGGTGTCGGTGTCTGTTACCACCGATGAGTTGCACTTTCGATGCGATTTGACATTTTAACGAGGTTCTGTCAGATGATGCCATCATTCAATGCACATTAAAATCGGACAAAAAACAGACAAAAAATCAGGTTGGATAAGTCAGTTAGTAGGTCACTTGTGGTGGGTGGAAAATGAAAGTACAACGAGGTATGCCACGGGCATTTGAGTGGCACATTAAGCGCCGACATTCGATGCATTTGCTGAAACTTAAACTTTAGTCATGTCATTTTGAGTAGAAGGATGAGTCCTTGAAATGTAAAATGTGTATAAAATGTAGATCCTTTCATTTAAAGACTTACCACAACCAAATCGTTGTCGCGTCCTGTGGCCACAGTGGCGCCCAGCCATTGGTAGGACTTCCTGTCTACGATTTCGCCCTCTGTATTCCGGTTGTTGCCTGTTTTTGGTTTGAGAGAAGCGCACACACAAATTAATATCATTAGCAGATCCAAATTTCCTTTGGGCAGAAATCAAGAGCGCAAAAAAAAACTTATTTTAAAAGAAAGACTGAGAAGAAATAAGAGTAAAAAGTAAATGCGACAAATTGTGCACGGAAATGGACAATTTACTGAAATTAATATGTATGCCCCAAGGGGTGGGGGTGCTCTAAGCAGAAAATATAAAAATAAAGCAAACTAATTAAGCTCCTTCTCTGTGGGAGAGACAGGCAGGCAGGCAGGCAGGCAGGCAGACAACACAGAGAGGGAACACTTGAGAATGCCGCTGATGGTCACTTCCTTTTGTCAGTGATTTATGACACAATTGCGGGTGGGGTTTCTGTACATATTTGATGGCCTAATGAGGGATGGAATGGCGAATCCATCAGCCTTGGAATGAATTCAAGGGTGAATCGCCGCCGCCTCATTAAGGAGCATGATGGATGGTCGAGTGTGCAGGGTGCAGGGTCATGCGGGACGTGGCTGATCGATGAATCAAGTAAAAACTAATCACAAATGAATCACAGAAGATGAAGAATCATAGATGCAAAAAAGATCAGCAACAACTTTCAAGTGAAACACTGAATGAGAGCTTCAAGTTTATTAATACTGTTGGAATATGAATTCAAGAAAGCAAATAAAATAAAATAAGAAACGCAACGAAACGGAAATAAATTTCCTTCCGTTTCTTGTGCTTATAATATTAACGCAAAAGTGCCAAATGAATCACAGCCACTTAAGTGCCATAATGATTCAGCAGTGCAACACACACATAGAGTTTCAGGTGTAGTTGTTGAGGTTGAGGTTGAGGTGCCACACAGCAATGAATGAGACAACGAACCTGCTAGCTGGATGAAGCACCTGTTTACGCCTGGGGCCCAGCACATAATATATTTGTTTATTTTTTGGTTTGTTTTGGTTTCAGAAGAGAAACACTTTCGTTTTAGCATAAAAGAAACATTTGAACAAAAGGGGGAGAGTATTGGCCACTAATTTATGTCACCCAGCCCCAAAATGCATTAGCCCTGATGGGGCATGTGTCAATAAATTGTCAGAGGTGTTTACCTCTCCCTCTCCGGGGAACTGGGGAATTTCATGGTAAAAATATGCAAAATGTATGCGAATGCCACGAGGAAGCTTTTGCGTGTTTATCATTTCCGTTTTATGCCGAGGAGAGGATGTGCTGTTGTCTAAAAATATATACTCGAGTGTATTATTGCACTTTTCCGTACGAGCCCCGAACTGCATTCTTCGCATTTTGCATACTAAAAAGTTGCGCCTGCGCATGGCGAGTAGGAGTGGAGTGGAAGGTGGAGGGCCATAAATAAACTAATTGCACTCTGGGCAACCCCTTACCCGCCACCCCAGCTCACACACCCACCTCTGGCGCCAATTCTGATGGAGCGGGCCACAAGGCATGGGCTCTGGCGCCAATGCTCACAATTCTCTTTGCCCAAGCATCCAGACTTATGTATGCATATTTCCCCCCCACTTTTGTTTGCCATTCGCTGTGGTCGCTGTGAAATTACCTTTGGAATCGAAGGGCACCAACTTGCAGTCATCATCCTTCATGCTGCACTTGAAGACACCGCCGGCCTCCACAACGCCGGGCTGGAAGCGGGACGTATCATATTTGGGTGCACCCACGATCAAGCTGACACTGCAAAAGGGAACAGGAGGGTGGGGATTAGACGATAAATAATTCAAATATAATATTCTATAAGTAAATAAACGCAAATAAAAACTAGAAATAAATCTTTAACTTTAACTCCAAAATGAGTTTCAAAATTTGTTGGCACATTTTCCAAATGGGTTTTATTAAGTTGTTGCCTGGCAAAACCCATAGAAGAGGCATATGGCGATCGATGATTGGGAGTTTGGTTGCTGCATTTATTTATGGTTTTCGCCAACCCTCCCCGCACTCCAATTCGCTTCCCTGGCTACCGAATGGGCAAGAGCATCAGGCAGGGCACAGGCAGGGGACAGAGCTCGTAGTAGTTCATCATGGCACGCACATTGACAGCTGTCATTAGCATTCATTGAATGCGGAAGTGCGGCGCGAACAAAAAGGGTGCCCCCGGCCCGGACCGGGGTCTTTGAGGGGTGCACTAAATGGGCCTTCATTAAAATTGAAAATAATAAAAACGGAAAGTAAAAGGCGGGCCGCCTGCCGCAAATGCTGCAAATCAAACACTTGAGAGTTGATTAAAAACGGGGCCACAGCCCACATGCAACAATTTGACGCTTGACTAAAGCAAAAATTGCACAGATGCGTGGCAAAAAGCAAGCGAGGAAGTGAAACAGACAGAAGATCGGCAGAAGGCATGAATGGAGCGAGTAAGTGAAACCATGAAGCGGGCCCGCCCTTGGATCCTGACTCTCTCTCTCTCTCTCTCTCTCTCTGCTGGCATTTGGTATTTGAAGAGCCCAAAGAGAGGCCTCCCCCCCCCAAGCAGTACCTTAAGGCCTGAGCTTGAGAGAACGAATTAGTGGCTTTGCTTTTCCCTCTCTCAAACTCTGTATCTCTGTGGGTCTCTGTGGGTGTGCCTGTGTGTGTGTGTGAGTGTGTTTGCTGGTTTGCTGACATCATTGGCATTCATCGAAGAGCTTGGATTCGATCATACTCGCTCGTTGAATGTAATTAATATTCATTTACGAACATAGACACCGAAAGCTTAAACAGGTTCCTCCGCCTCTGGCGCTCCACCGAATTGTAGCCCAGAACGCATTTGCATTTCGTTGAATGAATGAATGAATAACCAAAAAAACAATCAAAACAAATTACTCTTAACAGCGGATGAATAATCCAAATTTATTTGACTCATGGCGCTACAAAATATCGCCACAAATATCTCCGCAACAATTCTCAGTATTGATACTGAGCGGAATTGATAAACAATGAAGAAAAATGATTGCCTTACACTTTTGGGTGCATTTCTCAGCATAATTATCATTATTTAATGGAATTTTATGGAACTTTTCTCAGATTGAAAGTGCATAAAAGTTGCACATATCTGGTGAGTTTATTTATGGAAATTGCAAGTACAAAGCACACATACGCCTCAGGGTATCAATTCCATTTATAATTGATCGGATTGGCTCGCAGCTTCAACGAATTTCGATTATTACAGCATGGGCAGGGGCTGGCTCTACCCTGGCGCTGCAGAGCGAATTTAGATCACATTGAATGCCGTTTGGCTTGCGTAATTTTTCGTTTTCATTTTTAAATTAAAGAGCACGCGTCAGCAGCAGCCTCCCTGCGAATGTTCTGTCATCATTCATTTGCTTATTGTTGCTTGTGCAGTGAACCAAAGCGAGAGAGAAGAACGGTGGAGAGACAATGGCAAGCCACACACAATGCACGCTCCAAAATGATCAAAATCAATGCGATTCAATTGAGAGTGGATCGAATGGAAGCGTGAATACACAAATGAAACAACATCGAACCAGGCGCCTGGCCAAACAAATCATTTCTCAATTGCCAAACATTTTTGCGCTGCATTTCAGACATAAAAATGTCTCAATTAGGAGAGAGAGAGAGAGAGAGAGAGAGCGAATGGTAAACCAATTTTCCGGCACACATGTCTCAAGAAATCGAATGGAATGGCAGGAAAGGAGAAGCAAATTAAGTGGAAAAGGAGCGGCAGAGAGACAGCGAAGAGACTGAGAAGAGTAAAATAAAAAGAAGAACCTTTTGTTAGATCGCGCCTTGAATGCTAAATGGGAACGAGCGATCGTTCTTCCAGTTCGTTGTCCGTGGTCTGGTCTGGTCTGGTCGGATTGTCGTCGCGTGCAGCAGCCGCAATAAAAATAATGTTTTAAAAATACATTTCGAAAATTGCTCTGTGCACCTCTCAGTCAACCCTCCTCCCTCCTCCCTCCATCCCTCAGTAAATGCCTAGCCCCCCGACTTCCGACTTTGTCTCAATGACAACACATGCCCGACATTCGTTTCGTTGCTCACAGGATACGCTGGCTGGGCAGGCACGAGTGGGACAGCAACAGCTGAACAGACAGACATCGAGCTAGTCCCAGTCCCAGTGCCAGTTCCAGTCTCAACATCACGATGTGGGTGCCCATCGCTGCTCTCGTGTGAAGCTGCGCATGCTTCCTGCCTTCCGTCCGTCCGCCCTCTTCAATGAAATGACACGAGCATGGTACAGTGAGCGCGGAATTTATGCGCACCACAGACAGCTGGTCGGCCACCACCACCACTCCTGGGACACTCAATTTGTTGTTCACTTTCCGGCTTCGGGCCTGGGTGACCTTGTGCTGCCAGCGATCCATCAAACGTGCTCTAATTTCAATTTCAATTCAGCACAAAAAAACGCCCAAAACAATTGCTTGAAAATGTTTTACAAATACATTGAAAGACAATTTCACGAAAATAAATGCAAATAAATGTATTTAAAACTTTAAAAAACTCGATTTTATAATAAAAAATAAATTCAATTATTAAAACAAAAATATATATATATAAAAAATATTGAAATAAATTGGAAATACTTTTACAGCTTTTTCAGAGATTTTCTTGTCGAGATTTCCTCCTTGGATATCAATGTCTGCAGAGAGTTTGGATTCAGAATCACTTAAGCTTAAAGCTGGATTGTAAACGATGCAGCCGACTGCATGTGGAGCTTTTAGGCACTTTGCAAGCTTTCAGGCATTGAGCAGTCAGAGGGAGACACTTAGCGGTAAAGCTCAACGCAAAAATTGCGATCAGCTGCTCAACGATCAATAGACATTTTCTGTTCAACTTAATTTGCATTTGACAGTTCAGTCAGTAATCCTATACCACAACCCCCTCCCACACAATGACAAACATGAACTATGAACCCAACATCCTGCTGCCTGTCTGGTAGATCTTTCCACCCCGAACAATTGTTCGACAGACTTTTAGTCAGCACTGTCGAGTCGATGCCGCCTGCCTGCCTGTCGCTCAGTGTCTTCTGTGTCTCTGCGTCTCTCTTTCTTCCGCTCTCTTTCTGCTTGTGTCATTCCCATACTCATTCTGGGTAACCTTTTAAGTAATGCACAGCGTAAATATAAAGGGGGTACATTTCGTACCGTAAATCGTCAAGTCACTTTCAGAGTCAGTCCGCGTTAAAGTAACCGAAAAAGCATGCGCCGCGCGAGACACAGGGTGAGGGGTGAGTGAGGACTAGGGCCGCGAGTGCTAGAAGAGCGAGGGCGTGTCGGCGCTAAACATGTGTGCGCCTCATTTCGTTTTTCCTGGAGGTCTCTCTCTCTCTCTCTCGCTCTCTCCCTCTCTGCATCTCTGGGAAAAACTAAGCGCTCACACACGTGACAGCGACATACAGGGGACATACCCTCGTGGGTTCCCGGCGCTCATTTTCGATCGTTTCCTCCTACATTTGTTTGTTCATTGAGCCATTTGCCCAAATGTTGTGCCCCCGAAGGCCAGCGCTGACGCTGACTCTCTCTCATTGTATTTTCGTTCCCTGTGTTTGTGTGTGGTTTTCCAACACCTTTTTTACACATTTGACACTTCCGTTTTTCGAGGAGAAGACCTTCATTTTATCTCTACAACTGATCTGCGCTGATCTCAACGCTGATGTCTATCCTGCGAGCCAGTGGGCACTCCGAGAGAGTCTGCCATCGAGCGGCCCAAAATGCCAGCGTGTACTCGTGGATAAGTGCAAAAAGGAGAAAGGAAAATAAATATTTGAAATCAATTACATTTCTCATTGTCTGCCTGCTGCCGTTTTGCCATTTCATAACCACAACAGACGCAAGCGCGCCGACAGGCAGGCAGGCAATCCAGCAGCGATCGACACGATCATTTTCATGGCAGCTGCAGCTGACAGTAGTTTATGCAATAGATAGATTACCCCAGACTCCAGACTCCAGACTCCAGACCCATGCCCAGGCACTGTAACCCACTTAATGGAGAACAGAAGGAGCGACGTAAAACCTAAATGAACTTCTCAAGTGATCGTCGGCCGGCACTATCCAAGCCGGTGGTCTAGCTAAAATTAGCTGAAAGATACATTTTACAGCAGTTTCATAAACAATCTAAAAACATTTCAAATGTTACAAATTCTTGATGCAATTTCCATCATTTCTCCACCCAAAGATCAGTTCCAAATGCCTTCAACATTTAAGGATCTGATCTGATCTGATTTGATCTGCTTAAGCTTTGAGAGTAGATCAGCGGCAAGCAGCTGGCAAGAGTCACCAGAAAAGGAACGAGGTCAGGCTAATGAGGCACAGCATAACCATGGACTACAATTTGTTGTCGCATCTATAAGGAAACCTGCGCCTGCCTGCCTGCCCACAACTGGACGGCGAGGCAACTCTCTCGTTCTGGATGGATGCTCTTTCGAGGCTAACGGACAAACGACTTTATTTGGCCAATTGGGTGAAGCTGCTGGCTGGCAACCTTGTGCGCCGACGCAACACTTGACCGTAAATAGCACACACACACACACACACACGCGGATTGTTGTAAACTATGTCAAGCAGAGATACAGATACGGATACATTTGCCACAGCCACTGCTTCAGGGCAAACCGCATATTGGCCAACGTCTTTGGTCTCTTTTGCCATATAAACAATAACCACAACTAGTTACACTTAGCTCCACCGCCACCGCCACCGCCGCTCCACCCGCCTGTTGCCACTTTCCACAACACGCAACAATTATCTCATGTGGCCACAGAATGGAGTCGGGTTGAAGAGTGGTCAGAGTGGGAGGGAGGTTGCCCTGCGACAGTCGGCGAAACCAAAAGCATTTTTACAGGTGACAGATGTAACTATTCATGGATTGTTTCCAAAGCATAGAATAATCGTGCAAAAATATGCGTGCCAGATCAGATCTTGGTCAAACTGCAGGAGCAAACCCTTTCAAATACTAAACATTTTTCTGGCCCATCTTGCCAATATTTTGGAATACTTTCTGCACAAATAAAACATCCGTTGAGCGCTGAATAATTTCAACCAAAGAAGAGCATACAAAGTGCAACCAACTCGATCTCGAGCCAGCCAAAGGTCTAACCAAAATGATCTGCGATCTTCTTTTGTGTCTCTCTCTCTCTCTCTCTCTCTCTCTCTGTGGGGGTGTCCGTCTGGCAGTCTGTGCCAGTTTGTGGCTGTGTTTGCGTCTGTTTATTGAATTGTAAACATTTTTAACGCTGCATTTAAATAATTTTCGTTTCGTTTTTAAGTGCACTTAGAGTGCAGCAGCCAGTATCTTTCTTTCTGTCTCTGTCGCTGTCTCTGTCTCTGTCTCTGTGTGTGTTGTGTGTTGTGTGTATATGGATTATAGAGAATAACGAATAAAGAAGTGCAAATGGCCCAAAGGCCATTCACACACGTAGCCACAAGAGACAGAGAGAGAGAGAGAGAAAGAGAGATGCTGTTGCTTTGATAGCTACAGCTTCAGCCTCGCCACTCTATCGATGGTGTACGTATCTTCCAGGCGCGCTTCTTCCGCCTCCATGAACGTGCGAAAAAAGTCTGAGAAGACTGGAACACTGGAAGACCGAAGGGGAGACAGCGACTGCGACTAGGCGGCACACACTGATTAACACGCTCCATCAAGCTGAACTTTGTGGGGTTCAGCAAAGGCTATCGATTCATGCGCCAGCTCTTTCCTACAATATTGAACGCCTCACCGACATAAATAACTAAAACTCAAACCTAAAGAGAGTCTCGAAAGTGTTCGGCTTCGTCTCGATATTTAGCCATTTGTCATGGGGTCAAGCACTCGCGATTGACCAATAAACTTTAAGGTTCAACGCCAAAGTGTCCCATTTATTCCAATCATTCAAAAGAGTTTCTGTTCTAGGAGGACACTCGTAAATTTGTCAACCTTCTGCTGCTACAACTTCATTTTCCAGATTGAAATTAATGAGCATTTAGTGAGCAGAGGGGATGCTGTACATAATAGCAAAGCCCGCGAGAGAGAGAGAGAGAGAGAGACAGAGCAGAGATAGAGCGGTTGTACTGGGCACTGGAAGATTAACATGTCGCGGTATTATCTCTTTTGGAATGGGAAGGGGAAATGGGAAGAAGAGCCAAAGGACAGTTCTCGCTGTTCGTCGAACCTGGAATACCCTTTAATTTGAGTTGGAATTCAAACGGATTTAAACGCTGAAATTTGCTGTAATATTATTTGTATATCTGAAGAAATGTTGCTATCGGTAGGAGCGAGCTGCCTCCTCTCTCAGTTTTCGTTGAGTGGCAAGTTTGATGAACTGTCCACGGTCTCCAGAGACTTTTGATAAAAACCAAATTCTTATTCTTTATTTTTTGTTCTCCTTTCTTTTGGGCGCTTATCTGCCTCGGGCTGGTACTGGAGAGCAGCCCCCAAGAGCCCCGACGATAAGCTGAATGTCCAAAAAAGAGAGATGATGAAGTGACACACACACACACAAGTGGGAAACGCACAAAAATGCCTCACACATGCAGATAGAACACATAGATACGACATTTCCCAATCTTTTGTTGAGAATTTTGCAATCTGCGGGGGAAGTAAATGTTGAATTAAGATAAGTTTGTTCTTAAATTCCATTATGATGATGGGCAGAAAGAACAGCAAGAAAATAACAAACGTATCTTGACGAAGCTGCCAAATCATGCCCTACAATGGGTTCAGTTTAGCTGGCAAAATGGTTTAACAATTTGTGGCTTCATCTTTTCTGCAACTATTTTGATTACAAGAGCTCAAAAGTTGTTCCTGATTTAATTGGTTTTCTTTTGCCTGAAATAAATGGGTTTACGCTTCATTGTCTACGCTTATGTGGGTTATGACAGAAGGTCAAACATTGGCACACACCCACACCCACACCCACACACATTGTTCCCCCCTTCTGGCACTTACTTGTTCTGGTTGGTGAAGTAATCGTTGCGTGCCTTGTGCAGGGCAATGCTGAAGCCGAACATGGAATTGGTCGCCTGCTGGTAACGCACGTAGCTCGGCAGATCGATGTTGTAGCCCAGCGAGTGGGGCGCTTCGTTTATGAGGAGCAACAGGACCAGGGCCAGGGCCAGGGCCATGCCCGTCACTTGATGGCCGCCGCGGCCTGTCATTGCAGTTTCGATGGAACTTTCGTGGCCGATTTCTGGCTTGATTTTATTTGTATTTTTTGGTGTGTTTTTTCTTTTTAGTTGTTTCTAATTTCGTTTGTTTCGCTTTTGTGGGTTTGGCACTAGGATCTGCGGCTCCTTTGCGTTTGCATTTTCACAGCTCTTGTTGGGCCTGAACATTTATTCAATTGGAGAATTAAGCATTGCAAAAATATCACATATGGTCAGAGACACACACACGCACAGCCACGACAAGCTTTATAGCATTTATTTTATACATAAACTCACAACCTTGGCCGCAATGAGATGCCGAGATTCCGAAAAAAGCGACAAAATTCAAAATCAAAAACCAAAAAAGAAATATTCTTCAACTCAGCAAAGAGAACCGAGAACAGAGTTCCGAGACATAACACGGATCGCTCGGCTCTCTCCCTCTCTATATCTGCCGCTACTTCTGCTCTCTCTCCATCTTTCGCTCTCTCTCTCTCTCTGTCTATCGTTGTGTGTTTGCACCTCTCTGCATCTCCTATCACTCGCTCTATCTCTATCACTCGCGGCGACAACTTCCAAATCGAGATATTCTGGCCTTGAACGCACAGAAGCTCCAGGGTGGCAAAAGGCATTTTCGACAGCCACTAAAAATCTACTAAAAAATATATAAGAAAACTTTTTGTTCTAAATTACGAGTATTTGATGTTGAGAAAGTTTTCTTTTATTTTTCTTTTGTTTATAATGTATATTTTTTTTAAATGAATGTGGAATGCATTCTTTTTTTTTATCATAATTTACTTTTAATATTTTAAATTTTTTTTTCATGGCACTAAAATTGCATTTTATTCCAAAAGCCCAGGGTATAAATTAAGTTGATTTCTCGCTAGCGCTACATTTCGAAATCTGATTTGTTTGTCTCTAAACATTTTTGACTGGTTCTTAATATTGTTCTTTTTGGCGTTTTGACGCGGTCTCAGCATCTCTCTCTCGCTCTCGCTCTCTCTCTCTGTCTCACAGATGACGTAATGGAGCGCAAAACAGGTTGCCCCGAGAGACCCCTGGGGGCCCTTCCGGCCAGGTTTTATCTTTCAACAAATTGCATTGACAATGCGAAATAATAATAAAAAAACAAGAAAAAATAAAGCCGTAGGCGGCGTTGGAGTTGGCGTTGGCGTTCGCGTTCGACCCGTTTGCATTCAACCTTAGTGCAGGTGACATTTGACACATATTCCACAGATGCACGGAGACAGATTGTGTGTGGGCGCCACAACTCATTGATAGGCGGCTGCCATTCATGGACAGAAAGAGAAAACCTTAAACTATAATTGAAATTTTTGTGCTGTTGTAGAACAGAACAGAACAGGCCATATGGCCATATGGTGCGTTTCAGCGATTCAGGCCCAGGCGGGCATTGATCATGTGAGCGGCATTCATAATAAATACGACCAATAAAACGCCGTTGAACTGCAGGCCCATCCAACTCACAGCTCTGTGTGCAAAGTGTACCCAATACCCATATGAAATACATACTTTGAATTGCCCACAAATGGAGCAAAGTTTACCCAAGAATTTCATTTGTTTATGTGTATTTTTTGGTCGGGTTATTTCAAATGAACCTCAAATGTTGCCTGTAGGTAGATCAGAAGAGAGTGTCTGTACATTGGTATTGTTTTACTTTACAGGGATCTAGCAGGGAAAACTGTCTGGAAATATAAAGCTCAGCTTCGTGGAGGTCAAACATCTCGTTTCAAGTGATGTGTGGCCAATTTGTTAGGGTAACTTGATTTAGCAGCGCCTGGCCGTGCCGTACATCCCGAAACGTTAACCATCTGGGTGTTACCGTTAAAATATCGGGGCAACAGAAACCAACAACAAAAAATAACACACACCAGATCATTTATCTAAAAATAAATTTGTTTCGTCGGAGTGCCTGCCGCTGCTACGACTGCTGCTACGGCTGCTGACTGTGTGCTACGCCCAGCCAGCAGAGTGTTTTGCCTATAGCTTGGTGTATATACAGTATATATAGACATTGCATATACGAGGATATGTATGTACAAGAATATGCTAGATCTGTCGTTGCTTTCTGTTACACTGTGCAGAAAAGTAGCTACGAAAAATGCTGAAAATCGCTTTTTATGGCATTTATCTATGAATGGCTGTGGGTGTGTGTGTGTCTCTGTGTGTGTGTGTGTGAAGGCTAAAGCTTTTTCCAAGTCCCAAATTATGGATAGTTATAGTACATATGTGCAATGTTGCTTATAAAAATATATTTGTAACTTTTCTGTGCAAGAATTTGTGTTTTTGCATTTTTCACTTTTTGTTTTTTGCACTTTAAAAAAATATTCCATGTTGATATATTATTATGGCCAACATTTTATGCACGTCGCGCGTGTTACAGTTTGTGTTTGTTTATTTTTATTATTTTATTGCTTGCCGTAATTATTTGTACTCTTATTTTCTGCCGTTGCAATGCTCAGCACGCAGCCAAATTTGAACCAAGACTAGTAGGGCGAGAGAGCAAGTGGCGCAAAGTATCTATTAGATACATCTTAATGTAGATACAAAGATACATCTGTGTGTGCTCCACCAGCCAGTCAGCCAGTCGGCCAGCGCATAGGTGAACGCTCACGCGAGATCGCCTACTCAATGGGAGAGAGAGCCAAACGCAGCGACAGACAGACACAATCTCAAAGCTCTCTAACAGCCAAAATGATAGCAAAGTTCGTTTTCTTCTCATTAACTTGTGACTGAGACTGTGTTGGGCAGAGAGGGAGAGGGAGAGGGAGGTGGAGGTGCAGGTGGTGGTGGGGGGTTAAGCCTATAGAATACCGATATGTGTGGGCATCCTACACAGTTTGATTTTTTCGAGGTGAGTAGGCAGGCAGGCAGACAGACAAACGTCTTGGGCATCTAAGCATTTGGTTGAATGCCATTTCCGTTGGCAAAATGTCCATACAATTTGATGTGTCATATAAATTACGCACAGAGACTAAGCAAATATCTAAATAAACAGATACAAATCGTGATCACATGGATGAATGGACATCCGCCACATGGTGAACAAAATGTATGCCCAATCCAGTCACATTTCGGTAACAAATTTTGAAATTGGTTAAATCAACAATTTGGCGGCAAACTGGAGACAGCAGTTCATTAATAACAATTGAAGGACATTAATTAAAAAACACAAGCAACACACAAAAACATTTCTTTCGACTTTGAATAGTCAGTTTAAACATGGGAAAAGCTCACAAATCATGAATATGAATTTCGTGTGTTCAATTACCAGCAATTAAATTTGCATATTTGCAAGAGAATTGTAAAAAAACAAAATTTGATTTTAGCGCGCACTGCTTTCATGTACCGTTACGGATTTGGAATTTGGATCGCGCGCGCACAACCGAACGCCTGGTCGTGAAAGGTAGATTTATTCGTGGGGTAACGGTGTGTGGACAGTGTGACCGCAGACTAGTCGACAAAACATGCCCGTTGCACCCTCGCAAATATACCTGCTCATGTTCAAAAATACCGTAAATATACCGAAGAAAATACACTCAATCATATTGCTCGTTTTCGCTATTCGCCTAAATATTACCAGCTGTCTAGAACTCTCAGCTCTAAATATATTATTTTATCCGATTGATCAATCAATGTTCTGCAAGATTAGCTTATATTAAGGATTCATTTTCATTGTCTTGTGTACAAACTAGGTTTCAACAAAAAATATAACAAAACGTATTCATATTTAACATGATAACTACACCGAAACTACACCGCTTCTACATAACAATTACATTTCGAATTCGCGCCTTGGAATAATTTAAATTGGATTTTCAGAAAGAAATAACTAAAGTTACACATTTCCTCATGGGAGAAAGATCCAATCAGACCTTAAATCAGACATAGATTAATTGCACTTGAGCCATGGCTCCAGTTGCCCCGCGATGACCAGCTCGTAGAAGGTTATGCGACGCGCCTGGGCCACGGCCAGTGCATAGACTGCTCCGGGCGAACGCTGAAGCGGCAGTCGGAGCGCAAGCAGCTGCACCACCGGCGACTCCTCGCTGGTCCTGTGGGCGCGAAAGCGCGCGAATGGCACAAAGCCCTGGACACCGCGGTAGATGAAGACGCGTATCTGGCAGCAGCCTTCGACGAAGGCCAGCAGCGTCTCGTCCCGCACACGCAGGGCAGTCAGCTGCCTGGCCTGACGATCCGCGGCCAGCGACTGGAACAGCGAGCCGTTGGCATGGTGCAGCTGGATGTGGGCAGGCGGCGCGCTCGATGGTGTGGTTGGTCGATCCCCCTCGTCTGGGTCCAAGCGGGTGAGGCGCGCATAGAGCAGCCGCGAACGATTCTTGGGGCCCACAAGCAGGCGCAGCGTCTGCACTGGTCGCCAGTGGAGCAGCGTCTGCTCGGACGCACGACTGGAGGCAGAGGCCATCGGTTCGCCGTGCTGCTGCTGCTCATGCTGCAGCTGCTCCTGCAATTGACGCAATCTGCCAATTACCGCATGCAGCTGCAGGGTCTGATCAGAGCTCCCATTGTTGGCCACCTCAAGGACATCCAGCAGGGTCTCCTCCAGAGCCAACTCCGACCCATCGTCAGCCGAAATCTCTCGCAACTCTTGCAGCACGGGCCAAATGAGCTGCGCACTGCGTGCGGCCAGCACCCGAGCCGGACTATCCGGCAGGGGCAGCGTGTCCGTGTGGAGGCGTGGCCGAAAGCCCCGCAGCTGCTGCATCAATTGCAGAAAGTCCTCGACCAGCTGCTCGTCATACAGATCGCTCTCGGGAATGCTCAGCTGCGTGATATTCACCTCCGTTTGCAGCCGAAAGTTGAGCGTCTCCAGCAGGCGTCGCCGCAGCGCGTGCAGCTCCTCGGGGCCGATCTGCTGGCGACGTCCCCAGTGTGGTCCCAGCTCGGACTCAACGGGCGGACGCTGCAAGTACTTGATGGCCGCCTGATAGCTGCTGGGCAATGGGCGCTTCTGGAGCTCCTTTTGCTGCTGCTTCAAGCCCTGAAGCGTCTCCACTGGTATCGCCAGCGACTCCGTCTCCGCCTGCTCCTCGTCCGTGTGCCAGCTCTGCAGCACGCTGGCGGCCCCGGCGGCGGCACCCGTGCAATTCCACGTGGACTCGTGCTCGCCCTCATCCATTTCGTGGCTGGTCATAAAGGCGAACTCCCGTCCACTTTCGTTCCTCAACTGAAGGCCAATCACCTCGTCCACGGGTCCGCTCTGAAAGGCACCGGCATGGGCGAACCGTGTGCCATTCCAGCGATGAATGCGCGTCCAGCAGCCCCGCTCGTTCACGAGCAGATAAACGGAAGGACCCGCCTGGATGTCCGCCTCCAGGCCAAAGATGCGCCGCACATCCTCGCTGCCCTTGGGCTGCCGCAGCGTGAAGCTTCGCTTCAGCTTCTGCACCTGATAGGGCAGTCTCAGGGAGCCAAACATCTTGGACAGCCGCTGGCACAGCTGCCTGTAGTGCTGCTCCATTTGCTCCATGGTCTGGCGGCGGTTCCTGGCGTCCCCCAAGGCCGCTTGCTTAACCCTCAGCTGCTTCACACGCCAATTGCCGCTGATTGTCTGCTCAGCTCTGCCGCGTGCCCACAGACTGCGCGCGTGCCAGTCCACGTAGTCGAAGGCATTCAGCCGCTGTCTGGCAGTCAGCGCGGGCGCATGCAGGCGGCTGAAGTAGAGCGGTGATTGCAGACGCAGCTGCGGCTCCTCCAGGCTGGCCACATCGCTCAGATTGAGGCTGGCATCGCCATTGATTGGTGCGTTCACCTGCAGCGGGCCACGCACATGGATGCCCGGCAGCAGCAGTGGCGTCTCCACGGTCTGTGGCACGGGGGAATTTATCTGCAAGAGTGATACAAAAATGGAGTTAAAGGCTGCTGCCAATTGGCTGGCCATTTACCATCAAAGTATTGGCATATTCCTGGCTGAGCTTGCGGCCGTTGACCAGCCCCTGCACCTCCATGACACCATCCAGCAGCAGCTCCTCGGCGATTAATGGAGCCAGCAGCTGCTGCTCCGTGCGTAGGGTGACCAAATGCGAAAGATTCACGTGATTTAGCTGCTCCAACTGCAGGGCATTGTGATCCAATGAGCCTGCGGCAAATGTGATGGGAGCTGCCAAGAGAAATTCATGGGTTCAACAGGGTCGCAGGAGGGTTCCGCTGGCACTCACCTTGAGCAGCATTGCCCTGCCAGTCACGATCCACGCGTACCGTGTCCAGCAGCCAGTCGCTGATGTTGCAGCCATTGAGTAGCTGCCCCGTCAACAGGAGACGCTCCGCCAGCAGTTGTTCCATTTGAATGGGCGCAGCAAAGTGCACGGGTGTCTCCACCTCCTGCTGCTGCTGCTGCTGTCCATCGATGAAGATTAGCTGACTGAGCAGCTGCTCGAGGTCGAGTCCGTTGAGCCGTTGGATGTGCGCTCCCTCGGGCATGCTTACGCGTCCCGTAAACAACTTGTGGCCATCGATGCGGATGTGCGACTGCTGCTTGAATATTAATTGCTCAAAGAGCTGCTGCAGCGGCTCCTCGTTGAGGTTCCCGAGATGCCCGAGCACTGTGAGATCGTCCAGCGGCCTAGAGGCACCGCCAGGCAGCAGAGCCACGCGGCCGCGCTGCACAAAGGCCTGCCATTGGGTGTCCCAGTGCAGGAGCTGCTCCAGCTGTGCCAGGGCCAGCGGATCGTTGTTCAACGCGCCCTGAAGCTGCACATTGGCCGCTTGGAGGCGGCCCTGCAGACGCACATTGCCTGAGAGATTAAGGGGCTGCCGCCTGTTGGCCAGCCGCTCGAAGGGCACACCGTTGAGCGCCTGCAAATGCAGTTCATCGAGGACGCGCAGCGGCGCAGTGAAGCTTTTTGTGCCCTCAATGATGACATCCCCGGCGCTGTCGCTGTCCGAGCGGAAGACAATGTCGGCGAGCAGCTCGGGCAGCAGTCGCTCGTTGAAGCTGCCGAGGATATGCAGATCGCTGGCGAACACAGGCGGCTGCTGGAGCTGCCAGCGTGTGCGCATCTCGTTGCTGCGATCCAGCCAGATGACCTCCCGCTGCAGCTGCTCCAGGTCTCGTGTGTTGAGCGCACCTTCGACCTGCACCGAGCCACTGACGGCAATCCGTGCCACCTGCAGCTGTCCCTGCAGTATCAGCAGCGGCAGCTCGTCCAGCTGCTGCAGAAAGTCGAGCAGCACCTCCGCGCGTATGCCCTGCAGCTCTTGTGCCTGCACACCGTGCGGCAGTATCAATTCCTGTACGTGCACCTCGCCCGACCAGCTGTGCGGCTCCTGCTGCAGCAACTCGCCGAGTCGTTGGCCATTGAGCAGCCCCAAGCCACGCACTTCACCGCCAACCTGCGCCTGTGCGGCCTCCAGTCGCTGGAATCCCGCACGTTGCAGGTGCAGCGGTTCGCGCAGCGTCTGATAGCCACTGGCCAGTGGCACCTGATTGAGGCTGTGCTCCAGCCGCAGTCCACCAGCCAAGACGGGCGCTGGACCCTCGAAGCGCAGACGAGTGCCGCGCGAACTGAGCGCAGCTCCATCCAGCCTCAGGGCTTCCCCCAGCAGCTGCTCCAGCTGCACCCCATCGTAGCTGGCGCCTGGTGGCAGCTGCAACCGATGGAAGTACACGTATGCCGGCAGCTGCGTCAAATTGCGGAGCATCTGCGCTGTGTGTTTCGTCACGAAGTGCTCCAAGGGTATGCCGCTCAGCTTGGAGTCCGCCACATGGGTGTCCACTGGCAGCTGCAGCTGCCCCACAATGCGCTTGGCACCCGCAACCAGCAGCTCCTCGCTGGGATCGGCCGAACGCTGCAGCAGATCCCCCAGCAGCGCGTCGTAGCTGTCGTTGTCCAGTTGGCCACGCAAATGGAGCGCACCCTGGACGTGCAGCTGCATGAAATGGCAGTCGGCGGTGCGGATGTGATGCGTCTCCAGCAGTGTGGGATTCAGTGGCGCCTCCTCGAACTGCCTGCCTTGGGCGCTGCCATTTAGCTCGAGTTCCTCGGACACCTCCAGCTGGGAGAAGGTCACCAGACCGGGCCAGTCCTGTGCATCGCTGAGCGTGATGGCATCCTCCGGTCTCATCTCATTGATGGTTCCAGTCGTGTCCACAACATTGGCAGCTGCAAAAAGCAAATCGAATGAGCAGAGAGACGTTTGGGTTGGGGGTTTATATCTACCGAGGGTCTGGGTGAACTCCTTGGGCGCGTGGACAACGCTGGTGCCGTTGCCCTGTGACCACAGATAATCCTCGGGGAAACGCAACTCATTCAGCGAGCTCAGATGCAGCGCCTCTTCGAATATGACAGCCTGAGGATGGAACCCAAAATGAGGGTAAGAGAATCAAAAAAGAAAGTCTAAAGGGCCGCCACTTACGCCCTGCACATGCAGCTGGGAGAGCTGCAGTGGCCGATGACGCCACACCAGATCCTGCAGCAGTTGGCTCCAGCCCAGGCCATTGATGGTCTCGCATGACAGACTCCCCTCCAGCTGCAGGCGCTCATGGGACTCGGCGTGCAGCGGCTGCGTGGGCAGTTGCAGCAGCTCCAGGCGCTGCACATTGAGCGTGCCAGCGGGCAGCAGCAGCGACTTATTCTGCACGTAGAATGGCGCATGGTTCAGCTGCTCCAGGAGGAGCACATCCGCCTCGCAGCTGTCCACCTCCAGGTGATCGTAGTGGAAGTTGTACAGCGTTTCGGGCTGTCGTTTAGCGCGGTGCATGCTGGCTGATGCTGCTCCACCTCCGGCCTGCAACTCCTGCTCGAGCTGGCGTATCTGCTGCAGCAGCTGGCGCAGATCGATGGCCGCATCCTCGGCCGTCCAGCGGGCATCGTTGACAAACAGTTCCTCTATTTCGCCAGCCTCGTTGATCAACTGCGGCGTGTGGATCTCCTCAAACTCCTCCTCCATGGGCGGGGGGGCGCTCAGTTGCGCTTCGACCAGGCGGATGATGGCGTCCTGCTCCTCCACCCACTGCCGCATGAACTCGTGTATCTCCTGCAGATCCTTGGTCTCGGAGTTCCGTGGCAGCAGCTTCGTCTGCAGGCGAAAGAGCCCCGACGGTGCCTCCAGGCGGGGCACCAGCAGCAGCGGTGGCTGATCCTGCTGCCGGATCAACGCTGCACCAATCAGGCCCGCCTCCCGCTCATGGTCGAGCATGCAGCCGGCGCCGTGTGTGATGTGATTCGGCTGACTGGCAATGCCGCAGGGCGGCGGCAATCCCGCCTCGAAGGCCTCCCCCGTCCAGATGAGCACCTCCAGCACCAGCAGCGAGTGCGTGTCGAAGGCGACGCGATGCTGCACGAGCAGCAGCAGATCATCCCGATAGCTGCGCACAGCCACGGGCAGAAAGAGCTCCACGAAGCCAAAATTCTGACCCAGAATCGTCCGCGGCAGGAGCTGGCCCTGCACATGGGCCAGAATCTGGGGCCGCTGTCCGCCCAGCGCCAGGTAGCTGCGTCCACCCATTTGGAAGGCGGCAATGGCCGCCACCTGTGGCGCTGGCACTCGCTGGTGCAGCTGCAGCTGCAGTCCCGCCTCCCCAAGCGGACGTTCGCGCGGATTGTAGGCATAGATGAGGGCGACGTCCGTCTGGCCAACGGCCAGCAGCAGCTCCCGGCCAGTGTCCAGCACGGCCATGGCTGTTATCGCCTCGGGCAGCTGCAGGCGCTGAGCGATCCAGAACTCCTCCGCCTCCAGGTCGTAGGAGTAGACGCTCAGCGTGCGATTGCCGGTGAGGACTATGAAGTCGCGTCCGTCCAGGCTGAAGGTCGCTAGCTTAGAGGCCTGGCTGCCCAGGGGCCAGTGCCAGAAGGGCATCAGGCCACGGCCCGGCTCCAGGCGATGCCAGAGCAGCTGCTGCTGTGTGGCGACCACCAGGAGACCCTCCTGCAGCTGGGTGTGGCTGCTCCAGCGCTCGAGGCTGAGCATCGCGTCAATGGGTGCCACCAGCGGCACCGTCTGCAGCGGCGAAAAGTCTCCGTTGAGCACCAGTAGGTCCTTCGGCTGCAGGCCCACGAGGTAGGCGCTGCCATTGGCCTGCACGGACACCCATTGGCCCACATCCGAGCCGAGGGTGAACTGTGTGTCCTCCACGATGCCGCTGAGCACTAGCAGGTCGCGGGTGCGACGCTTGGACAGCTCGAGGCGCTGCAGCTGCTCGAGGTCTATGCCGGGCGTGTTCACACTCGATTGCACCACATTGGGCTGCCCGTCCACGGGCGCCTGGCTGGCGCCAAGCATCTCCTGGCGCGCCTCACCCAAGCTGGAGCCCACCTGGGCATTGCCTGCCGCCTTGACAGCCGCATCTAGCTGCAGCACTTCTTTGGTATGGCCCTGCTGGGCCACAGCCTTCTGGATCTCTTCGCGAAGGGCTGCAGCGCTCCTCAGGGCCGCCTCATCCACAATCACTTTGCTGGCCGTGGCGGGGCCTTGTGCCTGCTTAGTCCACACTGGCTGTGTGATGACTCCTGGCTGTAGCAGGAAAAGATCACAGATTAAGAGTGTACTTAATGCCACGCCACGCCACTTACCGGTCCCGCATCGCTGGCCTCCAAGGCTTGGCTCAGCTCGCTGCGCAGTTTGGCAATTTCCGCCTTTTTATCCGCTGACTGGCACCATCCGATGTGAACGGGCCAGAGGCAGAGCAGCCCGAAGGCAATTAGTAGTTTCATTTTCCACAAAAAATACACTAAATAACGGACAATTAACTAATGAAACAAGAACGGCAAGTGCAAAACACGTGAAAAATTCTTTGAAATTTACCGTTTAGTGCGGGCTACCAGATCAGCTGCAGGCGGGCGAAGGGCTGCCAGATCACTTTCAATCGTTGCCATTTCCGCTGTACATTTACAAAATGAGAAAGTATATTTCGGTATATGTTGCTGGTCAGCTGGTATATTTTGTCAAAGTACCCACGGTCGCACTGGCAAAGAATGCCGAGTCATAATTAAAATAAAAAGTGCATGTAAAAACCGATCATTAAACGCTGTACAAGACGTTACAAGAAGTTAGTGATAATCATACAAGAAAGTAGCAGCAGCATCCAACATGACTGTGACCAACCGGGTAAGAATACTAAAGACAAACATGTCGATTTATTGTGATTTAATGTCGACTCAAATTTAGATGGAAATTGAGTCGGCCTACCAGAAAGGCGAAGGCTTCCGCTCGTATTATATACAAAAGATTGAGGAATTGCAGCTGGTTGTGGCCGAAAAGAGCCAGAATCTGCGCCGTTTGCAGGCCCAGCGCAACGAACTCAATGCCAAAGGTAAATGCAAAGCGAAACAAATGCAAAACGAAACTTCCCTCCAATCGATTTTCCCTTCTTTGCAGTTCGCATGCTGCGCGAGGAGCTGCAACTGCTGCAGGAGCAGGGCAGCTATGTGGGCGAGGTGGTAAAGCCCATGGACAAGAAGAAGGTGCTGGTTAAGGTGCATCCCGAGGGCAAGTTCGTTGTGGACCTGGACAAGAACATTGACATCAACGATGTGACGCCCAATTGCCGTGTGGCCCTGCGCAACGAGAGCTACACACTGCACAAGATTCTGCCCAACAAAGTGGACCCACTGGTCTCGCTGATGATGGTCGAGAAGGTGCCGGACTCCACCTACGAAATGGTCGGTGGCCTGGACAAGCAGATCAAGGAAATCAAAGAGGTTATCGAACTGCCCGTCAAGCATCCCGAGCTTTTCGATGCTCTGGGCATTGCCCAGCCCAAGGGTGTGCTCCTGTACGGCCCACCCGGTACTGGCAAGACCCTGCTGGCCCGTGCCGTGGCCCATCACACCGAGTGCACCTTCATTCGTGTCTCGGGCTCCGAGCTGGTGCAGAAGTTCATCGGCGAGGGGTCGCGCATGGTGCGCGAGCTGTTCGTGATGGCCCGCGAGCACGCGCCATCGATCATCTTCATGGACGAAATCGACTCGATTGGCTCCTCGCGCATTGAGTCCGGCTCGGGCGGCGACTCCGAGGTGCAGCGCACCATGCTGGAGCTGCTCAACCAGCTGGACGGCTTCGAGGCCACCAAGAACATCAAAGTCATCATGGCCACCAATCGCATTGACATCCTCGACCCGGCCCTGCTGCGTCCCGGTCGCATTGATCGCAAGATTGAGTTCCCACCACCAAACGAGGAGGCTCGCTTGGACATTCTCAAGATTCACTCGCGCAAAATGAACCTAACGCGCGGCATCAACCTGCGCAAGATTGCCGAACTGATGCCTGGCGCCTCAGGGGCTGAGGTTAAGGGCGTGTGCACCGAGGCTGGCATGTACGCGCTGCGCGAGCGTCGCGTCCACGTCACCCAGGAGGACTTTGAGATGGCCGTGGCCAAGGTGATGCAAAAGGACTCCGAGAAGAACATGTCCATCAAGAAGCTGTGGAAGTAGTGCGTAAAATTAGTTTTCCCTCCCCTTTTTTTTCCCCATTAAACGTCAGCCCGTAGTTGGCGATTATTCTTCACATTTATTGATTGTATTTGTATTTCTGCTTATTGTTGAGTGGTGGATGCTGGACTGCTGCGTGGACTCAGTTGGCCGCCTGGCGTTGCTGCTCTTCGGCTTTGAGCATGTTGAAAATCTCCTTAGAGTCGGCCACATCGAAGCAGGAATTGCCATCGTTGTCGTTCAGCTCCAGACTGGCCTTGAGCTTCAGGAGCGTGCGCACACCCTCGACGTGGCCACAGCTGGCGGCATAGTGCAGCGGTGTCTGCAGCTCCAAGTCCAGCTCGTTCACGCTGGCGCCCATCGACGACACCAGAAAGTCAATGATGTCCACGGCATTGCGATCGGTGGCCCAGTGAATGAGGGCCATGCCGTTGTCATCCTTTGCATTGGCATCGCTCGCCTTCATCTTGTGGCGCAGGGCGGACAGATTCTTCTCCTTGACCAGATCGAAGAGGGTCTTCTTGTGCTCGGGCATCAGCTCCTCCTCTGGCATCAGTTCGATGGAGTGAACGGCCCAGCTGCTGCCCTTCGACTTGCCGCACTCCTCCCTCCAGTTGGGATTGAGTTGCTGCAGCTTCTCGATGTACGCACGCTGGGCATCGGCCTGGGACATGTCGCCCAGTGCCTTCCAGGCGTTCCACTTGCTGCGCGCCTGCATTTGTAGGATGGAGGGGCATGGCTGATTGCAGCCACCCTCGGCGGCTTGTTTGTAGTACGCGTAGAAGTCCAGCAGATCGGATTTCTTCAACTTATCCGCCTGCCCACTCACATAGTTGGTGGCCAGCTCGAAGCTGCTCTGCTGCTGCTCCTCTTCGTCGAACAGATCCGAATCTAGATCCATGATGATTATTGAATTGAATTTGTTTTGCTCTTATCAGTTAATTTAAGTTGCTTTAGTTGCTTATAGCTACTGTTTTGGTTTGGGGGCGAATGCAAATTGCGAATGGAAGTGGGGAAAAAAATGCTTTAGCGTCGCCGCCTTGTTGGTTGTCGCAGCCTGGCACTGTCTACGACTTTTGTATGTTGAGGTAATGCCCCTCCAGTATGTGCTTTTGTTCGTTTTCGATTTTCTCTAGAGCTGTCAGGCTGTTGAAGCTGACAAAGCCGTAGCCTTTGGAGCAGCCCGTCTTCTTGTCAAAGATGACGTTTGCCGATAGGACACGACCGAATTCCTTGAAATAGCCACGCAGCTCCTGATGGCCCACTGTCCAGGGTAAGTTGCCCACGAATATGCGGTGCACCGATTTTCCAACTTTTGCTACTGCGGTGGCCATGTGTGCGACTGCGAAAGCAACAATTTTCAATTTTGATGTTTTAGTTGATGATCTTGGGGCCGCAGGGCCGCTCCTTACCAGCTGTGTTTTTCCCGTTGTTTCCGGTTGCGTAAATACTTGTTGTTGTTACCAGTGTGACCGCGGGTGTATCTGAGACGTAAACCGCATTACCCTCACAAATAGACCTCAATATACTTTCGCATTGTCAAAATATACCGTAAATATACCATACATTTTAAATCATTTTCCTCGATTTTGATATTCTGATTCATATTACCAGCTAATTATGACTTTCAGCACGAAACCTATATTTTTGTTCGATTTATCAATCAATTATTCACAATATTGGCTAGTTTTCATGACATCTTTTCATTGCACTGTTTTCGAAATATGGGTTAATAGTAAATACAACATAAATTAGCATAAAACGTGTGAATGTAACGTAAGGGTTACGTCACTTGACTACTTGTTGCTGGTCAACCGGCAGTATTTATGAATGTTCATATTCCGTTTTCCAAGCTTTTAAACATAAAACTGGAAAGAGTTTCACACTTTACGCCCTTATGGCACATTTTAATGCCTAACAGCACTGTTGAAGAGTGCTGCCTTTTGCCAGTTGCCAATGTTCCTCCACTCTTGATGCTTTCCATGATGGATCCTGGGACACTGATGGATACTGTACACAGATGTAGTCTCGTGTAGAAAAAACGACAAGGACATGTCAGTGTATTTTTAATGCTTAATAATTCCAAAAAGGGCTTTAATAAACTTTTCAATGACGCTTATACGTAAAAACTTGCATATATTTACATATATATAACCACACAAACATCATCATATCATTTTGGATCTTCATATATTTTCCCTATCTGTTACAAGGATAAAAAAAAAACACAACATAATTTAATTAATGAAAAAATTCGTTAATGTGTCACAGCACCACCATTTTGTTGTTGTTGTTGTTGATGATAATTTTAGAAGATTTTCTCTCTTACGTTCTCTGATCCTCATAGACTACTACACACTAGGGCTAGGTCTAGGTCTAGGTCTAGGGCTAGTTCTAGGGCTAGTTCTAGGCTAGATCCCACCTGCTACCAAAGGCGATGCAGATGCAGATTACGCGACAGCACCGATCGCACATCGTTGGTAAAGCGCAGTGCGTCCAGCATGGGCAGCAGCGACAACAGTGCCGTGTCCATGGGATCCGAGAACCAACTCTTGATGGGTATGGCATTATTGGGGAAGCAGCGGTACGCTCCCGGGGAATTGTCAATTATAAATATCTGCAAATAACAACAAAGAAATCAGTAAGTCTGTTGACCAAAAGTGTATGTGGGATGCTGCTCCTTTTACCCTATTCAAGTCACTGCATATGGCAGACAAGTCTTTGGTATACGATCCATAATCGGGCGTACAGTGTTGTCTGTAGTAGCGCCTCCGTAATATGTTCCGACCATTGTCCAGCTTGTCCGCGACAGCAGCTCCATATATCTCCATGCTGGCGGTAAATACCACCAGATCGTACCACTGTGAGACCTGCAAATGGATGATAAATTGCATTAGCATTGGGTATGGAAAAGGAAATGGATGGGTCCACTTACCACATCCAAAAAGTAGTCCACATGCGGTCTTTTGTGCACAAAGAAGCGCACTGGATTCCGATCGATGGTCACCTTGACGGTGAAGTCATGCGGTGTGCCCGGCTTCACTGTGTTCCTGGGCATCGCATTGTGATGTGAGTGTATCAGCGTTTCGTCCAGATCCAGGACCAGCGTTTTTCGCTGCACCAGACTGAGGCGATGCCGCGACACCGGTGACAGCGGGAACAGTTCATATTTAACCGGTTGATACTGGATAAACTAAACAAGTTAATCACAATCAACTCTGAATCGATAATTTTAAATGTCGATATTTACAGTACTAAGAGAGAGAGAGAGAGAGAGATGGGAGTGTGGGAGTGTGAGTGGGTGGGAGCAAGGGTGCAAGGGTGAGGCATGCCGAAGGTCAGTTCATAAAGCAACTATATAAGGAGGCCTTGTCGGTGGCAGAGTTACTCGCTGCGTTACCCAATTCTCAGTGCACGTTTGCTTGTCGACGCGGAAGGTTGGTAGCCTACATTTTTTTTCAATATATTTTTAAATGTTTATTTTTTCAGAACACAGGCTACTATTATGTAGCAAACTATTACAAATTAAACTATGAAACAATTATTATGTTTTTTCACATTGCCTTCAAATGATTAATCAGCACACTCCATTGTCGTTGCCCTCACACTTACAGCGAGAGCCCTTCCACTCGCACTTTTCACTCGCACCAGCCCATAATTTTTTCCGACGAGACCTCCTTATAAAGTTGCTTTATGGGTCAGTTCTTCTTGCAAAGTCATGATGAATCCGTTTTGGATTGATAAGGCAAGCCTCGAGTGCAGTGCCCCACACAAAATATTGATAAAGGGTTGCGATTGGAATTGGGGTGGCGGCGTATGGGTACACCTTAGCGATCCTTCACTGTGCACGGGCCAGCTCGGTCTTATCAACTTCCAGTGGCATTTATTGTAGCTATTTCATGTGTGTGTGTGGATCGGGTTAGTGGGAATTGATTGGTGGGGCTGGGGTGTTGGGGGGTCTTTAAACTATTAGTTTTTTTCTTGCTTTTTTGGGGTAATACTTACAGCTCGCACATGGCGATTGAACATGAAACAAATGCATGTCCAGACTTTTGATAGCAGCAACAAAAGTGCACGGAATTTCATTTGCAGAAGGGAAATCATTTGGTAAGAAGGTTCCGTCCGGTATCGTCTTCTTACCAAATTTCTATGTCTACTAATTTTTCTGAGTAGAATCTTGAATGAATGGGTGAACGCACTGCTGCAATCGACCGACAGCTCGACCCGACCGATGACCGATGTTGACGATGTTGGGGATGGAGTTATGCCGCTTCGGTCTTTTGCATTTGTTGGAAAGGGAGAGGGAGCGAGGAAGAGAGATCGCTTCGGTGTGTACTGTTTTTTTTTTTTTCGGTTTTATGTGATGTTCTTCTGCTGCTGCTGCTGCTACTGCTGCTGCTCCGTTCTCGCTTTCACTTCTGCCTTCAAAATAAGTCTAAAATATTGCCGGCTAATATTTCTTCGAGGGTTCCTTTAGCTTTTAGTACTATTGTTTTGTTGCTTCTATTGTGATAACACGCCGCCTTTGATTTTTGTTGTTATGCCGAACAAACACACACACACACGCACGTACTATGCACACACGCGTGAAAAACACCGTAGTAGAAAATCGATAACAAGATACCGCCGCCTGGTGTCGCGTTCCACTCTCACACTCAACCAACGGGTGGGGAGGCACGGAAATCGCTATAACAGAATCCGAAACAGAGTTTCCTTATTTTATTTTAGCGCGCTTTTTGTCGCCTCTATTTGTTGCCTTGCTCCGATAGGGCGCTGATCTGGCATATCTTTTGGGTTCTCTGTTTCTGCCTACTGGCTGGGACTGGGCAACATACAGCAGGGCACAGCACAGTGTACAGAAATCGGGAGATTTTCTATTGAGCAACAATTTTGGAGGATTGCTTGCATATAATTATTGCACTTTGATTTGATTTATTTGAACCCTTGAGTGATGTGTTGTGTGCGGTTTTTCGGTTGGATAATCTCGCGGCTGCCGAGGGTTCCTCATAACTGTTTTGGGTTGCTCTTTAAATTATATAAATATAGTTTGTCAGCGCTTTTTTTGAAATTTATTTTTCAGCGTTTTTGTTTGATAAACTCTCACACTGATGTACACATGCAGACACGCGCGCACACACACACAGAGTTTGGCCAAAAGCCAGCCAACAAAATATAATTGTGAAAAAATAGTGTATGAGGAGGACCGTCCGTGGAGTGGAGGAGTGGAGTACTATGCTATCGATAGGCCCCGTTTGTTTGATTGCCGGCTGCAAAATTGGTTGTTACCGTTGTTTAGCGTTTTTGATATATTTATCACATAAAGTTGCTACAATTTGCGAATATCCTCAATTAAAAACTACAATACTAGCATTATGGTTATTTATTAATAGTATGTAGTGTGGCCCTGAGCGAAGGCCTGCAAAATGATTTGTGCATCGTTGGCAGCACATGCGTACGAGAGCGCCATATTGATGGAGGCTATACAAGAACAGATCCGCCCGTCATGCACTGCCAAATAATTAAATGCAATTTTGAACACTGCCGCGCTGTTTATATGTCCATCAACATATTAAGCGATTAATATTCGAATAAATGCTAGCCAAAAGTAGTGCTTTTGCGATATTTCATATATTTTCAATGTGAATACATTATATGCCTTGATTACGTCATGCAACACTGCGGCGCACGGCATCAAGCGCCGTCTGCACGTGTATGAATGACGGCCAACCGATTAATCGCTTCGAGCAGCCGCCTGGTGTAATCGTTTTAAGCGTCGTTCTGTGCAAATTGCAAAAAGTGTAAGAAAAAGAGAAAAATATGCAGACTTTGCCCAAAACCATTTGAATGCCAATTGTGCCAACGTTCAATATTCAGACGACAACCCAAAGCCAAGGGGCAGGTGCAAAGTGCTCGAGGATTTAAACAAATTATTTTTCGTGTCTCCTGCGTGTGTTAATGTGTGTTGCGGCGCGTGGGTGAGTGTGTGTGAGCGAGCGTGCCAGTGTGCGTGTGTGTCAGTGTAAAAAAAAAGCCGCACACTGCAAAAAAAGGAAAATTTTCCTTTTTCTCGCATTTGGCAACTGAATAACCGTCGAAAGGTGCGCCCCCCCAACCCCGTGGCGAACCGACGAATCGGTTTTATATATTTTTTTGCCCCAACCGGTTTAGAATAACCGCTAAAATTGTGGAAAAACAGGAGAAAACTCCCAAGCGGAAGAAGAAGACTGCAGCCAGTAAAATGTCTGCAGTTTACTCGCCGCAGCCGCCGCAGCAGCAACAGCAGCCGCCTCCCCCACCACAGCAGCAGCAGCAGCAACCGCCCCCCAATGCCATGTCCATGCAGCAGCAACAGCAGCAGCAACAACAACAGCAGCCACCCGGCGTCGGTGGTGGCGGCGGCGGTGGCAGCGTCCTCGGCTCCCAGGGCGGGCTGCTGCCCATGGGGCTGCAGCAGCAGCAGCGTATCACCGGTGTGCCGCCAATGGGGATGCCCGGCTCCCCCGGCAGCATCATCACCGGTGTGGGTGGTGGACCCGGCGGTGTCGGTGGTTGCGGCAACATGATGGGTGTCAACCCAACATCGACTCAACGCGGCGGCGGTGGTGTCGTCGGTGGTCCGCCGCAGGTCAACTCAGCGCAAATCCAGAAGATGCTCGACGATAACTGCGGCCTCATCCAGACGATCCAGGACTTCCAGAGCATGGGCAAGGCGCAGGAGTGCATGTCCTACCACGTGGCCCTGCACAGGAATCTGGTATATCTGGCCCAGCTGGCGGATCCTGCAATGAATATCTCCCAGATATTGCCGGTGAGTGCTGACCCCAAAGGCAGGTGGCTCGGACTTTTCTAATCATTTAATTCTCTCTGCTACACACACACACACACACAGCCGCCACACATACTGCAGACACAGGCGATGCAGCAGGGCAACCAGCAGACTCCGGGTGTTCCCACCGGTCCTCACGGTATGCTGGGTGGCCTCCCACCGCCCCAACAACAGCAGCAGCAACAGCCACAGCAGCCCGGCGGTCCCGGCCAGGGCCAGCCCCAGCAGCCGGGCGGGCCACCGCAAATGGGTGGCATGCAGCAGCATGGCAGCGAGCCCGGCGTCCAGATGACACCCTATGGCGCCCAGCAACAGCAGCAGCCGCCCCATCCCGGCATGCCGCCCAATCCTCAGCAGCAATCTCAGCAACAGCAGCAGCAGCAGCAACAACAGCAGCAGGCAGCGGCCGCAGCGGCGGCGGCAGCAGCTGCAGCAGCGGCAGCCGCTGGCCAACAGGTGACGCAAGTGAGCCAAGCCGGGCCGCTGGTCCAGCAGCAGCAGCAGCATCCATCGGCGATCTACCGCAACGCACAGGGCGGGGGACAGCCGGGACAGGGACCGGCACAGCAATCGATTCTACCCAGTAAGTGTAAAGTATCCGCCGAGCCAGTGGAGATTCGAATAGCTTCAATCGCTGATCCTCGATATCCTCCTCCTTATCCTTCTTGCAGATCAACAGCAACAGCAGCGGCCCAACAATGGCCCGCTAGCAGGACCCGGCCAGAACCAACAGCCACCACAGCAGCAGCAGCAACAGCAGCCGCAGCAGGGCGCCCAGCAGCAGCAGCCGCCCAATCAGCAGCAGCAGCAGCCCCAACAACAGCAGGGTCCGCAGCAGGGCGGACCGGGTGGTGTGCCGCCACCACAGACACCGTACCGCGTGAGCTATCAGCAGCAGCAGCAGCAGCACGGACACTATCCCGGATATCCGCCGCAAACGCAGCCGCAGTATCAGCCGCAGGGCGCCTATCCCTATGGTCCGCCGACGCAGGGCTATGGGCCACCGCCGCCGGGTCCACCGAATGCAGCGCAGGCTGGCTACCATCATGGCGGAGCTGGCGCAGGAGCCGGAGGACATGGCGGCTATCAGCCCAATACTGGCGGACCCGGACAGCAGGCACCGCCACCGGGCGTCTATGCACCACCGCCAGGCAGCCAGCAGGGCGTGCCGCCTGGGCAACAGCCACCGCCGCCGCCAGGACAAATGTATGGACCGCCGCCTGGCACCGCTGGCGGTCAGCAGGTGGGTGCGCCGGGTGGACCGCCTGGACCACCGCAAAGCGTCAGTCAGTATGGTCCGCCGCCGCCGCAAAACTCTACGGGTGGTCCGCCGCCCATGAGCTATGCCGGGTATCCCCCGAATCCCAATCAGTACGGTCAGGCAGGAGCAGGTGGAGCACCCCCAGGCGGTGGCTACGGGCCACCACCTCCGCCCAACAGCAGCGGACAGTCGCCGTATCAGGCCTACCAGCAGCAACAACAACAACAACAGCAGCAGCAGCAGGCGGTGGGTGCTGGCGGCGCACCGCCGGGCAGCAGTTATCCGGGCGGACCGCCAACGAGTGTGGTGTCCGGTGGTCCGCCACCACCACCCGGTGGCTACAGCACAACGGCGCCCAGCCAAACGCCGCCGCCGCAGGGACCCCAGCAGCAGCAGCAACAACAGCCGGGCGGCGGCGGAGCGGGCTCCAATCCGAATGGGCCCAATGCCCAGCAGCAGTCGACGCCGCCGCCATCGGGAGGAGTGGGTGGCAATCCGCAGCAGCAGCAGCAAGTGCCGGGCGGTGGGGCTGGAGGGGCAGGCTCTCAGCAGCAGCAGTACGCGCCTCCGCCGCCGCAACAGCAGCAGCAGCAGGTAGGGCCGGGTGGAGTGGTCGTCTCTGGTGTGGCACCGCTGCCCACACAGGTGCAACCCACATATTCGACGCCTGGCGGCGTCACAGGCTACGGGCCGCCGCAACCACAGCAGCAGCAGCAAGGGCCAGGAGGACCACCTACCTCCCAGCAGCAGCAGCAGCCACCACCTACCGGGGGTCCACCCAATCCCCAGGCCAGTGCCCAGCAACAGCAGCAACAACAGCAGCAGCAGCCGCCACCGAATGGTGCCACGCCGAATATGCCGCCGAATCAATATCAACCGGCTCCGGGTGCCCCACAGCCGTACGGAGGTCCGCCGCCACAGGCATACGGACCACCACCGCCGGGCAGTGCCTATCCAGGGCATGCGTACCATCAGCCACCGCAGGCGGGGGGTTATGCCCAATATCCGCCCACGCAGGGCTATCAGAGCTACAGGCCGGCTGGCGCACAAATGCCGCCACCCGGTGCACCCCAAGGACCGCCACCAACGGGGGCCTACGGCTACTACAGCAATCAGCCGCCGCAATGAGGCTGAGCAGAAGCGGTGGCAGACGGAAATCCACTCGAAAAAATGCTCATGATGAAATGGGATTCATGAAGGATAAAAGGCGGGACACACCGACAACCACGCCCAAAATGAAGACGATTCTTTTTGCATACAATTTAGAGATTTAAGCGGCTGATCGGGAGACAGTTATCTAAATAGATAAATATATATATATATATATATATATATAAATACGATTTGATATGTAATGCAGTAGTAAGGCAACTTTCTCCTCCTGTCCCTCCTTTGCTTCTCCCTGGCGAGAGAGTGAGCCTTGTACGGTCTTTTAGTTGTAAGTTCTCCCCTCTATATAGTAGTAGTAGATGTGTTTTCTTAACCATAAGAATTAGCTATTTAAACTAATTTTTTTGTCGAGTCCGTAGTAGTAGCCACACAGTGTGAAAGAGAGAGAGAGCAGATAGATAGAGATGTCTGTTCATGCATGCATATTTCACTTATATATATTTGTATTTTATTTTATTGTTTTGATATGATTTGATTCTAGCATGGGCCTCGCTCCTGCCCGTTTCCCTCGTTTTCATTGTTCTTTGCGCGTACTATAGGATAAGCAGCTCTACCCTTACACCCCGTAAAATTACTATTTAAAAGCAGATATTATAAATAATACAATTAACTATATTTCACAATAATATACAAGAAATTCAAGAAAAACTAAAGCGAGAGAGCGGGAGAATTCCATTGATGCCTCTACACTAATGGCTGGCACAGTACGGAACAATTAATTTATATTATAAAAAAACATTCAACAAGGAAAAGGAGAAGAACATAAAAACTTAAAGCTAAATAGCACAACTCTGGAAATATAGAAATTTTTGTACTTTTTTTCGTTTTACATTTTTTTTTTATAGTTAATGAATATAGTGGAATACAGTGGACACTCCATAGGTGGACTTAAGACTCTTATAAAGTTTGATAATAATTAATACGATGGATCTGATATTGGATGCTTGACTTCTATTTAAATAATTATTCAATTAATGCGTTTTATTGCCTAAAAACACACACACACAAAAATGAGTTCCAAAATATAATTAGCATTTAGCATTAAAAACAAAAAAATATTTATTTAGCTAACGGAAGGGAAACAACTACAAATAAAACAAACGACAAAGTTATTGGTCTTTAAGAAAGAAGAAAGAAAACATATTTTGGTCTTAAGAGATTTCGATTCTAGCTATAAGTACGTGCTCCACTGTAGTAGTGATCCTCTCTCCTCCCGTGAACCCTTGCAAAGTGTACAATTAGAAGAAACAAATTCCATTTAGAACTCTTGTAAAGATCTTGTAATTTTGTGGAACGGCGAGAGTTTCTGTATCTCGCTCTGAAGCAGGTCCCACGACTATTGCTGATCTGCTCTAATCCGCTCGAAAATCTCAAATGATCCCCACAGACCCTGGCCCGATACCCCCTTCCACCCCACAGACATCGAGAAAATATATAGGAGATACGAGTATATCAAATAGCATTTAGAAATTTCTATTTTCAAAATGCAAAATAAGAAATACAAAAAAAAAAACAAAATAATAAAAAAATTGAAAAAAAAAAAATGAAATACAATAAACTTGCAAAATGTTTTTAATTTATTCTTAAGAATTGCTAGAAAATAAATTAATTTTTGTAGGTATGTTTTTTTAAGTATTCCTTGAGGGCTGCGTAATAAAGAGAGGAATATAAAATATTCTAGAAATCGAAAGTTATTTTTTAGCTCTGCGAAAATGTATACATATATTTAGAAAATTTTGAGGGGATTCTAATTTTTCTTAATTGATTAATTTGTTCACTCCATGAAGTAAAAGTAAAAAACGAAAGTGTAACGTTAAAAAAAAAATGGTTCCAGCTTGTTTTTAATATTACAATGACTTGACAATGTTTCTAAGAGTTTTTTTGGGTTTAAGCCATTGAAACCATCCCAAAACCTTAGTTCAGAAAATAGGGAAGTGAGGCGCAGAGCGTAGATTCGTGAGGTAAGGCCGCTCTAAATATTCTTATGACAAAAAAGGCAACGGGAATATACATTTTAACAGAGCAGACTTTTTTGGTATGCTTTTGAAAACTTGAAAAGTATTTTCTGTCTTTATGCGTCAGCACTGACAAAGTAGAAAAACAAATTTCTCAACACTGAAACTGTTTTTAACTTTTGCCGCCAGAAATTCCTCAACTTTCTCAGCAAAAATACGAAAAGTACGGCAGTTGATCAAACATTGTTGCAAGATCTTAATATTTCTTTAGTTACAGACGAACATGAATGGTGATTGGGGTTCGTATCGGTATCAAAAGGCAGTCCTGAAAACGTGCCTGAAGGAGGTGATAAGGAGCGGAGACTACATCGTGGGCCACGAGCAGATAATGCAGGCCATTGAAGCGGGTAATGTGGGTATGGTGGTCGTCGCCTACCACGCGGAGGAACCGTACAAGTCCCAAATTCTTCTGGCCACCTTATCGAAGCACACTAAAGTTAGGGTCTTCCGAGGCACTCCCCAGGAATTGGGCGAAACATGCGGCATGGAGCATCTCAATTCCATAGTCGTACTCGATGATGTTATAAACGACATAATAAGCAACTTGGGTGGGAATTGAGTTACTACAAGCACAACTTAAGGCTCAACCATAAGAAAACTCGTCGAATTCCAGTGATATACGCAAGCCAAATCATTTTTCCTATGGAAATCAAACAAAAATTTACACACAGAACATTCACAAATTAATTGGCAAGAATGATTGTTGACTGTTACTGCCTTAAATACATTCATTCGATGCCTAGCTTTGGCTTTTCATCTTTTCATGTCGTTGTGTTCTGTTTCCTGCAACCATCGTCTAGCCAACACTGCTTAACTGCAGCTTCAGTGCACTTTATAAAGCGGCTGCACTTCCAGCAGCAGCGGCCGCATGGCTGCATGTGTACGTGAGAAGCATAACATCTCTTTCCGCACACACACACACACACACTTACAGTATACATAGCATAAACGATATTTGCACTGCTTGCTGAATGCTTCAGCGTGTACAAAAGCTTGCAGCATCACACAAACCCACACCCACGCTTAAATACTGCAAGTGCAGCCGCCTGCAAAACCGCTTATGCCGTTGCACAACACTGGTCCAAATTGTTTCAGTGCCAACGCCGGCGCACGTTAAAACTTTTAAAACACGTGAAATCCTTTATTTATAAGCGTTTTGCATTTATTGAAACATGATTATAAATATTTGTTGTTTTTTGGTTCTTTTAGAGTTGCGGAATAATGTCAATTGTTCTCTCTTGAATGTTTTAGGCTTTTTTGTTTGTTTTTAGTTTTAGTTTTGGTGGAGCTTATCACGACCCCAGAGTTCAGTGCGCGTATTCCTTGTCCTCTTTATCCTCCTTCTCCCTCTCCTTCTCCTCCTCCTCGTCGTTGTCATTTTCATTCTCATCCTGCTCCTCAGGCGGCAGGCATCCTGCTCCTTCAGGGACATCCGCTTCCCCCGCCGTTGGGAGCAACGGGCTGCCACGACTGAACAATTTCTCCTTGAGCTTCTTGAGGAAGTTGCGGGGTGCCGATGTCTGGCGCACCACCACAATCAGCTTGGTGGCCACACTGTGGATGGGGCCAAAGGCCAGGGCCACCACCGTGCAGGCCAGACAGATGACGTTGTAGGGCATGCTGAAGTCGGGCGTGGGCAGCGAGACGATCAGGGCTTCGGTGTGCAGGCCGAGCACATACGACGGACGGGTGGCGTTGAACGAGTGGGCAAAGAGATGGCCCTCCAGCGGCAGGGCCGAGTAGTTGGTGCCCATTGGCAGGGCGCTGGCGACGAGGGCCGCATTGATGTAGTGGCCGTGATTGGCATCGGGCGGATACTCGAGCCACTTGAGCACCAGATAGTCCACATCGATGGTGATGAGCGCCGAGCTCTGGCCGGGCAGCAGGAACCCAATCTCCAGGTGGGTGGGCAGCTCGCGCTGCTTGCCGGGTGCATAGTGGAGCAGCTTGAAGGGCAGCCTCTCGCTGCCGTACTCGTTCCGGCCCAACGGTCGCCGACGGATGTTGAGCGTATGCAGATACGCGTGCACATACCATGGAATGAGCTCCTGCACGAGAATGGGCAGCGGTGCGTAGTGCGAGTTGGTCACCTCCGTGACGATGCGTCCGTGCTCCTGTCCCTGACCCAGCAGATAGCGATGGGCGTAGATTGGCGGCGGTGCGGGCTTCTGGCGTTGGCGTCGCAGCTCGCCCTTGGGCGCCAGCCAGGCGATGTTGAAGAGCCGCTCGCCCTGGTCCTGGAACTGCTCCTGCATGTCGTACACCCCATAGACCACCGTGTAGCCGCCCCGTGTGGTCGTCTCTTCCGCGGGCGGCGGCGGCACCAGCTGGTAGCGGGCGCCCAGCTCGTTGCGCTGCACATAGATCTTGCTGGTGCTCGCCAGCTCGCAGTAGCCGTTGAGGCCCATGCCAAAGAGGCGGCGCAGCGAAAAGTCATTGCCGCTCTGCTCGAGCAGGCGCAGATCGTAGACGAGGTTCGCCGTCTGTGTCATCTCCAGTATGCAGTTGTCCTCGTCGTGATCCTGGCACAGGGTGCGCACCTTCAGGCCCAGCGAATGGTACTTGGTGTTGTGCACATAGCCGGAGTTGAGCAGCGAGGCGAATCCCGAGGCACTGCCGCATGGCAGCAGCTTCTTCCAGGGCGTCAGATTCTCCGTGCAGACAATCTCGCGCGGCAGCGAGGCGTAGCGCATGAAACTCTCCCGATTGGCAGGCATGAACTGGGGCCGCAGCAGATGCTTGGGCGCTATGCTGTTGGTGTTGTCCACAAAGTTTAGTGAGGCGCAGAGGACGCCCGAGAAGACGTTCGCCAGCTGGGCCCACTGCTTGTCCACCTGCTGGTCGGTGAGATTTGTAGCCTTGAACCAGGCCCACATCTCGGCACCGCTGGTGGCCTCAACGATGGGATAGCCCCAGGTCTCGTAGCGCCACAGGCCCTGCGTGAGGCCGATGTGCAGCTCCTTGACATCGAACTGCTGCAGCAGCTCGGCAATGACGCGGGGCGTCAGCTGTGTGTGGTAGACTAACAGATCCATGGCATGACTATAGAGCATGTATTTGGAAAGTCGGGGGCTACTCACGGTTCTCCTTCTGGCCATAGTGCCAGCGTGTGGTAAACTGAAAATATGTGTTTACATGGTCGCCGGATAGCGGACGGACAACGAGCTCCTCATGGAAGTGCTCGTCCTTGGGGGTTGTCTGGGCCACCGCAGTGGCAAGCAGGAGGGCGCCCACACACCACAGATGTGTGCAAGACATCTGAATCTCAATAAAAACTGCAAATGTTCAATTCAATTGCAATCTATTAAAATTGCGGCAAATGGGTGAAAGATAATACACAGGCGGCGCAGGGTTGATTAGATCTGTCGATATTTCGTGCACCGATATCAGGGCTGTTGTGTCCAGTAATCGACAGTGTAAATGCAAATGACCCACAAATAAACAATTTTTGAATGAAAATGCAGATATATATGGCTTTTTCTCGAGTATTTATTTACGCAATTAGTAGTGAGTTCAATAATATTGATTAAACTGATTAGTATAAGATCGAAGGCAAACAAATCTTGCATCAGAGTGGCCTTGGCTGCCATAACAAAATTGTCATAAATGTGCTCTAGAATAATTCGTCAACGAATCAGATCTACAGAAAATCCGAATCGGGATAGTGAAAAAAAAAAATAGTGAAAATTCATAAATTTAATACGTATTTTCAAAATAACCGCCGAGTTCGATACATAATACTGCTCCATAAGAGCAGGGAGGAACGCAAAAACGAGTACAAGCGCTCGAAAAGGTAAGGTAGGAACAAGCCGCAAAAACGACCCAGCAACATCAAACGGCACCCACGAGCCTGACCTCAGCAACAACATGCCATGATTGTTTTCATACAATCAAGGTATATGGCGTTTCAGGGTGAGTTTTGCCTCACATGCCTTCTACATCCGCGGCCGATTCGCCAGCGCGCCCCACCTCTGTTCTACCTTGCGGGCAACATGTTTCCCAGCAACAAAGAGGCGGCAGCCCGCCAGCGAAAACGGCCACATTGCCTGGCCGTCGCGTAAACGGTCCCACATAAATAAATCCAAAACAAAATCGAACGGTACGAGTCGCGGAAGACCGTTATCGTGTGTGCTTTGAAATTATTTTTGGTACAACTAAATTAACAATGAACAACGAGAAAAGAAGCAAATACGCAACAACCAAACATACACGATAATCCAAATAAATCGACGCCCGTCAGTAATTACCGGAGAAACGCAGCGAATTGTATGCAAAATGTTTGTAGGCAGCGTAAATGGATGGTGGTGGAGGGGGCGGCAGGGCACGAATTAAATGTTTATTTGAACATTCTTCGTAAAATGCAAACATTCCTGGGCGCACTGCAATGAAACGACTCTCCCCAGGCTGACTTGACACATTTTCCCCTCATGACGGCGTTTGGGAGATTTTCATTCTATTAACTTTTTGTTCATTTAAATGCGAATGTTCGCCACAAGATACATGTACATGTATGCCATACATATATGTACATATAAATATTAGTAATATTAGATATGAATCAAAGGCTGGGGAACAACAGAAATGACGAAACGTTCTTCTTTTCCCCCCCTTGGCTCGGTCGAAAAAGAAATTCGCGGAAGACACGACAACGGAAAGAAGGAAAGATTTTTACTCGCGTCCGTCGCGGTATACTTCAACTGTTTTTGAACTTTTATTGCGTGTTGCTCTTGCAGCCGGAGCGCCAAGCGACAAAGCCGCTGCCCGACGCGAGGGAGGGAGACCGATGCGAGAAACGTGTGTGCGAGAAAGAGAGAGAAGGCGGCCGCAGAGAGCATGCGCTCAAATGTTGCTTTGAGTGTGAGCGCGAGTGTGTGTGTGTGTGTGTGTCGAACTGCGACGTTGTTCCGCGCTTTTCGTTCGTGTGGTGTTCACCGCTGCCGCCGCCGCCGTAGACTCACACACTGAACGGCGCTGCTCTGCTCTGCCGTGGGCCCAATGCCATTGTGCTCTGCTCTCTCTGCGGCCATTTTCGCCGAGGTCTTGTCGCTGTGTCGCCGCAACAGAGGAGTCTTTCACCCCCTCCACCATCCGGACCCCTTCCATTCTTGCTCGCTGTAATCTCATTTCCCTGATACAAATCAAAACAAATTGCAGATAGATAAACAAGAACAGAAAGAAATCATACATTTTGCATATACACACAAACACATTTAACGATAAAGGAGAACTGACAAAGTGACAAAAAAGAAAACAAGAACAAGCAAAAGTAACGGCGAATTCTCGGAATCAGTCGCAGCAAGGCAGCGGAGCGCAAGCGAGACGACAGCACAGCTCCGCTGTGCAGAGCGCAGGAGAAGGAGAGTACTAGCACTAGCAGAGTTGAGCCACCCTCACGCCCTGCACTGCACTGAAAAAGAGAGCGTTGCAACATATATAAGCACACTACGACGCGACCTACTAAAAAAGGTGATTTTTTGTTCAATTTCTATCTTATTATTTACCTCTCTTGAGTTTCATTTTAGTCGTTTTTAACACCTAAAAGCCCTAGATATAGTCTTGTAGAAATTCGATTCTTGAATAAAATGTAACTTTTCTCTCTTTGCATCACTTCCTCTTGCGCTCTCGCTCAGCCAATTCGCCGACGATTTTTGTAGTTTATTTCATAACTTGTTTCTTTTTTTCATAATCACATGTTTTGGTTGCATCCCCACCCCCCGACCATGCCGCAAAACAAAAATTCAAATCGATTTTAGTTCCAAAAACAACAATAAATGTTTTTTCGATTTTCTGCCATTTATTCTCCTAACTTTGCAGCTTTGTGGTCGGCGCTCACTTTCGTTGGTTGGCCACAAAGCGAGCAGCGCAAGAGCACCGCAGAGATAAAGAGAGCGAGCAAGAGAGTAACAGCTGGTTAACAGGGCGCATTTACTTTACAGCATTTCCAAAAGTGTGAGTGAAACAATAAACATTGACCAACAAAAAAAAGGATTGTAAAACCAAAATGTCTGCATTTTTCAATACTTTGATTGTTCTTTGTGGGCGGGGCGGGGTGGATAATTTAATTTTATCCTTACCACAACGGGAGAGACACAGATGACGTCATGTGGGAGGGCCTGGGATCTGACTCTGTCGTTCACGGCTATTTTTATACATACGTGCGAGAGTGTATCTCGCCGCGTGAGTCTGTGTGTATGTGTGCATTCCTCAAATAATTTTGCATTCTATAATGGAAAATAGCCAAAAGAAATGGCTTTGAACGGCAATGTCGCACACACACATATACACACGCACTCAGGCAGACGCTGCTTCTTTTTGGCCTGGCAACGCTACCCGCACCGCATCTTCGCTGACACACAGCACAGCCCCACTCTGGGGCCCTCTGCCGCGCTTTTCGAAAACGCTTCGGGCCGTGCTGGCGGCAGACTGAATGTTTTCATACATTGGAAATTTCAACGAACGGTACTGTGGTCGTTGGTCGTCGTCGACTCGCTGCCGCCGTCGTCCGCTGTTGAATTCGCCGCGTGCCTCTCTCATTTGTTGCTTTGCTGTTTTGTAGCTTGTGGCTCGCTCTCTCGCTCTCTCTTTTCACTGATTTTTTGTTGCTTTGAAAGAAGTTTCTGGTAGCCTCCTTCATTAACCGCACTTATTAATTTAAATACGTTTTCTAGGGAATAACATATACGGACTCAAAATTTTAGGCGTTCATTATAATTTGTATTAGTAAGAGTACATATAATATAGATAAAGGGCAGCTCAATTTGCATGTTGGATGCCTTCCGTATCACGTACACATGCACATGTATGAATGTACATGTGTATTTTCAAATGTGTATAGCGATTGTGTCAATTTGCCTCGTGATGTAATAGATTTGTTGTTTGTTGTTGTAGGTGCGGCTTCTTGTTGCCCTCCCGCCCGCTTACGATTTGCTGTTCTTCTTCTGGTATATTCCACGTTTTTCCATGCAACGAGGTCATACGCCCATACACATGCACACACACAGGCACATACACTTGCAATAGCAGTCACCCTAAAATAAATCGCTGTTGGTAGCAGTTGGTGTCGTTTTTGCCCATCTGCCTTTTGGGCTACCTGTCAGTAGTGATTGCTCTCCCACTTTCCTGCTGCTGCATCTCTCTTACTCTTGTCACATGTAATATGTAACTTCCGGCTTGTCCTCTTTCTCTCTCCCGTTCTCGAGCTCGCTCTCTGCATAAATCAAATGTTCGATGCCCGCATGTTCGCGAGTGTTTTGTATATATATACTTACATGCATACTGGTTCTGCTCTATCTGACTCTCTATCAGATTTCTGTTTGTTTATGTATTATTATTAAGCTATTTACAATTTTCTTCACACCCTTTTAGTACATTTTACAATGAATGTCTGCTCTAATGCTGTTGTTTTGCCTGCTCTAGAACTACACACTCGTTATGTTGTTTACAGAAGGTCCAACGATTATTCGTTCACCACAATAACATCTAAATCGAAAGAACGGTTTATTTTTTAAACTTATATGCCATGCATATACAATAATATGCATCAATCATATTATTTATGGCTGATGTTGAGTATTGGGAAGTTTTTCCGTTTAGGGCTTACACATGTGGGACCGAGTGTAAGTGGGCAAGTACATGCATAAATATGTATGCATGAATGTATATATGTACATATACATATACATATGTCCATTGTATGTACATATAAGGTGGCCGCATTTTTTCGAAAAATGAGAGCACATAAAAACGATTGCTGCCTTCTCATAACTATTTGCCCAGCGTTACCCCTTCCTGTTCCACCACCTACCGACTCCTCCGCAAAAATGATTGATGTAACTGTGTTTGCATTTGCATTTGCGTTTGTTTCCTTTTGTCTCTAAATTAAGGCCCATTAAAATTAATTAAGATATTGACCCAGTTCGTCGGCAAGCGGCACAAATGGACAATTTACACTGTGACGTCATGTGCACTAGAAAACTGCATTAACATACTGTTACAATTTAGCAATAAAATTGCTTTATCTAGAGCACCCTGAGAGCGGGAGAGAAATAGAGAGAACCTCGTGGGTGAGAGCAGCGATCGTTGTCTGAGCGGGGTACAGTAGCAACAACAGCAGCGGCAGCAGCACAGTGCTTGCTGTCTGCCCATTCAATTGATTGTCAAGTTTATAACTTAACATCGACGTTGCTGCTGCTTGTGCTGCTTCTTACATCTGTTCTACAGCTGGAATTTGTCCTCTTTTGCTGTTCTGTTAGCGAGCAAGTTGGTGAGGGGAGTGGGGTGTGGGGAGACGCGGCATGTGATTTGCGATAAGAGTCCCTATTTTACTGTGAAATTTCCATCTGA